TTTTTTTTTTTTTTTTTTTTTCCAAAACCTCTTTTCCTTCCCTCTTCATGATATCCTCTGCTTTCTTTGGTGTAGGGCTATCGAATATACAAGTTATTCCCCTTCACTCCCGCCTTGCCCAAATACCAATCAATAGGACCTTGTCAATGGAATGGAAACAAAAGTCGTCGTAGTCTTTTAACCCAGAAAAGGGGATATTCTTTCTCGTATGTCGTATCGCAGCCTCGTCCAGCCTCGTCCGGCCTCGCTCAGCCTTGTAATGAGCATGTACAAGGTCCCGACCACCGACAACCCCTGTTCAACTAGGTAGATACCACATATCAACGCCTGCATGCCTTGACTGCTTGATTGCTCGATTTCTCGATTGATCCGTCTATCCTTCCCTCTTCTCGTGGAGTCCTGTCTGATCGAGGGCGCGTCCAATCGCTTGTGTACAAACAGTACTCCGTAGTGGTACGTACCAGCCTCTCCTGCTCCCTCTACAACCACTTCTCACCACTGTCGAAATACCCGACCCTGTCGTCCCATCCATCTCATACGGGGAATCCCCCCTACTATTACAAGGGAAAATATATCCCCGCCGAACTGACCCTCCCCGCTCTCTCGCCACGTTGATGTGGTCTCTGGCCCGCCTTCTGACCCCCTTTTCGGCCTCGATTCCGCCTCTTCGGCCAGCCACCCCGAAAACCTGACTATGTTGGCTCCACACCGGTCCCTCCACGCCCTTTTTGCGAATCGCTTGAGCCGCTCTCCATGCAACTGTCAAAGACGAATAGCAGCGAAAGGGCGGGTAGGACAGGGTTCAAGCGGTCAGAGGGGAGTGAATATAGGTACAGGATTGTCGGACGATGTCCGCTGGAAGGGAGGGTTTCCCGCCAAAAGTTGGCCACTCTGGATTCCCTGCAAACCCTTGCCGACCGGACGGATCCTGTTCTTGTGGCACATGTTTATTACGCGTCGCGGCCGCGGCTCAGGAGTCCATGTGAAGGAAGGGGAGCCAGCTCATGTTCCCGAGAATTCCCAGATTACTCTTTTCCATCACTCCTCACCGGCGAAATCTTCTTCGCAGAGACCGGGTCTTTAGGAGAGCAGTCATTCTTTACAACCTCAAAGAACCACAAAGGGCGAATCCCCGTCGACCTCTACCATCAGAATGCTGAGCAAACCACCGATCCGCATTGGCAATGTCTCAGGCGCCACGGGAGACCATCCGCATGCTATGAAGCGCATGGTTGAGTCGGGCGGCGTCGATGTCATCACCGGGGACTGGCTGTCTGAGATGAACATCGCCTGGAACGCCATCACAAAACGAGACGTCGACCCTGACCTCGGCTACGAGAACGGCTTCTACCTTCAGCTGGAAGAGTGCCTCGACCAGATCATGGAGCGGGATATCAAAGTGGCCACGAATGCAGGCGCCTTGAACACAATGAGTCTGTTCCGCAAGGTCCAAGCGCTCTGTGTGGAAAGAGGATACAAGGATACGGTGGTCGCCGCAGTTTTGGGCGACGATGTCTCGGACTTGGTCACTGATCCCAGCAAGAGGCGTTCTTTGCATTTCCCCCATCTCGATCACCAGGATCGGCTCCTTGACGAATGGTCCCTGGATCCTATCTGCGCCAATGCATACATCGGCTGTCGTGGTATTGTCAAAGCCCTAGAAGCTGGAGCGAACATTATCATCTGTGGGCGATGTACCGATGCTTCCCCCGTCATGGGAGCCGCCGCCTGGTATTTCGGCTGGCGCGAGGACCAGTACACCGAGTTAGCAGGCTCCTTACTCGCGGCGCACCTCATCGAATGTGGGCCTTATGTTGTGGGAGCCAACTTCTCGGGCTTCAAAGACTTCTTACCAGAGTTAGTCGACCTAGCGTTCCCCATCGCCGAAATCGACTCGGCTGGCGGGTGTATCATCACCAAGTCCACTCAAGGAGGTGGCCACGTCACGCCCGAGACAGTCAAAGCGCAGTTGCTGTACGAGCTCCAAGGACACCTATATCTGAACCCGGACGTCGTCGCAGATTTGTCGCAGGTCCAGGTAGAGGCTCAAGCGGGCCAAAAAGATAGGGTTATGATTCATGGGGTCAAAGGCCTGCCGCCGCCCGCCACGACAAAGGTCATGGTCGCTGCTCCAGGAGGATACCAGGCTGAAGCGACCTTTTACATCAACGGATTGGACGTGGAAGCCAAAGTGGCCATGATGCGTCAACAGCTGGACCACATTTTGAAGGGAAACAAGTTCAGTCGATTCAGCATGGAGCAGTACGGCTCCCAGGTGGACAATCCACGGTCGCAACAGGGAGGCACCGTGCAACTGCGAGTGTTTGCTCAAGCCAGGAACAAGGTCGATATCGAGGCTCCATCATTCAAGATTCCAATCTATGCCCTTCGCATGCAAAGTTATCCTGGTTACCACATGAACCTGGACTTTCGAACCATGGACCCCAAACCATTTATGGAGATCTTTCCCGCTGTCATGCCACTTTCCATGATCGATCATCGTGTTGTCCTCAGCACGGGGCAGCACATCAAGGTTGATCCACCGCAAAAGACGGTCGAGTACCCAGTGATGCGTCCCTCTTCTGACACGCAAGATCCTATAGATCTTCAATCCCTGGGACCAATGGAAATGGCACCTTTAGGAAGCATTGTTCATGCGCGATCTGGCGACAAGGCCGACAATTCCAACATCGGCTTTTTGGTTCGCCACGATGATGAATACCCGTGGCTCAAAACCTACATGACTGTTTCACGCTTGAAGGAATTGTTCGGCGACGACTGGCAGAAAGGAAATCCTGATCGACGGGTGGAGCGAGTTGAATTCCCTGGGATAAATGCGGTTCATTTGTGAGTCCTTCCGTCCTTTTTCTGCTGAGCACTTCTTCGGGTTGTACTCATCGAATTGATAGCCGAGTTCTCGACAACTTAAATGGCGGGATTGCGTCGTCGGACCGAATTGATGGGCTCGGAAAGGGCATTGCTGAGTATCTCAGAAGCAGATCTGCCGAGATTCCCATACGCTTCCTCCAGAGAGGCTGGATTTGAAGCCACGGCGTATCGCAACACACTTGATAGATCGAAATACTGGCCAAAGTTACATTTGTCTTCTGCTTCAAGGAGTCATGACAGCTTCTCACATGTATGTGCTACCCAAAGAAGCGAATGTGGGTGCTTGCTTCTAGAAGGCTGCGCTACCAGGGTCTTGGATGCCAAACAGCCAATTTTGCGAGAGCTGGGCAATGGCATCGCCACCGTATTGGTCATTACACCAACTTTGCAGGTCATCAAAGCAGTCCTGCAGCGTGCTGTCAACTGCCATGTGGCTGAAACTTGCAGCCCATGTTTGGTCGTTGTCTGGTGTGGGGAGGTCCATTGATATTGCCGAGCCCAGTATGGGCACATTCCCCATTCGTTGCTGGTGAATGGGCTCCACGATGGGGGTCGCAGGCTTGCGAGTCTGTGTCTCTATAATGTCCGCGAGGACAGCGTCGCTCAAGCGGTCGAAAACGCGCGAACAACTCCGGGCGGTGCTCCAACGTTCGGAGACTGCGACGAGCACATTGGAACACGCGCGGGTGTCATTGACGACTTTCTGAATGGTCGGACTGGAGTGAAGCTTTGCGTAGGAATAATTGGTGGGAGAATGCTGACGCCAGGTATTTTGGACGTGACATCGAAGTGCGTAAATGTACGAAATACCAGCCATGAATACCGCATGTAAAGTAACCCATGAATAATTGATTTTGCGCGATCGATGAAGCTCGGCATAAAGATTGATGGCGGCCTGCGAAGATTCAAAAATGTGCTGGAGGGTTACGCTATTGCTGGATGCATCCGAGAGGGTAGGTGATGGACGAAATAGCATCAAGATCCCGTTGTGATAGAGCAGGTCGTACCATTCGCGTGATCGAAAGCTTGAGGTATTGGGTGGATCAAGTATCGCATCCAGAGCTAGGAAGGGTAAAGCACTTGTTTCGCAGTGCCACGTCCTCAATTCGTGAGACAAATCCTCTCGAATCTTGAAGTAATCAATCGTGGCACCGACAGGCCGCGTGTCTCTATGGAGAGAGATCAAAATCTTCCCACAAACGAGGCGGTAGCGTACAATGTGATTGAAGAGAGCAATACGCTGATCACTCAGTGGGGCTTCTATAGAGTCGTCAGAGAAGGCACCGTTGGCCATCTCTGCAGCATCGGTCGCGTCAAGCTGCGGCAGTTCGGCATCAACGTCGTCCAGCTGAACAGCAAGGGGCCTTCCCAGGGTGAAACTGACAATGCGATCCATGGCGACCACACACCAAAAGCATCGCCGCATCATCTCCATCTTTTCTCTCTGAACCTGGTCCACGGCGACATTCCCACTTTGCGGCAAGACATAGGTTGACTTTTTGTGCAGTCCCAGTTCAAAACACATTCGTGCGGCAACTCCGACGAGATGCCATAGACTCGCCGATGTATCGTACAATGAGCTTCCCATCCGATACTGAGCAATGAGCAAGGTCGCCTGAAGTGACAAAATCCCGCCGGCGCCAAGGACAACTGGAAGATGGGTGATGGCGCGATTATAGTGCGTTTCTGCGTCGGGTAAATTAAGCCAGTCAAATTTGTAGACCTGAGCCGTACCGATGGCGAGGATCATGTCGATGAAGAAGGATTCAACAGGATGGTAGACTGAGTAGGACTCCTCGCTGTAGATGGCATCCAGCGCGGCATGTAGTGTTTTGGGATCGAGAAAAGGATAGCAAATATGATCATGGTTGCAATATGCGATCAAGAGTCCTCGTGCCACATCTTGAGGTGGCCGACTGGAGGCCTGGGCTGCAGAGGCGGCCCCTTTACCGAGCGCTGGTCTTTGCTCATGAGCACGTGCCTCAGTGTTGGCGATATGTGGAAAGGATGTCTGTAGATTCTTCTGTAAGAGGTTGGCGAGCAACAGGCCACTTGTTGAGCCTAGGAATTGACGGTCACCTCCGGCACTCAAAGACAGATATGACACCTGGTTGACCACTTCATCGCTGCTGCCCGAAGTATTCAACTCAGAGTCCACCGACATTGACGGAGGATTCTGTGGAGATGGTTGGTTCTGGCTTCGGCTAAGCTGATTGACAAGATCTTTGTTCCTCGCCTCGAGCTGACGCACTCGCTGCTGGACTCGTTCTAGGTCTTGTCGACGAATGGCGCCCTCCTTGGCGGTGTAAACACATGCTTTGTTGGCCTTGATGCATGAGGAGCAGGCTGGGCGGGTCTTGTCACATCTTGCTTTTCGACGGTGACAACGTTCGCAAGCTCCGGGTCGAGTTGATGGTTCCGGCGACATTGGACCAGATCAGGTTGATCTGGGATCTGGGACCTGGGTCTCGCTGGAGAAGAATCTCCTCCCGACAGAGGCCAGAGTCGCCTCGATACCACCGCGTAGAAATGGGGGCAAGTCAACGATTAATCGTGGGTGGTTCTTACAACGCCAGTTGGATGCGGAAATTTTTGCAGTTGAACTCTCCAATATCCACTGTTGGCTGCTTAGAAGGCTGTCGCCTGCAGGTCACAGGAAGTCCCCTGCTCTTTGCAAAAAGTTCCAGTCGAAAGGCAGTGGCAGCCTCAGGTCAAGTGGAGGGTCGAGAGCTGAACGACTGAGTGAGAGAGTCCATTGCCACGAGGTTGGTCGTGGGGGATGAGTTCTCCCTGCATTGACGTGGCCCCGCTGGTCCTCATCATCGACTGGTAATACTCGTACAAGCAAGCCTTATTTAGGTTGGTATATGCCATGCCGCCTCGGTAAGCATCCCTCGCTTATTGGTCATTGGCACAACTGCGGCATGCGGAGTTGCTAAGGGGGCGAGCGACGTGGTTGAATGAAGCATTGTGGCGCACCCTAAGATTGGTCTTGGGTCTGTCGGTCATTCGCCGGTCCTACCACCAAGCAAATGCAAAGTATGCTTTAGTTCTTGGACCAAATTCTGCGCTCCCAACAACCTGGCACTCCTTTTTTTCGTCTTCACCCCAAAGGTCTGCCGAACCCCGCGACTCGAGGCGGCTTGGATGAGGAGAATGCCTGATCAGGAGAGAACCACGGAGTTGAGCGTGGAGCAACCCGCGCGGAATTCTCTTTGCTGGTCATGCGAGTATCGGTCTGCGGGCCGGATGCCGACGATGATCTGCCCATCGTACACACAGGATAGCCAGGAAATTTCCGCCACCGAGGACTAAGGCCGTGCGTGAGCAGTATTTAGACTGCTCGTCTTCGACTCTTCATGCGTGGAGAAGCATTCATGCCGTTCTTCTGACAGCAGGTCGATATCACCATGGCGAAATACTTTGGATTGCGTGGTTCCAAGCTGAACGCAGCCCTGATCTGGGCTGTGATCATGCCCGCGTACATACTGTGAGTTACACTCGGCATGATCGAACAACCATCTGGATTCTGGCTGATCCCAACAGGTTTGGCTTCAACAATGGTGTGGGTGGAAGTCTCGTGGACTTGCCCAGCTGGGTTTCGGTGTTCCCTCGTATCGACACCGTCAACACAACCGGTTCCAAAAAGACCGAAAACAGTCGAGTCCAGGGCACCGTCATAGCCTTGTACACTCTCGGGGCCCTCTTTGGTGCGCTGTCTTGTATCATCCTTGGCGACAAGCTCGGACGGAAGAGAACCATCATGCTGGGAGCGTTGGTTCACACACTTGGGGCCGTCATACAGTCTTCGTCCTACTCGCTAGGTCAATTGATTGTCGGGCGGCTTGTGGCTGGTCTCGGGTTCGGGGCATTGACTGCCACAGCGCCCAATTGGCAGAGTGAATGCTCAAGTGCAGAGCACCGTGGTTCCGTGGTCTTGCTCGAATCCGTCTTTATCAGCTTCGGCCTAGCTCTACAAGGATGGATCGGATTTGGCATTTCGCATGCCTCTGGGAGCGTCGCCTGGCGATTTCCGTTGGCGCTGACGGGCTTGTTCTCCATCATTGTCGTCGGAACCATGTCCCAAATGCCAGAATCGCCCCGATGGCTCATCAAAAAGGGAAGATTGGAAGAAGCTAAACATGTCCTCGCCGCGCTGGAAGACCTTCCCGAGGACTCCAACAAAATCGAAACCGATGTAGCGCGCATCGGGGAATCTCTGCGACTTACGGGTTCAGCTCGCTTCCGAGACATCTTCAAGAACGGCGAGCAGCGTCTGTTCCATCGAGCATGCTTAGCGGCTGCGGGCCAGGTCTTTCAACAAATGTGCGGCATCAATGCGCTGGCGTTTTATCTGCCAACGCTGTACAGTCAGTACTTGAAGCTCCCAGCCAAAGACTCCCAGATTCTTGCTGCATCCGTCTTCTCGTTCCAAACTCTGTGTTCACCCATTGGTGTGCTCACGGTCGATCGATTTGGCCGACGCAAGCTGATGATATTTGCGGCGGTGGGCATGGGATGCTGCTTGGTCATCATGACCGGAACCGTGTCTGATCCTACCAACGAGGCGGCTCAGATTGTGGCAGCTCTGATGATCTTTTTGTTTGGACTGTTTTTCCCAACAGGTAATGCTTCCCGCTTCTTGGGTTCGCTTCAGCTAACATTCTGCAGGCTTTCTGGGTCTCACCTTCTTGTATGCAAGCGAGATCGCCCCTCTCAGCGTTCGAGTGCCAATTACTAGTATTTCGACGGGTACAGCCTGGGCGTTCAACTTCCTTGTCGCCGAGATCACCCCGGTAGGATTTGCAACCCTCAACTACCGATACTTTATCATTTACGCCTGTATTAATTTATTGTTGATCTTGCCTTGTAAGTATTTCATTCCGACATTGACACCAGTCAGCCAGTCTTTGGATTGTGTGGCTAACAGACTGGCGCAGGTGTCTACTTTTTCTGGCCGGAGACGGCGGGTAAGTCGTTGGAAGAGGTGGACGAAATCTTCATCCAAAGTCACAGCATTTTTGACCCAGTCCGAGTGGCCAAGCACATGTCCCGGCGACGGGTTGAACCGGTGCAGCAGGTCATTGAGGAAGGTAAAGGAACAGGACAAACCACCGTAGTCGAGAGCGAGAAGAGCACCGGAGCTCACAGCGAGTAGGCAGGCGATGGCCGGGAGTCCGTTCCAGCGAGCGTGCTGGTCACCGTATGAGGGCGGAATCAATTTTGATCATGCTTGAAGTCTCTGTTGGCTTAGTCTTGTTGTACCAGAGCTGAAAAGCTGCAAATCATGGGGAAGACAGAAAGGCTGTGGTAGAATAGGTCGCTAGGAGAGATCGTTTGAGAGATAGAATGAGCTGAGTCTTGCCGCAAACTTTTCTGTTCGATTGTGGTAGCAAACCGTCAGGTACTTGCGCCTCACCCTTAACAGGGGGCTCACGGGACAAAATACATCCTCTTTGACAGTGCAGAGGTTGGATGTCCAGGGATGTTCCAGGAGATGCCAGGAGACTCGCAATGCTGCGGATTGGAATGACTGCCAAGACATGTAAAGACCGTTTATTGTGGTCACAGCAGAGTCGCCAAGTTCCATGGATGAATCTTCCATTCGAGGTACTCCTCGACTATCACTTCTGGAAGACAATCATGCCCCTTCCAATCAGTCACGGCCCATGAGCACACTGGCCAGAATGCTCAAGATCCATCCGCGCCTCCAGTCTGCTACTCCGCTCTCCCTAACCCCCAGGACGTCCTCGCGAGATGATCCAGGTTAGGCTGGGGCCCCGGGATTTCTCTGGATCTTCGGAGTGTTCACTGTCCATCGGACAAGATGCCCGATCCCCAAACATGATCGGTCATCGAGGCCGAACGACAATGACAAGAAGGTTCCCGCTAATTCACCACTACTCCGGCCTGCCTCCGCCCCCAGCTCTGAGTTGGTCACTTTGCGGATTGAAGCTGCAGCGATATTGAAGAGCCGTTCTGGCAGCTCAACGTCAGCAGGGAAGCTCGGTCAACTTTGTGTCGGTCAGTGGATGCCGAAAAGACGGTGAATGGCCACATTGGCCGGGGGCGATCCCGTTCCTGGTGACAAAGACGAAGTCGAGGGGTTGTATGCTCGAGGAGTCGGAGAAATAAAAGGAAAGAGGAGGACGGGAAAGCTGTCTTCTAACAACACCCACCATGCGCTTCTCTCACCTCGTTGGCCTAACGTTGGAGTCTCTCCTGCTCGGCTTGTCGACTGCCCAGTCGACATCATGTGCTGACATTGCCGGGAAACTTGGTCATTCGACAACCTTGAGTATCGCTAATGCGAGCTTGGTGGATGGCCAGAACATTGCTCAATTTATAGCACAGACTCTTAACACCACGGTTGTGCCAACCACGACTCTGACCGATGTGTGCCGTATACAGGGAGAGGTCGCATATGATCTCAACCACACTGTCAGCGTTGAGCTCTGGCTTCCCTCAACCAGGCAATGGAACGGCAGATATATCGCTGTTGGTACGTCCAATGTATTTCGGCTGATTTCGGACTGTGCTTGCTAACGAGGCAATGAATAGGTAACGGAGGATTAGCGGGAACGATTGACTATCAGGCTATGTTGATCCAGCTCGAAGGTGGTTTCGCCGTGGCTGGTGGAGATTCTGGTCATACATTGGCGGAAGATGGGCCAGCCGTTGCATCGCCCGGCTCGTTTGTGCCCTTTTTGAACAGCATCCCACAAGTAACGGCGTGGCTTCACAACTCCATCGCAGCCCTGACGCCCCCCACCCGCCAGCTGACAACGCTCTACTACGGCAAATCGCCATCTTATTCCTATTATTACGGTTGCTCGACAGGTGGCGCGCAAGGATTTGCGCTCGCACAATATCATCCTGAGATGTTTGACGGTATCTACGCCGGTAGCCCTGGAAACTGGTACAGCCACTTGATTCTTAGTTTCCTCTGGAATTACAACCATGCCCAAGCGCAGAACGCCTCGTTCATGGACGCAGAGACCTTGAATTTTGTTACGAACGCAACGGTGGCTCACTGCGACGGAATCGATGGTGTACGGGACGGTCTCATCGAAAACCCCCTCAAATGCACCTTCAACATCACGACTCTGCAATGTGGCCATGGTCAGGCGTCCAAGGCCAAGAATGGATCTGTTCAGTGTATCACTCCGGAACAGGTCACCACATACAAAGCTTTCCGCCAAGGACCTACAGAACCCGATACCGGCATGCAGGTGTACCCTGGGTTCGACTTTGGATCCGAGAGTGGATGGATGGCACAGGAGTCGTCGCTCGCCCTCGCCTACGCCATCCCTATCTTGCAGAACTTGGTGTTCAAGAATCTGACATATGACTACAAATCATTCTCCTTCAGCAGTGCCGATATTGGCGCGGTCAACGCTAACGCCTCCCCCTACATTGACGAGATCTCTCCCGATCTCCTTTCCTTCCGCCGGCGTGGTGCCAAGATGATCACCACCCAGGGTTGGGCAGACCAGTACAACGCCGCGACGTGGCCGATCGAGCACTTGAAGCAAATCAACACGTTCCTCAGCGGCCAACCAGGCGTGGCCAGCGACGCTTCGGACTTTTATCGCCTCTTCATGGTTCCCGGCGCCGGCCACTGTGGTGCGTCTCCTGCGTACCCGAACGTTCCAACGACATACCACGTTTTGGACGTGTTGATGCCGTGGGTGGAGAAAGGGATCGCCCCTGTCAGCATGCAGAGTTCGAACCCTCCCAGTCAAGCCAACATCACGCGGAAACTGTGTTCGTGGCCAAAGACCGCAAAGCTGGTGGGTAAGAACCAGAACGATTGGACGTCGTACGAATGTGCATGACGGGCGGGTGAAGAAGGCCTGGGCGGCCTCTCTGTATCTAGCTCCGGGAGGGGTAGAGAAATCAGTACCATTTCCAAAGGACCTCGTCGGTGCCAGCTCCGGTTGCCAACGATGATCATGTAGCCTCGTACAGTCGCTGAGTGGTGTTAGATGTCCGTCGACAAAAGACCAGCTCTCTCCCCTGACGTCTCTATTCTATGTACATAGCTACTTGCTTGTACATGATGAAAAAAACAAATATATCAAAGATCGACCCGACCAGGTTTTCGCGTATGCTGAATGTCAACTCGCTCTAAACTGTCTAGAAGAACGAACACACGACATACACGAGGTATAGCAGGTCCAAAGGTCTAAGGGGTATGAATATAGAGTCTCACCCTAGTGGAGAGAATGGTATGCATGTAACCAAACAAGTTCGAGGTAGACCTTGATCCGAATGTACAAACGAGAGTCTGTCAATGGCATATTGAGGTCCATTCGGCAGGTTGAGTGGTAGCTGAAAAGGGGTTTTCTGGTTGAGTGTCATGCATTCCTATTCTCCCTCTCCTCTCCTCATCTTCCCTCTATCGATGATCTTGCCTGGCTGAATCGAACTAAAGGGGAGAGACGGGTCAGGGCCCTGCCACGAGAAGCCCCTTGTATCGTCGTGTAATCTGGGCCTACGCTCTTACATAGAGACAACAGACACGCAGATTACCTTTCTCTCAAAGCGTTTCGTCCCTCACGTCCCTCACGTCCCTGGAAACAATGCTGTCCACCACAGGGAAAGGTTTCTTTGGACTTTCCAGATATGGCAACTTACCTTCCCAATCTGGTTAGGACAAACTTTAGAAGCCCCCAGTGGCTTCAGGTTTATACTGTACGCATAGGCCGATACAAGGTATCAGTTGCAAGTGCTTGACTACTTACTCTGGGCACTAGAGAACAATATCGCATTGATAGTACGGATATCAAGAGTGACTTCGTCGTCGTATCATTCTCGATTTGCATGACTGGCTTCTTCACAGCTTCTGTAATGGTCCTGGACATGTTCGCACCCTCCAGTACCACCCTAGCTCATGCTACCCCTGCTCTTTGGAGAGCATATAGACAGAGAATGTGAGCGACTGAACTGTGTATCGCGGTTTCACGTCATCATGCTATGGCCTCCAATTCATCAGTGGCTCATCCTCTCTTCTCCCAAGCCCTGACAACAGCCCTATCCCTGATTTCCCCTTCCTGTACCTCGAGCTTCTGGATTGACCTTCTGACAAGATCTTGTTCAAAACGCATTTCTGCAAGCTGTCCCTTGGCCCAATTTCGATGTCGAGGACATCGATTCTTAATACAGACACCGCCCTTTCTCGGCATGTTGTCAGTTTCCTGTTCTTCCCCATCCTCGACTGGACTTGGGTTGTGCTGAGCGACGCCATTGTGGAGTTTAGTATTTCCGTCATCAGTGGCTATCTCTTCAGGTGGACCGATCCTCGCGTCCGCTCCAGCGTCGATGACTGCCCGCCCGCCGTTTTGGTCATACCATATCATAAACTCCTCGTCAGACCACGCCATCCTGGGATCGAATCCACAAAGATCTTTCATCTTCGGGTGTGTCTTTCGAACTTCGTCGACAATGGTCGATGATCGAGTCTTGACCAGCTCCAAGAACTTTTCTCGCGCGACAAGCATGTCATACCGCACATTTAGTCGTTGTTTCTCTGCTATAATATTGGCCATTTTGGTCGTCTCCAGGTCATCGTATTCCAAATCTGGGAGTGTTGGCTTTGACTCGGTTCCCGTCATCTCAATGTCGCGGGGTGGGGTGTCGGGTTTCCTGCCCAAGGCCTTGAGTTGCTCAATGTCCTTGCATTTCTCGACCAGGGCTTTGATCTCGCCAGCTCGCAAGGCAGAGCCTCGGTTGGGAAGCATATCATCGTCGAGACTGCTGTCGGTCTCATATTCTGTCCTTTCGTCGTCGCTATATGCTGGTGTCGCGAGTCGACTGTCAGGATCTACGCCATTGACAAGGTTGAGGAGCGGCTTCGCAGGTTTCTCTTTCGTCTTCTGCTTCTTCCGGTGTTTTTTGAGAGGTGGTCCTTCTATGACATACTGACCATCCTTACTGGTCTGAGCCTGAGGGTCGCCTCTCTGCACCAGCTCCACAAAGAACATGCGCCCACAGGCATCGGAGCAGTATTTGCTGGGCGGGACCTGGGTGACACGCGCAGGTTTCCTGCAATCTTTGCGTCGGCACATTCGTTTCCACGTGGTCTGCAGGCCAGGTTTCGTACAAGACGGGCAAATGTACTTGTCGATCAATTCGCCGTCTCGTTCCTTGATATTCACACAATTCCCATGGAACCACTCGTCGCAACCACCATCACAAGCGATCATCCATGTGTGGTTATCTCCTTTCCGGCAGATGCAGAATACCTCACCGTCATCGTTTGAGCTGGACGCCGTATCTGCAATTGAAGGTGACGGAGAGCCAATGTCTCGCGATGCCGCCCGGGAAGAAGCGGGTGTGGGTGATGACTTTACACTGGCAGCCGAAGTTTGGGTTTTCAGTTTCGAGGGGCCCAGCTTGAGGTGGTTCGTGCTGGGCGTGGCACTGGGAGAGCGGAAACTCGACCTTGCCGCAGGTGGGCTTTGCTCGGCCTCGCCGAGTTTCGCCCTCTTATTCGACGTGCTTTTGACCTTGGCTGTGCCTTTCTTCCTAGCTGCTGCGGAAAGGTATTTTCCAGAGTCATCAGGGGCCGGTCGCTTTCTTCCCGCGACGGGTGCTGGAGTGGCAAACGGTTCCGTGGATGATGCTCTTGACCCTGCGATGGATGGCGCCCGCTTCAAAGCTGCGACGGTACTGACGGGTACTGGCGACGAGTCCACCACAGGATGTGCCCCGAATAAATCATCATCTTGCTGATCATCTTGTGCCTCTTCTTCCTCGCCAATATCTCCTGGGCCGAGCTCCTCCTCCTCCTCTTCTTCTTCCCGTTTTGCGGCCCTCTGAGCTCTTTCCGCCTTTCTTGACTTGGAAGGGGGAGGAGGGGGACCTCGAGCGATGATTTCCTCGAGGGATTCGATAGGCTCTCCAGTTGTAGGCTCGACAATGATTTCCAAGCTGCGCAACGGCTCCCAAGTTTTCGTGTTGTGTATCTTCGAAATATGATCTCTCACAGACCGGCGTCTTGTGAAAAGTTTATTGCACAAGTAGCACAAATATCTGCGATCTGTGTGCTGGCCTTCGTTCTTGGACGAGTGGATCGATGAGCGAGGTGGAGCGCCTGGATCGGTCTTCTTCGACTTGCCAGGATGTTTTCGTTGTTTCTGGCCCTTCTCCGGCGTCGTTTTCGTGGGAGCGTCTTCGCTGTAAAGACTTTCTTCTACCATATCGATGAGGGAAGAATCGACAGCAATATGTGACTCCTCTTCCAAGGGAGGATAGCCCATGTCCATTGCCTCCTCCTTGATATGATCTTCATCATTTGACCCATCGAAGCCGTCCAGATGCTCACTCTCCTTGAAGAGGGAGACATCATCCATCGGAGTGTCGTCGTTTTGCACGCTTGGGGGAAGGATATCTTGAGGATGCGGCGCATCATCGTTGGGCTGGAAAAGTTCGGGCGCGAAGAACGCTGAGGGAGCGTCCACGGCAGAAGCGTCCATTCTTGGGGGAAAATTAGTCGAAGAACTCGGCCACGCAGTCGGAGGAGTTTGATCTCACCCATGCGACACAGCGTTGGGAGCTACACCATTTGCAGAACCAGTGTTGGTCGTGGGTTCGGGGTTGAGAAGATCTGAGAGTGTGAAAGGCATAGACGCGGATTGATGACTGATGAGCCAAACACCCAGGGTGAGGCAACAAGTCGCTTTGCCCTGTTGGGTGTCTTGTGGGGTGGTTGTCACGCTGCTCTCACAGCCAGCTCAGCCAGTTCTGCCAGTTGCTAACTGAGGGAAGAAAAGTTCGCGGAATCAAATATGTTCGACAGGAAATTGTTTCCTGAACCAGCCGGCAAAGATTTGCAACAGTTCAATCAATCAGCATACAATGTCACGGTGGAAGAAGCTGAGCTTGATAGAATGGCAGATGCGCAGAATGGGCTGCGCTTCTGAACGCGCTCGCACCCTGCAGGCACGCGGTGGGTGCGCCCTGTGTGACCAATCAACGCTCACTGCCGCAACCAGCAAACTCTCTCCTTTAGTGACAGATGTATCACCACCTCTTCACCATTTTATGCGTGAGTGAAGTTGGATACTGTCATAAATTGCAGAGCAGAGTTCTACAGTCTAGTAAAAGAATCGATCGAGATTGTTTGCTCACTCGCTCCCACGCATCCTTACCCCATTGTTCCAGACTTTTCCCCTACATCAAACGTCGACTTGCCCAACACCAACTGTGGAAGAGTTTGACCGATCCGAACCTCGGGCTAGGGAGTGCATCTGCGACGTTTGGACTCGAGAGCTGCAGAAGTGACAACATCAACTGTAATACTCCCCATCGACGAGCTTGGTGATGTCGTCTCGATGGTTATTTTCGTGTGTCTTTTATCAATTGCAAGGATCTGCCGAGCCTTTGGGGGGAAAAAAAATGGCACAGTCTGACGGAAAGTAGACGCCCTCTTATTAGCGATTGAGGCGGACGCCAGATCAAATATGGCTGATATGATTGATGAAGTTAGGGGTGCCATTATGCCCAATAGTAGTTACCTTTAAGTCAATAGTAGATCGCTCCTCGCTGCTATTTCTTGTCAGACTGTGCCACTTATTTTTGACACCGGCTCGCTGCGTCTTGAGTCCAACTCGCGGTTAAGCTCCCGCATGCTCGGCTCGATTGTAGGATCAGTGGGTAGTTGGGGATAAATAGGGGTATGACGCCCCTCAGTCATCTCCAGAGCCGCCGCCAGCCAGCAGATGAAGCCAAGGGGGTCTAGATCCAGTGGACAATCGTGATTATGAAAAAGGCAACGGCAAAAAGTACGAGGTAAGGAGGTGAACTAAGCTGTACTCGGTACTAGCTGCTAGGAGGGGAGAAGGCGGGCAGGGCAGCAACGTCACTCGGCAATCTGGAGATCGGGAGAATATGAAAGGGAGGACAAAGTGGAGTGAATGGTGGTAAGGCAGAACGAAGGGATCTGGGGGAACAGAGGAAAAGAGGGTCCTTGGCATGGGCTTGGGATGGGGATGGCCAACGTTGACCAACCGCTCAACCGTCCAACCGCCCCATATCTTGCATCAATGATCAACATCTCTCCTTCTCTTCTGCTCTTGGGAACCGATGAATCGATCGTCTATTACTCCAGTCTCCTAGTCTACGCTACTGTTCGATTCCGTCTCCTCTGATAGCTGATGAGTTGGACTGGATCTCTTGACGGCGATCTGCTCTCTCTCATCTCCGCCTGATGCCGCCTGCAAACTCACCCTCTGTAAGTCCTGGTCCGCCGCATCGACTCATGTAGCTGCAGACAATCCAGAGCCTGAAGCGAAGGCTTCTCTTTGAAGGAATACCGCAGAGAGCACACCTGCTCATTTTCTTCCTATGAACTAACTGCATTTCTCGGTGTGTACACTTTTGACTAACCATGTTCATTCACGCGCAGGACACCCGCCCCTCGACTCCTCCTCCCAATACCTATCTGCGACAACTCGAAGAAGCCATCGCCACTCCTGTTCCGGACCTCGCCTCTACCCTTAATCTCACCTCGACTGATCGCGATGCACAAAACGAGGAATGGGCAAATCAGCCTCAGCCTCAGCCCAACGAGGCTCAAGGTCCTGCTCCAGGGCGAGCTGGCATTGACATGATTTCGTCCACACATGCAGAGGATGGAGAGTGGTTTGCTGAGAGTCAGACACGAGGATCCATGAATAACGAAGAGTCGGGGTTGTTGGTTTATGTCATGTCAAATGGTCTGCCAGTCGAACAACTTTACGAAGGCCGCATGTCAGGTCGAACAACAGCAAACAACCAGCTAGGACGTGGCTCATTTCGTAGATTGGGTTCGCTAGGTTCCCGATCCAGGTCGACAATACCACAATATTCCGACGACAGCGATGCCGATATTGCACCTCTCAGGATGGCAGCAGACCTGAGCTCCAGCACCAATACAAGGAACCATTTTCTTCAGCTTGCAGGTGTTCTGCAGCGATACAGATCAAATCGTGGCGCCTGGGGGCTTTCCAGGGGCTCGGATATGGGCACGGTACCCACTGCCAGTGCTTTGCGAGCCCTCTGGAATGAAGAAACTGACGAGGGAGTGGCTGTCACGATGCCCAGTCTAGCAGGACTTTCCGCTGCCCAGCGAAGAGAGGCTGTCTCAAGACATGCGCAAAACGTCCAGGGCCCTGCTGAGTCTCGATCTGCGGCGTCAATTGATGCGCAACGATCCGACGCAAGAAAGCGGGTGAGGAAATTGATCTGCTATCTCTCCCGGTTACGACATACCGGCATAGAAGGTGGTCTCGAGGCAGCCAGAAAACTGGGCCTTGACTCCTTGTACGCGTCAGACGACTCCAATGCCCCGAGCGACCTTCCCATGCACATTAACAGCCTCCCAATTCCACAGTACAGCTCTTGGTTAACAGCCGGAATGGTGTGGCATGGCCTCCAGTCTACAGACCGCCAACCTGTCCGGACGCTTCGTTCCTCGGCTGCAAATATTCGTCGTGAAAGACAGCGCGGGCAGATTCGCCGAACCATAGCTCGACGGGGAGAAGCTTTTCGCGGCACTGGCGGCAGCGATGAGGCTGCCGAATTTGACACCCAGACCCTGCGAACCGCAGAGCGCTATCTCTCCGACTTGATGAGGCAGGAGAGCAACGGCCAATGGACCTCATCGCCGTCCTCCAATCCTCTGCACACCACTTCTCAGCCGCCTGAGCCTGATCACTGGCCGGTAAAGGTTGTGATCCATTCCGTTGACTGGGAAGCCATGACCGTGACTGGAATCATGTCCGCCAGCCAGATGCCGGAAAAGCCTTCTTCTTTGTACCAATCCGGTGCCCGACAACCTCAAGGCACAACCCCAGACACAATCACCAGCATGTCCAGTTTTTTCGTGGGAGAGATCATCGATTTCCGACGACAGCCCCTGGAGACGGAGAAAGAGGGCCGAGACTACGACGTGGGCGGCGTCGATGTGGATGCGAGATACTGGGGACGTCTGGGACCTTTCAGCAAAGAGATTGACCGAATCCGACATTTGCGTGGGAAAAAAAGGACCGAGTATCAACAGAGCAGCGCGCTCTGGGACGCGTTTCGGAAAGCGGCTGCAGGGGAAGATGCGCACAAAGATGCTCAAGATGCCTCCAACGCAGACTCCCCTTCCACCGACGACACGACCGTCGACGACTCGCCCACCAAAGTTTTGGAGAGTCCTGAGGACAAGGAAGCGGAAGCGGATGAGATTATAGCTCGCAGCCTGAGCAGTGCTAAGTGGATTGAAGAGAAGCTGGGCAAGGAGTGGATTCTAATGCGCTGGAAGGAACAATGTTTCGTGGATCCTCCGGAAAGCTCTACGAGGCCTGTCTTCACCACGCCTACCTCGGGAACAGGGCAATCGACAAGGCGGTCGACTCGGGCCAATATTGGCGGACCTGCATCGTGGGGACTGACGATTGCGGGCTTCTACTACATCGCCCTGAACCGTCTGACAGGGGAGATTGACGGCTTGTACTACGACCCTGGATCCCAACCCTACCAGACGATCAAGATGCTCCCGGAGGGTACAACTGTGTCACAATCCCGGCCATGTGGCTGCGGAGAGAAGGACTGTAAGGATCCTGTCGGGATCAGGAAATGGTTTCCGGCTATTGAGCTTCAGTAAAGGATTTTGTTACGGGGTTTGGATGGCATCAACGGAGCAGGCGAATTCTACTGGGATTGGGACCCGAAAAAGGGAAACGTGTGCACGTTCAGCCTATACGAATTTGATATCATTGTTTGTTGTTCTCGGTTAGAATAAGCAGAGGCAAAGGGCAAAGGCAAAGGCGGGAGGGAAACCACAAAGGTTTAGGCGAAGACATGGACTTGGATGGATATGTATCTACAGTCATTGCATTGTCGTAGGTTCCATATTGTATGTTGCTCGGTCCAGCACCGAGTATGACGTGCTCATTAGTATGAAGCCACGAAGCTCAGCCGCACATCCTAAAAGCATCGAATCGAGTCTAGTGGCATCTTTGCTTCTTATTAGTTTGTATCTCGTATCTCTCTCTCGTCTCTCGTCTCTCGCCTCTCGCCTCTCGCTCCTCAAGTCAAGCTTCGGTAGCCGACCAACATCTGGAGCTCCCTTTCTTTGGCTTCGCTCCCCTTTGGCCTCGCCCGCCTCGCTCGCCTCGCCCGCTTCGCCTCTTCCTCTCCACACTTGTGTCTAAGCACTCCTATCTTTCTCCAACGAAACTCCTGTGTATCCTGTGTCAATTCACACACACATGACCATGGCGCCCACGGGCCTCCTCAACTCCTTCCTGGCCGCCATCCAGGCCTCGCTGTCAGTCCTGCTGGTCATCTTCTATGGAGGAGTCGCCGCCCACCTCAAGCTGCTCAATTCGGCCAATACAAAGGCACTCTCCAAGATATGCGTGCGCATGTTCCTGCCCGCCCTGCTGATCGTCAAGATCGGCTCCGAGTTGCACGTGGGGTCGGCGAAGCGCTATCTCATCGTCTTCATCTGGGCCATCATCTGCCACCTCATCTCCTTTGTTATCGGCATCGTCGCACATTTGTGGCTGGGCATGCCGGACTGGACCACCGTGGCGCTCATGTTCAACAACACGACTTCTTACCCGCTCCTCCTGATTGAGGCGCTGGACGAGACGGGCATCCTGCGCGCGCTGATTGTGACGGACGAGACCACCGACGCGGCGGTCGAGAGGGCCAAGAGCTACTTCTTGGTCTTTGCCACGGTCAGCAGCTGTCTGACTTTTGCCGTCGGGCCGAGATTGATCGACACGGAGAATGCGCCGGACGACGACGAAGGGGAGTCCAAGGACGACGCGCCGGAGCCAGACGAGCCCTTTGACGCTGTGGAGCGAGCGTACCGCGACCATCCAGACGACCATGCCGGGGAGGTCAACGAGGAGACGGGTCTGCTACAGAGTCCCGACACATACACCTTCCCGCAACGACAGTCGACCGTCTCCTTTGCCAACTACACCGAGAACTCGTTCTTCCCGTCGACGCGCCGCTCGTCCTTTTCCGGGCGACCGGCGGCCCAACCCTCGCGTCGGTCGTCGATGGCCGCCGTGACCCTGCAACGGCGGGCGTCCATCGTGCCCAAGAAGCAGTGGTACAAGCTCGGCCCGCGCGCCAAATGGTGGCTGCTGTTCATTTCGGACTTCTTCAACGCGCCGCTCCTGGGCGCCCTCGTCGGCGTGGTCATCGGCCTGATCCCGGTGCTGCACCGCGCGTTTTTCAACGACACTTACGAGGGCGGCATCTTCACCGCCTGGCTGACGGCCTCGCTGAAGAACATTGGCGGCCTGTTCGTGCCCCTGCCCGTCGTCGTCGCCGGCGTGAGTCTGTACACGGCCATGCAAGAGGCCCGGCAGGCGTCCCGCGAGGGCCAGAAAACCCAGCACATGCCCTGGCTCACCGTGACGTTTATCATGGTCGTGCGGTTTGTCCTGTGGCCCGCGGCGTCCATCTACTTTATATTCCTGCTTGCGTCAAAGTCGACCGTGCTGGGCCCGGACCCGATGTTGTGGTTTGCCATGATGTTGATGGTGAGTTTTGATTGTCTCCCCTTCCCTGCCCTCTTCGTCTGGGCCTATTTGTGAGACGTCCGAAGTCTGCATTGAATCACCATGCCTCTTTGCGCTTTGGTCTGTTGTGTACACATGACATGATACAACGACCATCAAGTACCTCTTGACCATAACTCCCGCTTCTTCGTCGCTGACTCTCACTACCAACAGCCCACCGGCCCTCCCGCGATGAAATTGATCACGCTCGTCCAAGTCAGCGACGCCGAGGAGGAAGACGAACGCAACATTGCCAAATTATTGACTGTAAGTTTGGAGTTCTCTACATCTGTAGACTCGCTGGGGTGGACGCAACGTAACTTACCCGGTGTCACACAGATCTCGTACCTCATCTCGCCCATCTTGAGTTTCACCGTCGTTGGAGGGCTGAGGGCCTCTCAGGCGGCGATTCCGTCATGATTTGCGAGACTGATACACGCTCACACACAGAATGACAAAGAGAAACATAGAGGGCGAAGAAGAGAAGGACACCCATCGACGTGTTTCTCAACGACTTATCAACCTCGGCGGGGAATGTGAACGAAATCACGAATATCTGTCTGTCTGCTCCACCCAGCATCACCATGCATTTACTGTTTACCTGCCGCGAAAGGAGTTTTTCACACTATCCTGTACTGCGTTGCTAGGCGAGTGTCTCTTTTGGATTGTGACTCTCCCTCTGTTTTTGGGGAGAGGACGAGGACAACGTAGCTGGCTGGCTGGCTGGCTGGCTGGCTGGCTGGCTACGGCAGTAGTACATATATATTTGCGATGTGATGGATCTATGGATTGATCTATGGATGAACGGATGAACAGATGGACGATAGGGTATAGCAAACGGTTCGGTCCGTGATTGAATCCGGTTTATCTAGGTGGATGTATAGCTATAAGGTATCTAATCGGGCATGGATGAAATATCTACCTAGGATACCTATCTATACCTATACTCGGTATATCTATGTACCCAGCAGAGAAGCAGTTCGAGTGCGAGTGCGAGTGCGAGTGGTACAGTGTCACCATGTATCTGACAAGACTTGTATTTGACGCAGCCCAACTCAGCCATCAGTCACTCACGCAGGCAGGCAGGCAGGCAGGCAAGCCTAATGTTTTTGATTCTCACGTCCCTTTTGCCAGAATGTGATCCAGCGCCCTGGTGAAATAGGGCAGGAAACGCTCCGGGTCCTCGCTAAAGGGAAAGTGGCCTAGCCCCTTCATCTCCTCGAACACGGCGCCCTGGATCTTGTCGGCCGTGCGCCGGCTCGTCTCGGGCGAGCAGCTGTAGTCGTACTCACCCGTCAGCATGTACACGGGGCAGGCGGCCGTGTCGATCTGCGCCATGCGGTCGCGGCCGTCCCACCCCTCAAAGTAGAACTTGAGGTCGCCCGGAAAAATCTGCGAGGCCTGCGCCGAGTACAACCACCAGTTCAGCCGCTTGTAGATGGCCGGCGAGGTGGGCGAGATCATGCCACACACGCGCTCCGCGTTGAGCACCGCCTCGTCGCCCTGCAGCGAGTAGATGGCCGCCGCCTGCTGCGCGGGCAGGTAGTCGCATGCTTCGCAGGGGATCACGCCCCGGACGTCCATCTCCTTGGCCCGCAGCGCCACCGCTAGACAAACCTCACCGCCCATACTGGCGCCGGAGACAATGACTCGTTTGAGCTTGAGTTTCAAAATCATTTGGTGGATTGCCGAGATGTAAAAGTCCTCGCTGTTCGCGTACGAGTGAGGGTATTGCAGCGTACCGGGGAACGAGCGCCCGTGGCCCGGCAGATCAAAGGCGTACATGGTACATCGGCTTTGAAGGGCTTTGTTGAGCATGAGCGAGTGATACTGCCGCGAGTCGGCCCCTGCGGTGTGGAGGAAGAGGACGGTTTGCTCGCCGTGGCCTGAGATCTCGTAGAAGATCTTGCACTTCCCCACCGGCGTCAACGTGAGCCAGGTATAATGACCAACGATGGAGTCGTCGTCGCACTCGTCATCTGGGGTATATTCAGCCACAGTCGACGCGGCCGGCGGAGGGTGCAATGTGTCCCGGATCCGGTCCAACACGATCCTCCACAGCCGCGCATGTTTGGTGAAGGCTTCCTTGTCGCCACTGACCTCGACACCAGAGCTTGAGCCCAGCAGCCGGAGCATCCCCCAGTATGACTGAAAAGGGCGCTTGGGTACAGCAGCAAAAACGTGCTGCCAGTGTTCCGATTGTGCGTAGAGCCCAAATTGAGGCGTCCACTCAGCCGCTGAGCCATCCTGTACTGTCACATTCCCCAGATTGATGCTAAAGAGCAGCTTGTCGCCAGCATTTGAAGAGCAGATTCCAAATCGGACATTGTCCACCTTGGCCGCAGATGCTTTGAACTCTGGGTCTCCGTTGATTTCTGCCTCGATTCTGCCCAGTTTGTCCAGGTTGATGGAGGAGAATAAATCCCCGCCTTCTGTCGCCATGATCTCGCGCTGCTTCACTTGGCTCTCCAGTTGTACTTGGCTGTCACCACCCGTACAAGGATGATATGCGCTCGACGGTTGTTTGAGAGCAGAATCCGCATTTAAAAGGAGTGGCGTGTGCCAGCAGGATTCGACACCCCCGCACGGAGTGAATCCGCCGAGGTTTACAGCATTGAAACTGAGGAATTCGTGATCCCGTATCCCCCATTTGAGGTGCTTTCAGAGCTCGAGACCCGGCAGTTTGTTGGGTAGCCTGTCTCCTCACGCGAGGTTGGGTAAGCATAGGCTTCTCTTCTGTTGGCTCCATGTTCGGCGCTAACACCATGGGGATTTGATATTGGGGATTGGGGGATGGAGATTTGTCTCCTATTATATATGATATTCTCCAACGGCCGGCTTGTTCGTGTAGAATCGAAGGTGACGCTCTGTCCTACGCTCTCGACAAATGAGAATGTTTGCAATGTGGTCTCGAGGTGGTCATCGACCATGGCGTCCAGGCCACGACTGCGCTATCTCTGATCGATCCCTGAGATCTTCGTCTGCGAGGTGAAAAGAGAGGAGTGCCTGTTGAAGTTCCTTGTAGCTGACTAGGAGCGAGCTGGAAAATGATCTCGCTAGATCTCTGTCTAAGGACTTTATTCGACCAACAATGGCTGCAGTACTCAACACAGTCGACTAGCTCCGGGTGGCTAGAGTATACGTAATGTCACTGTTGGCACACGCTGCTCTCGTCAAAGCTCCCAGGGAGGGTATTCACAATGGAAGAGAACAGCGGAAAACAAAAAGCCTGCATAAGCTAAGCATTGTGCTCGACGACCGCTTCACTTACCTGTAAGCTCTTAAGTGGAGAACTACCTACCTAATCTCTGCGTTGTTGTTTGCCAGCGAAGAGAAGAGCTTTCTTAGCACCACAGCGGCTATAATTCCACAAGCAAAGTGATTCCCTCTGGATCACTGTAGGCGAGTAGACACAGTATCCTGCCTTCAAGCGTACGAGTGAGACCAAGTTCACGAAGTAGGCCAACTCATGGGGACTGTCCCGGGTAGGGAATCCGTTGAAAGAACACGAGCAGTGGCTCGGACACTGGGCACCCGTCACGTCCTGGTGTTGCTGAGGCCTCCTGCAATCCTAGCCATTCCGAGCTGCATTGAGCATGTTAATACAGGTAAACGAGAAAGCCGGGCTTGAGGAGGGTGGTTGCAGGTCCGGTGACCAAAGGTTGCTTCATAGATCAATGTCCTTGTGGATCCCAAGGCATTGTTTGACACTCTCGACAGACGAAGGATCTCGTCCAGTAGTTGTTGCTTCCGTATCCAAGACGGAACAGGAGATTTTTCGACTGGCCACTAACGGAGCCCACATGACATGCAAGTTCAGCTTCAACCAGGATCTCAGCTGTGTAATGGAAGTGACGGCAGCGATACAGTCGGAGGTCCTGGTATTGTCCAGCGTCAGGTGGTCAGGTCTGCGTATGGTGCTGGCCGCATGCGATCAGGGCGCTGACTTTCAGCCACAGCAATATGCAAGTGGCTTTTTCTGGGAAGGGTCGAAGCAATTTCTCCTCTGTCGACGAATAGGCGAAATGATAATAGAGGGCGAAGGACCTTGCCCCAGACAGGGCAGAGGCTCCCCCGGGTGAAGTGGACTTTCTGAACCCATGTCTGTGCTCTCTGATGTACCAACCAGAGCCAACCCCGACAGATGACCCCGGTTCAACGAGAATGTTGATCGCCAAGCTCCGCGCGGAGCGAGCAGGAGCGGAAAAGGAGGCGGAGAAGATGGATTGACCGATTGGCAGTTTCAGCTAACGTTGAACATGCGGTATGTAGTCGGTATGAGTACAAACCTGTAGGCGGCTCTCTGTCAGCCAAGCCCTCGCACTCTTTGTGGTTAGCCAGAGGCATCATAAAGAGAAATGGATACCATGAGCATTGAACTCGCGACAGACGAGTGTCATGACTCCTTGTGTGGTTGGTACCCCAGGCGGCGAGTCCCCGAATGACATTTCGGACTTTTTGCTCTTCTCAAGCTTTCTCGAGACATTCTCGCAAGCGGTCAAGGTTCTCTTCTCGCATTGGCTGTCGAGGCTGGTTTTCTGTCAGCATCGCAAAGCCTCAGTCCTGGCGCCTGAGGAAAGGTGTGGACCTCATCCTCTCACCAGTAGTGACGACAACCATATCTACTCGTACTATCTCTTGCGCCACTCATCTCGATGAGATCACCTCAGGCACTCTCGTACTCGCAGATCCTCGTAGGTATGCCGTTTGAGGTGGCTGGTGTCCGATATTGACGGGATGCGCCCGACGAGGTGATCTTCTGGCCTTGCGTAGCGCAACGGTGGCCACAGTTAAGACCAGCAGGCGACCAGGTCATCCTGGCCAGAAATACCGCTAGCAAATCAAAAGCACATGGGGAACTGGAGATGAGGCTCTGACCCATAGAGCACCATCCACTCATAACTGGAGGGTATCCAGGCAACCCAAGGAGAGATGGGACTCTGAGCTGTTGAGCATTCCCGGCTCCAGCCTCGTAAAAGGCCTGCAGAGGCATGATTCGACAGGGCGTGGTCGTTCGGACAAGGCCCTGCACATAAGATCGGAGGTTGTGTAGACAATATCATTGCTCTGGAAGGGATTGTTGGTGTATGTGGTGGACTTCAACGACCAAATTTCAATGAGTGGATTGATGATTTGCCGTAGCTTGGGCTCCCACGGGCTCCTCATCTCCGGGGTGGACACTAGGCACCCACTAGAAGCGCCCCCTAGGCTAAGGTTTACGCCAGACGCAGGAACCGATGCGCTTAACCCCACCCCGACATGTGCTAACAACCCAGCTAAATCCCAGCCAGGCAAAGGCCAATAGGCCACCGAGCCCAGTAGGCGGCTGGGAGTTTGTCTTCAGACACCTGGATATGTCTTCCAGGCCCAATTAAGGTCCCCACTACGGACTTTGGGGCGTCGACCCTACGGAGCAATTCCTCGACCTTTTTGAGACTTGCATGACTTTTTGACTGCCAGACTGCGCTTCAGCTCTCCAGCTCAACACTCGTGCTTGTTTCCCCCCTGCCCTCACCTTCTCCCTTGCTTCACCACCGTTCCATCACCGCACACTCTCTTTCTCCTCCGCCCAGTCGATCACTCGCTCGTTGTTCCAGCAGTCTTTCAATAATATACGCGCGTTTGTCTGCACTCACACTCGCTCACCGAGATCAACCACATCAGTTGCGTCGCCATTGACTATACTAATAATCCCTGCTTGTTTGCTCCTTCGTGCTGGGATCAGACGCAGGAAGAAAAAAAGAGCCGCCTTTGCTTCCACTCCGTTCACAACGCAGCCAAGGACAATCCATTTGATATCAATTCAGACCACGTTACGGCGGCTCCCAGTCGACTGAATTCCTCCTATCGAAGCTACCAGCGGTGCCATTGTGAGGATATACCAGCCGTATACCCGTCTGCGACATGGAATAGCTTGCTGAGGTGCAAAGCCCTCTCCGCCTCCCCATCCCCGTGTCTCACATTCTCTGACACCTCCCGCTTTTCAACAGATACCTTTCGTTTGCCATCGTTCCGCTCTTGCTGCGCTCTTCGCCAGCTGCCGCTCATTACATTCACTCGCTTGGACATATCCGACCACTATTTCTACACACCTAAACGGTATCCTCTCCTCCCACGATAAAGACCATTCTCGATATAGGCTTTGAGACGATCGCTATTCATAATTGACAATCCTCGGTACTGTAGAGGAACCCCGAAGTGTGCCTATCCTCGGGCGTGCAACAGCGGGTACCCAACTGGATGCATTTCATGCGTCCACTACCAAAACACATACAATGGAGAGGCCTGCGAAGCGATTGAAGATTACAAACCCAGACGTCCGAAATCCGCGGGATACAGGCTCAAGAATGACAGAAGGACTGTTTACCTCTGAACAGGGCATGCGAGGTGATGATACGGACTATGCAGTTCAGCCTACACGGACTATTAGCTTATCTGATTTTCAACGACAAAACGTGTTCGGCAGCTATCAACACGCTCCGCGGCCTGTTCTACCTCGCAGAAACGCTGGAATCTACTTGTTACCCAGAGCTCCCGAGGCTACTGTCACAGCAAGCGTCGTGCAAGTTAATGTGAATGATGGCACAAGTACCTCTAAAATCACAGAGGTAACCGTGGCAGCGACCGATTCTGTTGTTTCCCTGTCAGAGGTCGGCACGCTGACCACTGCTGTCTCCTTAACTATACCTGGAATCTCCAACACCACCAGCACCCACGGAAGCTCAACAAGTTCATCCCAAACAACTCCTCCCATAACATCAACAATTACCTCATCGACGAGCAGTTTAAGCACTGGCCTCACAAATGGCACCATAACATCTGATACGACAAGCGAGCGGACAGTCACGGTCACAGCTACTTCGACCTTCGAGCTGTCGGTAATCAATGGTACCATCATAGCCTCGGACACACTCTTTGCTGGAAGCCCAACAAGGACTCACGAAGGAACCACTGCGACCAGCAGCAGTAGTAGCTCGGCGACCTTTTTCTTTGGTGACCTCACCTCAACACCTACACCATCGTCCGACACCTCTACGTCATCTGATTTGTCTGGGGACTCTGGCAGCTCCTCTTACTTCACTAATGGCCCAGACGGCAGCGGTGCCGGCTCTCCCACAGCTACAACCGATCCAGCAGCTACCTCGAGCGCCGGATCAGGGTCAGGGGGCGGCGGAGGCGGAGGAAGTCCTGGCTTGACCCCGACCCAACAGCAAGTGGTGGGGGGCGTTGTTGGAGGCGTGGCTGGTGCTGCGCTCACACTAGTCATCATTCTTTTCGTCCTTCGCTGGTATCGCCGTCGACTAAAGGCACGAGGCCAACTTCCAGAACAAATTGCCGCTCGCGAGCTGGCGGGTGATGGTGGCGGCGGAGGTAGCAGAGCTGAAGCATACCCCATGTCTCAGCGATCCTCAACAACGCCTCTTACTGTCGCTGTGGCCCACGGCTTAAAACGTCTCAGACCTCGCAGCAGTCAAACTCTCGGCACCACCGCCACTGGAACCACCGATAGCAGCGTCCCAGAATCGGAGCGAGGCTTTCAACGTATCGCTGGCCGCAAGATCGCCCCTGTTCTGAGTAGTGGCGGTGACCCATATGGAGGGAACTATGGTGCTTTCGAGAAGGACGCTGGTGTGGGACCCTCGGACATGCCGCGCATCCCGGAAAGAGGTCTATCAGGGGCTTCATTTTATCAAGACAACCGCGGCTTCTATGGAGGGAAAGGGACACCAACGCCACCACAAGTACCTTCGTCGCCAACGACTGTCACCACACCTGCTAAGACGGGAGATTCGTTGGCGCCTGCTGGAACGGCATCAAGTGCGAGAGACTTTGCAGAGCCCCGCGCACCATCAGCACTCAATAACAGTCAGATCTCCCTAAACACGCCTAGCCGGCCCGAAGGGTTTGCAATCATGCGGCCCAGTCCTGCTCGCACCCCGGTGACACTCAGTCCCGCTGCCAGCTCTATCCGGCTACCCATCCAGCAGCCACCGAGCATGGATGAGAATGCTCCTCCACTACCCCCAATGCTGCGAGACGGCGTTGGCCGCAGCCTGGCTAGTCAGGACGGAAGTCGAGTAAGCAGAAGCAGCGGACGCAGTGCCGGAAGATTTACGGAAAACATGTGATATTCATAATCTCACTGATGGTTGCTTCTGATCATCATCAATCTCTGGCAGCAAATTTTTGAAAATATCTCTGGTTTACTAGCGAGGAGTTTGAGCGTTTATTGGTGGACATTTTGGTGCCAGACACCCGCCATGATGGCGTGTCTCTCGAGTATTGAAAAATATACTCGGATTGGCGAGTCCCCGAGTGTCAAGATTGCTTTTTCAATATGATACCCACCAGATATATTCTGAAAAGACGAAATAGTCTGTCTATCTATAATGTATAGGCGTGAAAATTGAGCATGATGAAAACATTCCTACCACTACTACTACTACATATATATAGATGTTGTACCATGTACCGAGTACTTCTTGACACACTAGGATCTATGCCATCTAGGGACCGACCAGAGTGCGGTGGCCCTAGGCTTGATATTATGGCAGTTACATCCTCTTCAGCGTCTTGATTATCTGTCTAGATACTAGGTACGTATATACATTTTGTCGACTGGACTGCTACCAAGACTATATGTAAAAACATCTACCTCGTACAGCATCCATCTACCTGGGGTGGGTAGGGCACGTTGAATATATTATTTTTTTCCCTTTCTTTCTCTTCATCTTTGATCGCTGTGGTCCTTCTTTCTCATTACTCTACTCCTTGTAACTGGATGTTCATCATTGTTGCTGCTGTCGTCATCGTCATCGCTCACACCAGCTACAGTTCTTCAATTTGTCCGGATATCGCGCGGAAATGACTGGTTCAGTACTCGTACGGACTATCCCTCAGCGGCTCGTAGATGTACAGCGTCGAATTGTGCTGGTCGGGCAAGAAATAGAACCTCACAGTCTCATTCACGTATGCCACATCAAACGGATTCTGTGTGAGGGGCGTGCCCCGGACCGACGTCAGAGTCAATGGCACCTCATAGAGCGGGACCATGGTCTCAAAATCAACGAGTGCGAGACCCCCGATTGTGATGTTGCCGGCCAAGGTGGCGACACCCGAGCAGATCAAGACGGCGCGCTGGTCGTAGTGTTTGGAGTGGCCCAAGAATTTGCAGTCTTGGTAGTCGACGAAGAACGAGGGATTGCGGACGACAGATACCGGTTTCGAGAATGTCGGGAACGCATTGTTGGACGTCGAGTTTAGATTCCAGATTGAAGCATTGCGTGCGCCCCAGTTCAATGTGTTGAGTCTTTGTCGTTTGGTGTCATGCACAATGCCTCCCAGATGATCGGCGTAGTGGATCAATGATTGGTATTCCAGAGTCAGGGGATCGACGGCGATGATGGTGGCAGTGGTATTTGGACGATACTGCGCCAGGGTCGCCCAGATGAATTGCCCATCATAGTCGATACCTCCGATGTGGTACTCAATATCCCCTGGAGGAGTCAGTGTGGCGTCGACCACTCGTTTGCCCTGGCCATCGTAGATCTCAAGATGCGCATAACCGGCACCAGGCGCACGATCGGTGCCATTTATGATGGTGCCGTTGTATGAAGTGGTAGGGGCTGTCCAGTCTCCTCGGGCAGTAATGAATCTCTCCTCGTCGATGACCACCATGCCCTCAGGCTCGCCGGTATCGCCTTGAAAGGTGATGTTTTTAACCGAGCGCCAGACAGTAGTGCGGCCGAGAGTGGTAAACTGTTCGATGATTGCCTCGAAGTTTGCAGCTGGTCCCGGTACAGGAAGTGGGACTGGAACGAAAGAGACATTAGACTGGTAAACGGTGAGGTTGGCCGCGAGAGCGGTGGCTGCCAGGCATGCGCCTGAGACCAGGGACAACGACGTGCTCTTCATTGACACCATATCTGACTGAGATTAGCTGGTACTGTCGGGATAAAATCTGGAGGTTGATGAGCTTGAGATGAACAAGCATCTGGTCATTGCATGTTCCACGGTCTAGGTTTTGTAGCTACAGACCAGCGGCCTACCCTGCTCCTTCATCGCATATTGTGGATGCATGGAATGTTCCCTCGAAAGCTTTCGAACGACAGGACCCGTAGGAAGGTCGGTTGGATGCCGGTTTGGCCTATCACGTGTGATATTGTAAGGCAGAGATTGGTTCCGTGCGGTGTTGCGACTTGACGGAGGCTTCGCGAAGGACGGAAAACCAGGAACTCGGAGCACTTGATGTTCCCAAGAGAGGTTAGAGACTCGTGGCCTAGGAAACCCTTGCTCCTTCTGGTAAAAGGCTGCAGGCACGTTTTCACATCTCGATTGACGAAAAGACTTGTGAAGCAGTTGATCCTAGCAGGTGGAAGATACCAGCGACAATCACAGCGCATGGGCGGGGCTGGATTTACGAGACGAAATACTTCACCGTAGCCATTCTACAGCGGAGCATTTAATCCCCTCAAACGCCGCCTCCTAATTTTGTCCCCGACGGCTTCATTTTTGCATTGTCAACCTCATCTCACGACACCCAAGAAAATGCGCAGATAGGGCTACCCAGGCCTTCTTCTCCTCGCTGTCGACTTTGAGGCCTTCTCCATTAGCAAGCATCAATGGCAATTTGGGGCCAATCTGACCTGGGGAGATCTCGGTGGCTTCCGATTGATTATTGCAATATTCCCGCCCCATTCGAGGCAACTCTCAGCGCGGAGGGAATGGGATGATCCCCCCATTACTGGCTGCCGGTAGCACGGTAGGGTTGGTAATCACACAGTGTTTTCTGTTATGGACACATGGATCTCGGCAACACGTCCGCAGAGGCGAAACGACCATACTGTATCTAGCACTCATCTTTTCGAGCAGTCTCCTGCTTCAGACTTGTCGAGTCTCTGTCTTGAGCTCCTTGTTTCTTCTTGCTTTGATATCAAGCGGCTTCTCTTTATTGATGCTCCGCTCACATATCATGAACCCTCTTCATTCGTCCACGTTGCAAACGAAGACCGGAACCCCAACATTTCCCGACGAATCGGTTTCTCCAACACTTGGTGCAGCCTTGCCTTACGAGCCCCTAGCGGAAGGCCAAATACGGCTGCTCAGATTCTCGGACGACAAAGGTTTTGACAGCGAGACCCTTCGATTTGATCTTTTCCACGTGAAACTGAGCCAGAGACCGAACTATGTTGCTTTGTCGTACTCTTGGGGACAGGATGCCGCTCATGAAAGAGTCAGCATCGTGGTCAACGATCAAAGGTATGGAGTTTCCCCAAACCTTGCAGATGCGCTTCGCAAACTGAAGCAAAACGAAATCTCCACCGTCTGGGTTGATGCCATCTGTATCAACCAACGGGACACCATTGAGAAAAGTCGAGAGATAGTCAGGATGTTCGCCATCTACAGAATGGCAAGATTGGTCGTCATCTGGCTTGGTGCTGATACCGGACCGGAGGAAGAAATGCGAGAACTTCTCAGAGCGACAGCCGATGTGGAGAAACCAGTCAATAAACAACATCATAATGGCAACCCCGCTTCCAACTTGGAAGCCCTTGAACGACTGTTGTTGCAGCGATATTGGCATCGAGTATGGATTATCCAAGAGGTGGCCGCAGCAAAAAGAGCAAAGATATTCTGGGGGTCCTACATTTTTGACCTACGATCAATGGAAATACTAATACGGGAGAGAAGTCGGTTTTCGAGGGAAGACGAGGAATCTTCTGGCCTTGCTCAGGAAGTGTTATCCGTTCGGAATGCCTGTCGAGCTCAGCAAAAGCCACGATTGATGGACATTTTGGCAATGACGAGTATGTCCGAGACGAGCGTCTTGAGAGACAAGGTCTATGGACTCCTGGGTCTTGCGTCAGACTGGGCGGATTTCGTCCAAGAGCCCAATTACTCTCAAGCGGTCTCAGAGAACGAGCTGTGCTTGGAGATGACTTCCAATCATATCAATTGGTATAGTTCTGCAGACATCATATTTCTCCGGAGCGTGGATTCTCGACAGGGAGAACTACCTTCATGGTGTCCCGATTATTTCCATTTTCGACCGCATCAGTCAGATATGAATCTCATTCCGTACATATGCGGCAGGGACGTCAATCTCGGGTGGGAGAGACGGAGGGCTTTTGGCCAAGAATCGCCCAACATGAACGAAGTCATACCAGATCTCTTTCACGTCAGCGGTGACACACTCACGTTGAAAGGGACGTGCATTGGCCGAATCTCAGCTCTGGGCACTTTGGTGGACGAAGCTGTTTTTTCTTCCAGGTTCAGCGACCGCTTTTCGACGTCAGATATCACCGACCCTGACATTGGGAAAGCATTCCGTCGACTGCTGCTGATCTGCCACAACCAGACCTTTGGTCTGCAACCATCCTCAGCCTTCTTCTCGCTGCTCTTCTCACTGCCTGACCACGTCTTCCAGGACAAGGGCTACCTCCAAGTCAAACAATGGCTGGAACGTCACAGGGATCTCCTGTGCAGATTTGAGGTTACTTTGGCGCCGAGCTCCGACGAATACGCCTTCATATCCCGTCGCGGCGGGAGCCTGAGTCCAGCATCCAAGGTCTTGCCGGAGTGGAGGGAGTTCTTCAGCTTGAGCGAGGACAACACGATCAGCCGCAGGGGGGAGCACCCGCTCTACTCCATGCTGCGGTCGATGTCGTCGATTCTCGACGAACACGTGCGCCTCATGTTCATCCAAGACCAAGCGCTTCTGGGCTGGGCGCACCGCGACGCGGAACCCGACGACACGGTCTGGCATCTGGAAGGGTGCACGCTCCAGGCGGTACTGCGCAAATCTCCCGAGCTGTCCGCCGCGCGTGGTCAAGACCTGTACAAGCTCGTGGGACACGCCTATGTCGATCCCGTGCTGGCCAGTGGGCGGTGGATGGCGAGGGAGAGCCGGAGCAGATCAGTGAATCTATGCTGAACACACACCATACATGTAATTATGTGTATACGTGAATATACATGCTCAAGTAAGTAGAGTATGTTTATGTATGTGCATATACTCGAGAACTTTGGTATGGGAGATCCAACAAGAAATCAATCAAAGAAAGAAAACCTCTCTCTATAATCGATTTATCAGTCTCTCTTTTCTTTTCCGAACCACCTTAATCCCGACGACAATCATGTCTCGTATCTACATTCATATTCAAGGATTGATGTATACAAGTATGACTCTGTACGCATTCATGCATGTATGTATGCATGTATATATGCGAGTAGACATCTCCATCTCCATCCACACACGAGGATACACGAGTATATGAATGTATGAATATATCGATGCACGTATGTGGGATATATGAACACCGGCCTCGAAAGCGGAGAGTGGAGGCAAAACACTACAATTTCGCCCTCTCGTACTTCTTCCACAGACTCCGGGCCTTGAGCAGCGTGGGCCGGACGAAGGTGTTGTCCGTCAAGTCGCTGCGGCGGGCGACGTCGAGCAGGCCCTCGTAGGGCGTCTCGGAGGCACGGGCGAAGACGCTGTTGAGCTCGAACTCGGTGAAGCCGAAGGCGGCGACGAGGGCGTCGGCGTGGCCACCCGTCGCGAAGCGGGCGATGGCCGTGGTGTGCGCGGCGCGGAGGGAGGAGACGTCGTCGGTCGTGAGGTACGGGGAGCCGGCGAAGGCGGAGAGGCCTTCGAGCATGGTCGTGAAGGAGAACTATTCCTCGCCCAGAGACACAAGGGAGGTGGTCATGGTTAGATAGGTAGTTCAGACTTTGGCAGCGGGGTTGGAGAACCGGTGGTCTTCGGGGAGAGAAAGACTTACCACGTCCGCCAACGCCTCCATGGTCTCCCTGTCACTCCGGCCGCCGGCGGTCTGCTTGACCTGCGTCTGCAGGCCTCGCCAGTAGGTGAGGTCGGCGTGCGCCATGGTCAGCTCGAAAACGTCGTAGCTGGTGTCCTTGCCGGCCGCGACGTCGGCGAGATGCCGTTGCGCGAGGACCGCCGCCCGGTGCTCGAGGAAGTCCTCTTGCACGTCCCGGTTGAACCAGCCGTCGGCGCCAACGACTCGCAGGCGCTGCGACATGCGGCTGTTGTCTCTGAGACGGGCTAGGTACGAGAGGGCGGTGATGGACTGTTCGGATTTACTGTGGCTCAGAAAGAAAGAAAAAAAAAGAAGTCAGTGGTTGGAGAACAAGACACGTTCAATGATTCTCGACTCAGGAGAAAAGAATAGGGACCGGGATGGAGATGGGGTGGTCAATACTTTTTCCAGTGTTTCACGACGGCATTCCCAATCTGTTGCGAGAGGACGTAGGTCTCGCCTTCATATGTCCTCGACGGAGAGAGCTGTGCGTAGAGAGGACCGAGTCCCGCGCTGGCCATGTTTCCTGATGCCAGTCTCTCAGCATGTTTAGATGATCTGGGAACGGTGTCTACTTACCGTGTCCACCGCAGGTGAGACGGGCCACCTCGACATCGCGGACGCCGTGCTCACTGGCCCAGATCTTTGCCCCGACGGTCTGCAGGTGCAGATCCTCAAGACTCTCGTTGACGATGTTGTCGATGCGGGCCCTCATCTCGCGACCAAGCAGCATCATAGCCACAGACTAGAGGCGTCCACAGGGGGTCAGCAACGAATGAATAGATAGTCAAGGTCCAGGCAAAGGGCAACCATCTAGTCTGGTAGAACTCACCCGTGCCAACGCGGGAAACAATCGATTCTGCACGCTAGCATACTCAATCACCCTCCTCTCCTGCCCGTCCTTGGGGTTGAACTGCCGACGGAACTGGGCATATTTCAAGGCGATGATGGCCGCCTTGGCCACCTCGGTGCCCAGCTCCTCGGACATCAGGCCCCGAATGATGACCATGGAGGTGTAGGCGTGCTTCGAGTTCTTGGCCGCGTGGTACGTGCCGTCGGCGTCCAGCGAGACCATGCCGGCCAGCATGTTGGCGCGGGGGATGCGGCAGTTGGTGAAGGCCATGACGCCGTTGTCCATCGAGGCGAAGGTGCCCATGCCCTTTTCGCCCTGCTCGTAGATGCGCACGTTGGGCATGAGGTCGTGGGTGTCGAGGTCGCGCACCTGGACGAGGAAGACGTGGTTGCCCAGGTCGCGTCCGCGGACGATCAGCCTCGCGATGATGAGGGCGTGCGTGGCCAGGATCCCCAGTGACCCGATCCAGTACTTGTGGCTCGACAGCGTGGGCGAGTTCACCACAATCTCGTCCGTCGTCGGGTCAAAGGTCGCTGTCGTCTCGATGCCTCGGACATTGCTCCCGTGGCCCAGCTCCGTCTGCGCGTAGCAACCACTGATCTCATACCGCTGAGCCTTAGGGAGCCAATATGCTTTCTGCTCGGGGCTCATCTGTGCCTCGAGGTTTCGGAGGAAGACTGCCAGGTGGCCATTGTGTTAGTATTTACTTCCCCCGGCTCGCTGTCCCTTACAGCTCTCGATGCCCCTTTTTCTGTAGAGACCGACTTACTGCGATAATTCACCCCAATGGACAGCAGATCCCCCGCGATCTTGGTCGCATCGACAAACTGCTGATTCGACCAGCCGAGCTTGAACTTGAGGTCAAGCAGCTCCACGCTCTGCTGGAGGCGCAGCGTCCACAGATCCTTCCTCGACAGCCCATGCGTGTTCCGGGGTTGCGTGAAGATCGGGTTCTGGGTGACGGCGGCCAGGATCTCGCAGCGGCGCTTGAGCCTCTCCTCTCCCCAGAGGAAGTTGGAGAGGGGACTCGTGCTGGGCGTGGTGGTGGCGGCCATTGTTCTTTGTTTTTTTTCTTTTCTTTTGGTCGTCCCAACGAAGCTTTTCAACACGATGTATAACCCTCCGGAAGTACTCGTATGGACTATCGTATCGCACCGTCCTCCGTCTTCTCTCCCCAAGAACTCTTTAAAGCCTCTTCGAAAAGCGCCGAGCCGAAAACGAAAACGCCGCCGCCGCAGCCCGGCAATGCGGCTCTCAACTGCCGAGGCAACACAATCGCCAATCGACACACAAAATGAGAGACCATGACAACTCCAACATCTGACATGGACACGCGGAGTCAAGGGACCTGTTCGAACTATCTCCTGATCTCACGCGACTAGCCTCGAAGGTGTGAGCGCGCGGCGTCATGTTGTGTACTCGGTATGGGAAAAGAAACGCCGTCTGGTCGGCTGGAGCTACACCCAACCTGGCCGAATATGACTACACGGAAGTCCTCGAATTAGGTATGAAAGATGCAGGAAAAGATTGAACAGATGGGGGAAAAGACCCACGGCGCAGGGTGAGATACATGATAGACTTAGTTCACCACGGTCTCGACTCCATGTCGGTGCCTGCACAGCCTCGACGGACAAGTTACAACAAAACTCAGCCTCGCGCCAACTACCGAGGCGCGCACCAAAAGTATTGTCAACGCTAGTAATAGAATAATGAACTGATCAAAAGACGATAGACTTTATTTTCGCTGCCCTCCAGCAAGTGTACATGGCCTTTCTGGTTGTGTACGCCGTGTTTGCGATTCGGTGGCGGTTTCACTGGCCATCCTTCACCGAACCCTGAAGAACCGGTAACGTGGTGTAATGCTAAACGGTTGTGCCAGTACAGGTGATCGGAATTCAGAGTCGGCTAGCGCTATAGATCCAGATGTATATATATACAATTGTAACACAGTTGCTTGCGCAATCGACCATAGGATATGGAATACAGGGCTTCCCGTTCGCTCAGCCGTACTTAAGCCATATGCCGATCAGTTAATACTACCCTGGGTGACCAGGTGGGAACCCTGATTGTTGATTGTTTTTGCTATATGTGAATGGTGTCTTGATTGTTCATGCTTTGTGGCTGGCGGTGACTTTTCGACCATGTACGGATGCGCCTCGTCACGCTGGTATAGACATCGCCTTCTAGATTCCTATATGTTCTCACCCTAAACTTCCAATCTCAGTACCAGCAGAGCAGGAGGGAATAAACAATAAAATCGGCTCCTCGAGTCACGCGTGGCAAGGCAAGGCTTAGTCTAACAAACAATAGCTCATTCGTCACCTCATGTATATTCTATATGAATGGATGGCCGGTCGTAGCTTGAACCCTTGGACGCAACCATATGATATCCATTCCATCCAACCCCTTCTAGCCGCAACAACCAGTAACATCGGCGGGCTCGGGCTTGTCTCTATGTCCGGAAAGTGTGTCCAATGTCAGTCATTCAGCCAGTCTCTGCTGAACGCATAGTAGAAGACGAGGGACGGTGGAAAGAGGAATAGGAAATGGGATGGGATAACGGGCAATGGGAAAGGAAGAAAGAATAACGTGGCGGACAGTACTGACTTTGAGTCGATCAAGAGCTGGTCCCAGCTGAAGATGAAGCAGCCGAGAAAGCCGCCAATGACGATGCAGATGATGATGTACCCTATAAACAGCACCAGGGTGTTAGATACTGCTTTTGTGCCTGGGTTGTGTGGGCGGTTGGTTGTAAATATCCCAAGCAGAGAGAAGGATGAGATACTCTGTTTGTATGGGGTGGACACAAGAAGATGAAGATAAAATGAACAGTAAAGATGTACCGTTATAATACATGGCCAGCAGCATGATAAAGTACGCGACTCCAAACTGCACCATGTGGATGAGCGAGCGGATGCACTGGCGTTGGAGGAGGGTCATTCGATCGACCGCCGATCGTTGCGGACGACGAAGGAGAGGTCGTTCCGGGAGTGGCGGACTCATGCTCGTGTTCGTGGCTGTCTTCCCTCCAGGATCCGCTTCCTGCTCGTATGAGGCACACGCCGCATTGTCGCGATTTCGAACAGCAGCAGCCAGGGCGAAGGCCTTCTGGTCCTTGCGGCGGATCCAGCTGTCGTACTCGCGCTGGACGCGGCGTAGGAACTCGAGGGAGATGACCAGCAGAATGACGCCGATGCAGGAGAGCGCAAAGATACCATCCGAGCTGACCTGCCATGACTTGGAGATGAAGCCTAGGCAGAAGAACAACAGACCGATATATTCAGCACAGCGCCAGTATTGAGAGGGGAGATAAAGGTCGGGCTTGACTCACAGGCTCCGACTGTATACCAGTTCCAGGTCATGGAGATCTTGCAAGAGCTGTCTCCCATGCTCATTCCGCCGGATGGTGATGCGGAGGCGGAAGACATCGACATAGAGGTAGAGGTAGAGGTCATGGACATGGACATTGTAGACATTTGCAGACTGTCTGGTGTGTGATTGTGTGTTATGTTCGTCCTCACAACGTAGAGTCAAACAATGTGAACCGTCAAAGAGAATCGAGTTGATGTCCCGTAACAACTCCTTTTGGATGATCTTAAGAAAACAATCCGTACAAGAGAGGTACCATATTCCATGCAAGCCAGCCAGCATAGTGCCCTTCTTCACCTATGAGCAAGTTTCATTGTCCTGTGATTGGTCACCCTCTGCATGGTGAGCATGTATCTTGGGCCGCCCAATATCGGTGAAATCTGCTCGCCCGGCACAAGTGTCTCCGGTGTCTAGTGTCTAGTTTCATCCAGAGCTCCTAGAGCAGACACGGTACATATGTACAGGCCACTTGCCGCACGACGAACCAGCTCAATGGCGGAGATGCAGTTTCTTGTCCCTTTCGCTCCTCACTTTCGGGAGACTCAGCCCCTTGGTGAGATCGTGCAAACTTGCGCGCATCTGCTCGGGCCCTTCCCGGCCAGGCCCCAAGTGCAGTGAGTAAGGCTCGGAGCGATGCTCGCGCGACCAGGGCCGCGCAGACTTCTCGTGTCGCTCAACATGGTACAACCGGCCGTAGCCGACGAGGAGCAATGCCAGGACAACCAACGCGGGTTTCGTGATCAGCATCAGACCGCCCATCAGAGCAATGGCCATGTAAACACAGTTTTCCTGTGGTACCTGTTTCCGGGATTCGGTTTTGGATAAGGCCAGGTGAGGGTGGTGAGACCGCGGTTGGTTCTGCCCGAACATGGTGACTGTAGTTCGTCTCCCCGGCCTTTTCTCTGCTAGTTTCTTTTATTGATGACAAGTTGCTATTATCACCCAGAAGTCCTACTCGTCAGTTCGTCGATTTCTCGCAAAGCAGTCGACCAAGTCAGGATCAAATGGGTTGTCTGTTCAGCGGAGCCGAGATTTAGTATTATTTCGAGTGCTCCGGAACCACCGGCTGCATAATACACGAGTAAGCTTCCATGTGCATTTCAAGGTGAATTCCGCGCATTGCGATTTTGTGCTCAGCTCATCCAGGGGACATCCCAAAAGATGGAGATGGGACTTTCCCTCCGCAGGGCTCGACGGGGTAGTCTGAGAGCTCTCGGCAATGTCTGTTAGGGCATCACGGGCATTTCTGGTCCTGTTTGAGCTCCAGCGAATTCGACCTCGTCCCGAATGTCTTGATGCGTTCCAGGTTACTGGCGAGACCAAACGTATGTCCCGCCGCAGGAGTCGCCAACGAGCTTTTGTTACCCCATGACTATCACTTCCCATCCATCTTGTTTTGACGGCACCCATCCTGCAAAATGACGCCGTCAACGGCCACGAATCGCACGCGGGGCCATGCCGGTGGTGCTTAGTAAACGAGAACTGCTCGTTTAGTAGGATTTCAGGCCCTCGTGCCTAGATACGTCGTGCCGTTCCTGCCTTCTTTAACGATTGCAGCAGTTTGTTTTGTGGCGTGTCCCTCGCATTCCTCCAGGATCGGCAAGACCCTTCCCGCTCCAGATTGATGTGATTTTTTCCAGAACGCGGTAACGGCAACCAAGGAATCGGTCAGCTCGTAAACTAGGGCCTTCTCCGAGTATGCAGGGCATCTTCTCCGATGATGGTGCATGAAAGGTCGGTAGTTAACAGTTATATGTCTGTGTCGGTAGGGTATAAAAGGTTTATGAGGGAGCCGAAATACTGCGCTCTGCATAGGTCTGTCGTTGAAAAGAGGCTTCTGGTTCGACCTAGACCATATACAGCAAGCCATGCCCAAAACAACAATTCTTCTCACAGGAGCAAGCGGTGCACTGGGCTCTTCGACTCTCGCCCTCCTCGCGGCCAAATCCAACTTCGAGGTGATTGTTGTGCTTCGGTCGCTCGCCCGATCCGAGGCAGCTTTCCGGTCCAGATATGCTTCACAGGTCTCAGAAGGCCGTCTGTCCTTCGTGGAGGTCCCAGATATGACCATCCCGGACACCTTCGACGAGCTAGCTGGCAAAGCTGATGCGATCATCCATATCGCCACCCCTCTGACGTATGACAATCTCATGGAGACGACGATCAAACCCAGCTGGGCCATTTTGCGCAATATTTTGAGCGCAGCGGACAAATCAGGGCGGGTGAGGAGGGTTGTCGTGACGGGGAGTATGGTCTCAACCATGCGGATGGGGGCCTTGTATTCTGGGGGGACCATATCCGCCGAGAGCTGGAGCCCCATCACCCTTGAAGAGGCCGTGCTGAACCCTCTCAATGCGTACCAGTACTCCAAGGTCTCGGCAGAGAAGAAAGCCTGGGAATTCATGAAGGAGAAACCGCGGGCGTTCGACCTGGTGGTCTTGTTGGCGCCGTCCATCACAGGAAAGAGTCTGCAGCCAGGTTTCAAACCTAACAAGAGCAATCTCGGGGGCCAGCCAGGGATTTATAAGGGTCTGTTCGACTGTGACGAGCCAGGCTTTCTGTTCCCATATTTCATGTTCGTGGCGCCCTCTTGATCCTCAAATGGCATCATCTAACCTTTGCTGACCTCCTGTCTCCCGCCTTTTTTCAGGGACGTCGAGGATGTCGCCCATGTTCACGTCCAGGCTCTTTCCCCCGGTATCCCAGGCAACGAACGATACATGTTTCACTCACCCGAGCTGATGATGGCTGATGACATTGCTGGGGCCGTCCGAGAAGATTTCCCACATTTGAGACAGCGGGTCCCTGCTCCTCAACGAGGTGTCGATAGTGGACTGTCGTCCAACCTGATCAAGACGGACATATCCAAGTTTGAGAAGGCGTTCGGCAGGCAGCCGTGGAAGTCAGCGAGGGATTCAGCCCGGGAGACCGTCGAGGACATCGTGGTCTACGAAGAGAGGTAGCGAACACGACAGGCCGGACAATAACTGGATGGTCAGGGAGGTTTGGACCTGCAGAAGACGTTGATGATCGTAGTCAAATGCGATGGCGATGTAGATGACGGACGAGTGAAACAAAAGACATGGGAGCAGACACTGCTGATCACAAGGACGGTGCTGGTCAGATCGATGCAGGACACAGGACATGCCATTGACGAGCGACGAGTGACCACCAAACAAACAAGTGCGGGAATTTCTCAGTATGTTTTGAAATATTGGTATTTTCTATTTCGAAATCTTCGAGCCACGACCCTGTAATAACGCCATTTTCGTCCTGTTCGCTGAACGCTGAGACGCCGCCACGAGGCAAACAAGCAAGGGAATTATGCTGAATTATGCAAACAGGGATTAATCGTCGCGGCAGCAGCGGCAGCAGCAGCAGCAGCAAAAGCAAGCAACAGACAGCAATTTTGCATTTGCATTTATGTACAAATACCAAGTTCAATATTCGATATTCGGTATTTCAGGCCTTGACAAAGCTCCATTCCTCCAATTTCTTGACCGTCTTGACACATCTGCCCTCCACTTCCCTCGTCCAGACGTCGGCCGCCCACAGGGACAGCGAGAGGGTGATTATCCAGCCGATGAGCATGGTCCCGGTCCATACGAGATCGGTGGTGTCGACGCCCTGCACGCCCATAGACCACCATATCCGGTGGGGGATCATGTATCCGACCGCGTGCATGATGGGGCCGTGGACCAGGTAGAGGGCAAAACTGATCTTGCCCAAGTATTGCGGTACGCTGCTGTTGAGAATGCGTCGCCAGATCGAAGTGTCGGGGTCGCCGCGGGCGAGAAGCAAGAGCAGCAGGCCGGTGCCAATGTTGGGGTAGAACTTGTCCTTGCGCTCCATCCACGCAGGAATGAGCTTGTTGAGCGTCATATAGCCTGGAGCGTAGTCTCTTGAGCCATCAATTGGATAGGACAGGAAGTAGAAAGCCAGCAAAAACCCTAGGACTCGAAGAGCGCGTAAACCTGCCTTGGGAGGGGTCGAGACGTAATCAGACCAGGTAGGAGGCGGCTTGTAGTCAGGCTTCGGTGAGTGAGGTGGCGACGGAGGTAGTCGGTCTGGAACCAGCGTGAGTTTCTTTTCCTGCTCGCGTTCGGTGAGAAGGAGGTCAATTTGTGCCACGACGGCCCCGATAATGTACACCCAGATCTCCCAATGGTTCCATAAGAAAAACATGACCGTCATCACACACAGGCCTGCCAAGCGCACGTATTTCTTGCATTGTGCGGTGCCGATCAAGATCAGGTACAGAAAGATGGAGCCCTTCAACTCGGCCAGAATAGACCACAAATGCTGATCATGGTAAGGGTAGACAGCGCCGTGAGTAAAGATGTTTGTCAAGTCGAACATTTCGCGGGCCCAATAGCTCATCTGGCGATAATAGCTCGCAAACTTTTCAGGCTTGGGTTCGTTCCAGACGCCGGGAAAAAGTTTGCCATGGTCCGTGATGTAGCCTCGATTTCCTTCGTAGAAGCCGAAATGGATGTAGTGAGCCGTGATGAGAGTGATGATGAAGACGGGGAGATAGAGCCTGAACGCTCGACGGAACAGAGCCCCCGACACATTAAGTAGGACCTTGGCCTGCGAGGTCTGATCGCGTTTGTCGAGAAGCTGGAACAATCGTAGAGAGGACAAATAACCCGCAATCCCGAAGAAGACATGAGCCGTGAAGCCGGCATAGAAATACCGGACGATGGGGAGCTCCAGGACATAATGGTGGCGATCGTTGGTGCCCCAGGGCGCGAAGCCAATGTCGCTGAATGCCATTATCCAGTGGAAGGTAAAGACCTTGATCGAGGTGATGCCTCGCAGGCCATTGAGATAGCTGGTGGGGAATTGCTTGGACTTGGAAGCATGATCATTCCAGTATCGAGATCGCGCAATTTGAGGGACGAAGCAATAGGCAAATCGTTTGCTGGCTTTGTAGAGACTGGCAGGTCGGGCATGCGACAGGGCAGTGGAGAGCATTCGCTCGGGCACTTGTCGAAGAGATCTAGAGGAGAAGTCATGGCGGGGAGCAGTGTCCGTATCCGTGTCTGTGTCTAGGAAGACATCTCTTTCCTCCTTCATCAGAGGCTGTCGGAGGGTCTGAAGCTCGTGTTGACTCATGGTGCTATCATTGGTATGGTATGCTCGCTTGCCTGGATTGCGTTATTCTGAGAACTGGGGTCGCTGAGGGCTGAGGGCCTGTCTAAAGTGTCTAGCAAGTGTCTAGCAGTGTCTTGAGGACGGGGTATTGGAGTGGTACGAAATGAAATAATGGGTGCCCAGGTGGTTCGGGGTGGTGGCGTCAAAGGAAAGGATAAAGGCGCGCCCGCGCCCCTGAACAGGTCCGCCTTGCCCTGGATTAGGTTCCTAACAAGAATGAACGATCAAAGGAAAGTTCATCAAAAGACAAGTAGGAGAAGAAAAAAGAGTGTAACAATCAGTCCACAGCCATGGAGAGGACGGTGGGTTGGACACGCCGGATACGATGGCTTTGGGGTGCCAGTGCAATCGAGGCTTGAAATCACGACATTTGTCTTGGATGAGTTTGGAAGATTCAGCCCAAGACCATAAGGGTTTCTTGGAACGCCCCTGTTACTCTGTTCCTCGGCTTACTATTTGCTCGCGTGCTTGTCTGGCGCCTCGCACCAGCCTGATGAGGCTGAACTGCAACATTTCTAGACATTGAGTGGCAGAGGATGGACTCCAGTGGATGGCTTCTCCCTGCATTAGCCTCCGCTTGGCTCCCTGCTAGCCGCCAATTACCGAAACTGCCAATGCTGCCAACCCTGACCATCAAGCCCAGGGAAATTGTCCCATCCAGCCATCCGAGGCTGTGGTGGGGGCGATAAGCGTGGCGAGCGTGTTAGATTTTCGTCCAAGCCCCTGAACTTGTTCGGCTACGGGCCAATTCTTGTGTCCTTGCCGCAGATACCGAGAACAAGTATATAGCCCAGGGACTTGTCCAAGTTGGCAGCAACATCTGTTTGGTATAGGGCATACACTCCTCCTACCTCCCGTAGCTATACGAGTACGAGAGAAGTACCTTGATACAAAGTTATGCACTCCAAGCACTAGGATGTCACATGTCACCACAATGTGCCCAAATTGTTATGCCGGAAAGTGCCATCCAGTCACGTGTTGACGCTAGCGACGTTTGGAGGCTGGTGTCCGGAAAATACTTTTTCCAAACACCCTCCATCACGTGGGCATCGGATAAGCGATAAGCGGGAACACATTCACCTTTTGGGGCGTCCTTTACCAAAGAGAAAAAAAAAGAAAGAAAAAATCCACTGGTAGAGAGCGCCTCACCCCCACTCTTTCTGCAGTCTTTCTCTACCCTTGCGTCCCATTTACCACGCTCTGGACCAGTCGAGTGACGACTTGATCTGCGCTTCACCCGCTACTCAACCAATCCAACACACATCGTTTCGGTCACCACCGATCACCAGATGCAACCATGCCAAAAAGACCCTACAAAATGGTTTTCCGTGCCTTTTCGTCCTCTGCTCTTCTTTCCTCTCATCGCCCTCTAGGCATTCTCAAACCCCCATCTTCCACAGCGAGCGACTTCGGGAGTTTTGCGCTCGCTTCTCGACATAAAGCTCCAATTTGACCACTTCCTCCCAATAGCGTACCTCTTCTCAAGAGCCAGGAACCATGAGCGATTCCAAGGATATCAAGGTCGTCCGCGCTTCCAGCGTCGACCTTGGCCGAGACTATGGCACCGGGTCCTCCAGCTCTCGTTCCCCCATCGAGCATGGACATCCTGAGATCATTGAAGCGAGTCCCGAACGTGGTGCCACTGCCCTTGGTGACGACGAAACAGATGGAGTTAAGAAACAGTCGTGGCGTTCCAAGTTTGCCTTCTTCAAGACCAAGGACTTTTGGCTCATTTTGTTTCTGGGACAGATACTGGCTATCTGCATTACTGGTACAAACACTTTGACAAGCTTGTTGGCAGCTGAGGGGACCAGCATACCCGCCTTCCAGACCCTGTTCAATTACGTATTGCTTAATTTCGTCTACACGGGTTACACCCTGTACAAATATGGCTTCAAGAAGTGGTCGCGAATGGTCCTCAAGGATGGTTGGAAATGTATGCTTCTTTAATACATTGTCATGTTGAGCCGCTCAAGGACTAATCGCAGAACTATAGATATCATTCTTGCTTTCTTCGACGTCGAGGGCAACTACTTCACTGTACTTGCCTACCGCTACACTACCATCCTCTCGGCCCAACTGATCAACTTCTGGGCTATTGTTGTCGTGGTCGTCATCTCCTTCACCTTCCTCCGTGTGCGATACCACTGGGCTCAAGTCCTCGGTATTTTTGTATGCATTGGTGGAATGGGACTTTTACTGGCCTCTGACCACATCACCGGCTCCAATGGCGGGGACGTTTCTTCCGGCAACCAGCTCAAGGGTGACCTGTTTGCGCTGCTGGGCGCGACCTTCTACGGCTTGTGCAACGTCTATGAGGAGTGGTTTGTGTCGGGCAGGCCCCTCTATGAAGTGATCGGCCAGCTTGGCTTTTGGGCCACCATCATCAATGGCGCACAAGCCGGTATCTTCGACCGCCACTCTTTCCACACCGCGACCTGGAACAGTAAAGTTGGAGGCTATTTGACAGGCTATACCCTCATTCTGTTCGTTTTCTACACCCTCGTTCCCATCCTGTATCGTTTCGCCAGCGCAGCATTCCAAAACATCTCCCTTTTGACAGGAAACTTTTGGGGCGTGATTATCGGTCTACGGGTATTCCATCTCCACGTGCATTGGTTGTATCCCATTGCATTTACACTGATTATGATCGGCCACTTTGTGTATTACTTTGGAAAGGGCGTGATGGGAGAGGCGGCGAAGGCGTGGCTGGGTGAGAACCAGGAGAAAGGTATCGACGGCTTCGGGAGCGCGAAGAGGAAGATCCGAATGATGCAGGAGAACACAGCGGGGACCAGGGGTGGCGAAGGTACCGAAAGCATGGGTGTGGTCTAAAGGAGGCTGAAGAGCAGAACGAGGTAGATGATCAGCCTGCCTTTCGGGGTAAACAAGGCCTTGTTCTCAGGCAAGCAATTGCCTGGGACTCGGCGGTGTCTGGTGGCGGTCAAAGCGACCCCCCTTTTCTATCATTAATCACATGGCTGGGGACGCTTGAACACGCTTTTTCGTTTTGACATCACGATGAATGACGAGATCACGGGCCATGATTGCATACAAATATACCGCTCATTCCTGCAACATTTTAGCATGAGTCCGAAGGGAGGGAAGGGTGTGTGTTACTTGTCTTCTCTACATACAAGTTCCTCATATTTGACCTGAAATATTTAGGTTTTCATCTTTTTGGTTCTGCTCTCCTCCGCCCTGTCCTGGTGCTGCCCTTAGACGCTTTACCAGACCATGCAATGCCATACCGTGTCGCAACATGCCATGCGACGCAAAGCAAAGTCAAGCAAAACGAGATACAAACAGAAGACAGAGAATAGAGAAAGAAAAAAAAGGTTCGTGGAGCAAAGCGAGAAATAGTAGACGTAGTAGGAGTAGTAGTAGAAGTAGAAGTAGTTGTGGTCGGTCAAGGGTATTTGAATGTCTTGTTGGTTTTCTTCTTCTGGACACCAGTAGAAATCTCGATTGTGCATCGCACAAGCTGCCCGCCTACTGGGGCCCACCACCACCAGCACACACCCAAATATCTTCTCCCGCATCGAAGTTCCCGAAGTAGTTAAATTTTCTGTCCGTTTTTCCGCCCTCCATCAACCCTTCATCACAAGGAGCCAAGGAATAGGAACCACAAAGTAACGATTTGTGATTGAAGAAGGTGACGAGCAAAAGGAGACAACGAGATGGAGGAGCAGCAGCAGCAGCAGCGATAACACTCCTCCGGTCCTCGGCTTCCGATTCGGTTATTTTACTGCTCGGTCTGGAAATAGTTCAACAGGACGTTGCGCTCCTGGCTCTCCTCGCCCCAGTCCCTAACCACGACGCAGCTGCAGTTGACCACCTTGCGGGCGTTGCCCTCTCGGTCCAGGACGCACAGACCCGCCCACTCGCCCAGCATCTTGCCGTCGGGGACCTTGATCAGCGGGATCTTGTGCTCGGAGCACAGGGCGACGACGAGCTTCTTGTAGGCTTCCTCCTCGCAGGCCTCGTTGAGGACGCACATGTGCGCTTGGCGACGGTCGAGCGCCTTGGATGCTTCGCGCAGGCCGCGAGCGAGGCCATCGTGAATGAGGGCGAGCTTGAGAACTCCTGCACACACGGGAATTAGCCCTCAGTTTTACAGCCATCATTTTTTCAAATTCTTCATTCCATTCTCTTGATCCCCTTCTTCTTCCTCGATTCCTCCCCATCCGTGAAACATGTCAAAAGCACGGCGTCGGGTGTCGTGCTTTGTATCTCTCCAGTCCTACCATATTTCTTTCTTCTTTCCCCCACCGATTGACCAAGATCGAAAAGAAAATGCCAGACACACACCTTTTAGAGCGTCGAGGACGGACATAGAACCAGAGGCGCCGGCATCACCAGAGACTTCGACCTCATCGGCCGCGGCGACTTCTTCGACGGGGGAAGTGGGCTCTTCTCCTTCCGACTAGGCAGACACAATCAACGTCAGTATTTTTGCATCCACAAGATGATCGTGCATAAGGAGAAGTAATAAAAGAAATCAACCCAGGTCCTCCATGCCCAAATCTTTGCCGTGTCCGTGACATCTCTTTCGTGAATCGGCGGAAACTCAAAAGTTCGGGCTTGGACACCTTGGACTGGGGGCGTTTGGCGGGAAAGATGGGGGAACATACCATATTGGCGATTCGTTACTTGTGTGCAAGTACTTGTCTATCAACAATTTGTCGGATGATCCTCAAAGAGTCAACTTGGGAAAGGAATGAATAGTATCATGCAAAAGGGAAAGGTCCGGAACTTTTTGCAGGTCGAAAATGCGAAATTACGGTGCGTGTCCCTCCAAGACTTTGCCAAGAAATTAGAATGTGGTCACGTGATTACAAAATCAGGGTGGCGTTCTCGTGTGTGGAACGATGTGACAAAGGTTATTAGTATTATGTGCCTCGTACTAACCTAGTCAAAAGAAAAGAAAACACCAGCGTGAAATGTCACCGGGAGCCCATTGTCATCTGCGATATTGATTTTGGACACAGCCTCCCATCATGCATATTGTGTTGTGCTCATGGACACAATTCCAAGTACGTAGCTACTACCATCTACTGTAGGCTCAAACAACGGCGAATTCATATCTTCATATGTCAACGAGTGGATTGCTAAAACCCCCGTGCTCTGCATCCAAAAACCGATCAAGACCATAAACATCAGAGTTCCGTTCTCGAAACAAATCCGCAAGTGGCCTACCAAGGCCAATCAATGCCTCAACTCTCTCAGTCGTCAATCATTAACCCCTTTCAATGAGTGTAGCCGGATCCGGTGCCATTAACAATGGGAGACGCGTGGGAGGTCAGGCCGTTTGTCAGTTGGCCTGACTTCACGTTTTTACCAAAGTCGGGGTATGCAGCAGCGCTCTGCGACGGAGATCCGCCGGTGTTATGCTGATGCAACGGAAGGACGCGAAGTGAGATAGGCTGTTTCCTGATTTTCAGGTTCTTCAGGTGCGGATGTCGGAAGAGCTGATCCTCGAAGTCGGAAAGCTGCGTTCAAGTTAGCCACCAAATCACGATTTTAGGCACAGAAAACACCACATACCTTGACCCAAAAAAGTTCCTCCATGGCAAAGAACTTTGGTCGCTCCTCTCGCTCGCGCTGAATCGCCATCTTGATTGTTGTATTGTACTGATTGGTTTCGAACTCGTATGACAGGTTATTCCTCGACACTTGCCAAAGACGTTGTCGTTCGTGTGGTGTGACCGGTCGTCTCTCTAGAGAAGTATAGCTTCGGAGATTCAAATCCTTGGTCGCAAGCAGTCCAGCAACTTGGAAATTTGGAATCCAGAGGTTGTCCCGGTCGGCGTCTGGAGTATTGGGATCGAGCTGTGCAGACTTGACAGTGTACAATGGCAGGAAAAGGTTCAACCAATGCTCACTTCTGGCCCTGGAATCGCCGGTGTCGACGAGTAGGGCGCATTGCCTAAGCAATGCTGGCAACGCCTCTCGCCTGCGCCGTTCAGCCTCGAGTCGCTCTTGGCGTTGTTGCTCTCGAAGCTGCTCTTCCTGTTTGCGTTGTCTTTCCTCGAGCTCACGCCTAATGCGCTCTTTCCGTGCCTCCTCTTCCTTCCGCCTGAGAGCAGCTTCCTCTTCAGCCTTTCGACGTTTTTCGGCCTCTTCCGCAAGTCTCCGTTCTTCCTCTGCCCTCTCAGCCGCAATTCTTTCTTCCTCACGCCTCCTGGCCTCTTCCAGTCGCCTTGCCTCCTCACGCTTTCTGATCTCTTCGAGTCGTCTTGCCTCTTCGCGCCGTCTAGCCTCTTCAAGTCGACGTGCCTCTTCAGCTCGTTTAGCTTCTTCGGCTCGCTTAGCTTCTTCCAGTCGTCTAGCTTCTTCGACTCGCTTGGCTTCTTCCAGTTGACGTGCCTCTTCGACTTGCTTGGCCTCTTCAAGTCGACGTGCTTCTTCGAGTCTGGCCTGTTCAAGGCGTTGTGCCTCTTCACGCCGTCTGGCCTCTTCAAGACGTCGGGTCTCTTCAAGCTGTTTGATCTCCTCAAGTCGCTTAGCTTCTTCGGCTTTACGGGCATTTTCTTCTCTCTGATGCTGAAGGTCTGTCTCAGAAGTGCCCCTCTCGACCGGCTCGGCTTTGATGGTTTCTCCAAGAGTCACCTTTGATTGAAAGCCTGCTCGGCCGGGAGGACCCGCCGATGCTACAGTTTCGATAGTGTCACTCGGTGTGTCTAGTCCAGGCCTGTGCTTGTCAATCTCCATGGCTTCCTTCGTATCTTCTTGGATAGCTGGCTGAGATCTGGCTTTCTCGCGTTTCGGACCAAATCCGTCATCCGATTTGCGGCCAAGTGTGGGAGAGGATGAGCCACGCTTGAGATTCTTCGGGCCAGGGCGGGTTTCTTCAGGACTGCTTTCGATGACGGTCCTTCGCTTCTTAGCAGTGCTGCGACCATTGTCAGCCTCCTCGATCACTGCTGGTCCTGGCGAAACGTGTTCCCGAGTTCGTTTGAGTACCGTGGCCGGTCGACTTTCCGGAGTAATGATGACTATGGTGTCTTCGTCATCTGATGAGGTACCGAAATTGCCCTTGCGGCTGCGGTGCTCTTTACCGGTAACAAGACGTCTTCGCCGATGCGTGACCTCGGAGTCCAGGTTAGGCGGTGGTGGCAGGTCGCTCTGGCTACGACGTTTGATATGACCTTTGCGCGACGCGTGTACCGACTGATCCTGATCAGAAGAGACAGCAATAGGTGAACCTCCGACATCTCGTTTCGAAACATGATGCTTCCGCCTGTCTTGTCCGTCTACAGAACCAAGGTCTCGATCCTTTTCTTTTTCAGCAAAATTAGGCAGCTTGCCCGCCAATTGTCTTTGCGTCAAGATCGGACTTGAGGAATTTTGCGAGTTATTGGAGTTCGGAGATTGTGAACGGCGATTGACACGACCTTTGGCCTTGTCTAGATCTCTAGTAAACCGCGTAGAGCTCACTCTTCGTTGTGTTGCGTGGTATTTGTCGTAGGCCGTCTTTAGAATCTCATACTCCTGCTCCCACCGTTCACCTCTCCGCTCGGCAGCGATCTCATAGTAGGTCTTCCCTTTAAGAATCCTCCTCGTAGGATTGAAACCTAGCTGCTCGACGAGAAGTTCGACAACTTCCGGATGCCCTCTGCCAATAGCTGCGAGCATCGGGGTGTTGTATCCAGGTCTCAGACTTCGAATTGGGTCAGGATCGGCTTCAGGATCACCCATCGCCAGAATCAGCTGCAAGACCTCTTCGTGCCCAGCTTTGGCGGCGGCTATCAAAGACTCCGTTTCGGCTTTTTGCAGGACGTTGAGGATACTTGCCACGCCTTGGACATCACCTTTCCCCGCCAACTTTTTCAGATTCTCCTGAGTATTTGCTTGCCAGAGAAGATCATTACGAGTGGATTCGCTGCGACCAGTTCTCCGCCTACCGTAGGCAGCAGGCGGACTTCTAGGTCCCATGAGGGGTGGTGAATCGCGGGGGCTAGCTGCAGAAGCTGCTCGCGAGGAATTCCCGTCTCGAGCCGTGTCGTTGTGCTCAGAAGATACTCGCCTATTGCTGGGTTTCTCTTTTGCGTCGGCAAGGAGCCGTCGGATCTGTTCATAGTTCTCGTCATCTTGAGGAACAAGTTCGTATGGTTCATCGCCCTTAGCGTTGCCCATTCGTGGATTCGCTCCGTATTCGAGAAGGAGTTTGACGACTTCAACGTGACCGTTCTCAACTGCATCAATAAGTGCGGTGTCTTTGTCGATGTTCCGTGTATCAATTTCGCACCCGTTCTCCAACAGGAACCTCACGATATCGACGTAGCCTTGGAGTGCGGCAATTTGGAGCGGAGTGTTTCCTGCATTGTCGGGTTGGTTGAGATCTTCTGGTCGTTCGGAAAATTTGATTTTCGCCGCTGCAAGATCGTTGTTACTGCATGCTCGTGACAGGAAGGTTCTACCATTCTTGTCTCGCCACTTGCGAGGGCCGGGGGCTTTGACCGGCGACATGGTATCATGCTCTGTAGACGAGAACTTGTGCAGGAGGACGGGTCGTGGCTGTCGAGGGGAGTCTGAGACGTCCGAAGAGGCCGAACGATCGCGCGTGTTATCTGCCGAACCACTTCGTCTGGTGTGAATCGAGGGAGGCCGCCCACGCTTTTTCCTCTCAACATCGCCAAGTGTCAACTGGGTCGATATCCCACGCCTATGTTCTCTTCTTTGTGGCCTTGGCGAAGGAGAGCGGTCTTGCGAAGAATGACGGGGATAAGTGGCAGATCTGGTTTCGCGGCGTTCTGACGAGGTCGGATCCACTCCGCCGCTACTGGTCTTTGTGCGATGTTTGCTTATCGGAGGCAGAATATCGCTTGGACGACGCCTGCGACTTTGGTTCTTGACTGGCTTTTCCCCGGCATCACGCACACTGATGATATCGTCCTCACGTTGAGGCCGCGCCTGCTTGGAATTTCGAGATGCGATATGGTCTGATAACTCTGAATCGCTATCTGGGGAATGCGGAGGTATTCGGGGCGATGATAAAGGCGAGCTGCGACGACTGGAGACGGAAAAGGCGGGATCATCCTGCGCATCATCAATGCTACGCTTGCGCTTTCTGGAATTGTTGTCATTTTCGGTCGCAGTGGCCCCAACAGCCAAATCTCCATCTTTAAGCCTGGTAACACTTGCCGATCCTGTGACGGACGTGTGGTTGGTGATGGTCCTTTGCTTCTCTGGTGACTGAATCAATGTCTCTGCCTCTGAATCACCATCCGCATCTGCCTCAGCCGCAGCACCAGCCATGACTTGGTCAATGCTGGCTCTAACTGGCGCAGAAATCGAGGTCATTTCTCTGAGCTTCGAATCCGTGGCAGGTGCAGTGGTCGATCCAGCACTAGTAGCCTCGTTGGCGGTCTTCTGGAGAGCGGCATTTCGAGACTCTTTGGAGCCGACTGCATCAGTCATAACGATGATCGTCTCCTCTTCATTCTCGCTCTGAGAGATGTCGTTGGCCGTTTTGGACGGGGAGAATGGGTGTTGCGGATGGAGGAGGTTGGGATAGAGAGTATCGACGGACACCGGCGGTGAAGGGTGACAGAGGTGGTCGGGCGGGCGGGCGATAACGTTTTCAAGCCGTGTATGGATGCTGGCGTGCGGGAGGGAGTTCGGACACGGTGCAGGGAGATGAAGCGTCTTCTTTGGGTGGGCGTTTTGATGGGTTCACCACATTGTGAAGCACAGAAACACAAGCCCAAAGAGACGGGGGAGACGAAACTCGATTTCGACTCCAAGCCTTGGTGGCTCGCAGATCCTGTTCACGTGAGCTGAAATGCCCCAGGCGCACTGGCGCACTGGCGCACTGGGGGGGGCTCAAATTGGAATTGGTGAGCTCCCCCACTCCTTGTTCCAGGCTCTGCAACATGCTTGTTTGCCTCTGGGTAGGTGGTAGGCAACCGTGGTGGTGGCCCCAACCCCCCCAACTAGAAACAAGGACACTTTATCTCAGGGCTCCCAGCCAACCAGTCGGGGGTGTCCCTGGCAAAACCATCCGGCGCCCAACGGATCTTTTCTGATCAAGAGCCCAATTTCCATCTCCTCTCGAACCAGATTTCATCGTTTGGACCACTAAACATCCACTACGATCACTCAGACGCACGAGTAGTATTATTTCAGCTCTCCACCCACCTCTCCTTCTGTCCTTCTGCACAGACTTCCCCCGAGCGGGCCGGTGCTCCCAGACTCGCCTGTTCCACGTCCTGTATGACCGCTGTTTCTTATCTGCGATTGCCAGCGAGCGCGCGAAAAACGATGGCAAAGGGCAACATTGGCGCGGCTTTGAATCTTCCTGCATGAATTGCGAGGTCTGGACATGATTCCCACTGTGAGCCAGCCAGACACAGACAGTCAAGAGACCCTGCATGATGCAGACTTCATCAGTCATTCAGGCGATCAAAGCCTTCTATCTCCTCAGCAGTCTAGCCATCCTCATCATCCGCCTGATCCCTGCACTCAAAGATCGATTCCTCGCATATGGACCGCGTGCGGGAGACCAAGATCACAGTAGTGGGAAGGGCAAATCTACAAAGAAGAATGAGCCTTGGGTAGGAGCGAGATTTCTCGACTACGTTGCTACTTTCACTGTCCCTCATGCATGGTTCACTCACTTCTATGTCCTATCCATCACATGCTCACTAGCCAGTCTGTTCACTTTTCACCACTATGCGGAAACGATCAAGAACCCGAACATGGACATCCCTTTTTGCTGTTCGGTATTGATGCTACTTCAAGGTTGTCGACGACTGATTGAGTGTCTCGTCCTTGCCCAACCAAGCAATTCACGGATGTGGATAGGTCACTATGTCCTCGGCATGGTATTTTATGTGGTCACGAACCTCGCCATCTGGGTGGAGCATCTCGACATCGACTTCAATCAAGCCCAGAGAACCGAAGCAGGCAGGGATCAGGGAACTGTTTTATGGACGGCCAAAACTTTGATATGGACATTCCTCTTCTTCTGGGCCAGTGACCGACAGAATCTCTATCACCGCTACCTGTCAGACCTGAAGAAATACACCTTGCCAGAGAAACATGCCTTCCGATGGATCGTAGCGCCACATTACACTGCCGAGTGTCTGATATACCTCAGCCTCTCCTTCCTAGACGCGCCATTTCGAGAAGTCCTTTCCCAGCACCATGGTCACAGTCAGAAACCAGCAATAGCATCCATCAACTGGACGCTCTTCTGCGCTCTTGTCTTTGTCGCGGTGAACCTAGGTGTGACGGCCGATGGGACAAAGAAGTGGCTTCGGACAAAATTTCCTGACAGGGCGTGGGAGGTCATTAAGAGATGGAGAATGATCCCCCCGGTTTATTAATATCACGGGACCAGAGCGAGACACAGTTTCACTGGCACGATGGAGGCCCCCCAGACGCAACAATGGGGACGACCGGGAATGAAAAGTAAGTACGAAGAGGATCGATGGCCAGAAGAGTTGATTCGTCCAGTCCGTCGTGAACAACGGTGGTTAGAACCCCGGGGAATCATATCTGCGTGGTCACGGGTTGATAGCAAGATTCATTACAACGGTCGCCCCATCAACATCTCTGAACTGTTGCTGTATGTATGTCCTCGAGTCGACGCTAGTGACAAGCACGTCACTCAAAGGGCTTCAACCCATAACACCCAGTCTCGGCGATGATTCCGACCATCAGATCCCTACGGTAGATTTCAAGCAAGCCCTTGGTCATCATCATCCGCCAGCAAGGACGGCAACATGCCAGTGCCAGTGCATGTTCCGCCCGGCGAATCTTCAGAGTAATTCTCGTCCTAATTCCCCAGAATTTCTTCGATCGATCAAGTTCAATGGACATGTCCGTTGTTATGGTAGTCATGAGCTGAGCATATAGAGCTCGGGGTGAGTGTTGCGTTATCACCTCATCTTCTGTGCTGTCTAGGCCTTGCTGGCAGCATCACTCTTCTGGCCAGATTTGTCACCGTCACCAGCGCTATCAGTGTCCTTTTCAGCCTTGTTGTTGTTGTTGCTATTGCCGCCTTTTTCTGCTCCCGCGTCTTTACCCCCATCCTTATCTCTCGCTTTACTCTTGTCGTCCGCATCATCCTCGTCCTCGTCCTCCTCTTCCTCAACGCCTTTCACGGCTCTCTTCACCTCCTCCCTAAACCTCCGCCTTTCCTCTTTGTTCTTCTCCCTCTTCTCCTCTCGTTCCTCCTCCCGCTCCTCTTCCCTCTTCTTCCGCTCTTCGTAGATATCTTCGATCCACTTGGGTAGCTCGTCCAACGCTTTCTCTGGGTCCTTTTTGTTGATGAGAAGGTAGTCTTGAAGGTCGGCAGGCGAAAAATCGCCTTCGGGGATCAGCGAGGCGAATTTCTGCGCGAGACCACGCAGGCGGGTGGTTTCCATGTCGTCTGGCAGTTCAAAACCACGCTTTTCAGCCTCGCTGTCAGATGAAGGCGCTGGAGCAGTCATCGAGTCCGTGAATGCTCCAGCTCCCTCCTCAGTTTCCCTCAAACTTGCGCCGTTCGGTAAATCCAGATACATTCTCAAAAATATCTCCTCTGCTTGCTTTTTACTTGCATTGCTAAAGCCCACCCTCACGCTGATTCGGCCGGCTCGCACGAGGGCGTCGTCAAGTTCGTTCGGTTTGTTGGTCGTCCTTTACAATCGCAGTCAGCAAAGTTGTCACACAAGAGAATATTGCCACAGCTTGAGTAAGCGGAAACAAAAAATTGTGCTCTGGGATGGCATGTTGCTTGTTTCTGCTGTTTCAATACTGAAGGTGACAAGAGAAGACTTACATGATCAAAACATGGCCCTCAGGCGCGGCAACACCATCGATCGCATTCAGCAGCCCACTCAGCGTGACGCGTGAGGCAGAGCCACTGTCTTCGTCATTGTCGACATCGTAATCCTCAGGGTCACGAGGAGGCATTCTCCCACGTCGACTGTTCCAATTTCGAGATGATACAGTGGACTTCCCTCCTTTTCTATTCAGACCTGCAGTATCGATATCTTCTAACAGTAAGAGAGACCGACCAGGGAGCTGATTGAGGAGTGAAATCAAATCCGAGTCTGTCAAGTCGTTATCCAGTAGCGAAAGATTATACACGTCGAGGTTGAAATTCGAAGCGAGCGCAAGTGCGAATGAAGTCTTGCCGACCCCGGGTGGACCATGGAAAAGATATCCTCGTCGGTAAGGGATACCGTGGTTGGCGTAGAAATTCATGGTTGCCTCGTCCATGTACTCGGCCATGTCTGCGATGATCTGGACTTTTTGCTCCGCATCTAATATCACGGTGTCGAGTGCTCTCCGGGGTTTCGAAGTGACACGACTCCATGTCTGGCCTCCTCTATACGGCCTTCGAATAATGGTCAATGCGCGCTCTTTGGCTTTGTTCAGGTAGTAGACATGCTCGATAAGGTCCTTGATGGGTTGCGTCGAGCGACCCAGGCAGGATATGGAGATGATTTCCATCCTTTTGTACCGATTGCCGTAGTAGGTGTGGCCGTCACCGTACTTGCGACTACAAAAAAAGAGCTTGCCCTTGTGAACGAACAATTGCAAGCCCTGGCCTTGCTCGTACTTTATCTTGGGAGTTTCATTAGCCCGCCTCGTCTCTTCGACATCTGGGTCGAGACGCCGGTTTCTCCGTCGACCTGCCTCCTGGGAGTTGCCGGACACGGCGGTCAAGACCTGATCCGCACGGAGGGTTTTCCGCTCTGACAGGTAGGTAGTTAGGTAGCTGAAGAGGTCTTCGTCGGACGAAATGTTGATGGTGGCAACGATAACAGAGGAGAACTGAGACCATAGTGATTTGAACCGAGCGATGGGGCCAAAGTAGTAGAGGGCCAGGAGAAGTCCAAAGAAGCGGAAGAAGGTCGGGTGTTTGTCTAACAATGGTCGTGCTCCAGGGACGAACGAAGTGATGATGTATTCGGGAAGGTCGACAAGGCTGCTGCTACCCGCAACGACAGTTTTCTTTACCCGTTGGAGATTCATCTTTGGAGCAGGCGATGTTGTTTGTCAGAGACAGACAATCGATGGACCTGGCGGTGTCCGGCAGGTGATATGTAAAGTCAATGTCTCACAAAGTGAATGCAAAATGAAAGGACCCCATGCGGTGAAGCCGTGCAGCAGATTTGTGAGGCGACAAGGCAAGGCGTTGGTCAGCTGAAAAATCAGTCAAAACGTGATCACTTTCTGCCTGCTCCAGACCTGCAACTACCGACTCTATTGAATGGATCGTTCTCGTCGATGGGCTGACGATCTGTATAGACTAGTCTGTCCCGTCATATACATCTGGCTGCCCTCCAGCGTTGGGCATTTTCGCCTGTCACCGTTTGTGTGCCGCCTGAGCCAGTGGAGCACAATCAGGATGCATGAGTGGGCGCAGGCAGCAGAGTACAAGACAAGGATCTTAAAGTCGCTGATTGGACAATAAAATGAGATCCCTGTTGTCGTCAGGCACAGGTGAGGAGCAGGGCACCCAGGCATCCGGGATACAAACAAGATCGACCGCCATATCTCCAGGAAGGTGGCGAGGGACACGGCTGGATCATCATGCAAGGACAATGTATGGCACCCATATGGTAGGGGGGCTCATCAGCCTTGTCAAGCTCTTACGCCTCTAGGCTGCCTGGACGGGATCTTGTAAGGCCTCGAATCTGTAGATCCTTTTCTACATGCCATGTGGCTGAAGAAAAGAAAGGACTAGGATGGCAAACGTGATGCGGGAACCACGGATATGATACTGCAATAGCAAACGACGCCGAACCCACGCACATTGCCTGGCAGATACCTCTATGATGTGTGTGTTTTGCCACTCACTCTTCGATCCTCCGTGCATCTTCTGCTATAGATCTTTCGATCCCTCTCTCTTTCTCTTCCTGAGGTAATATCCCTTCCTGTAGTGTATAGCTTCATCTTCTCTTCATCTCATTGAACCTGGATCGCAGCTCTCACTCTGTTTCGTGCCGAACATTGACATGCTGGACGCTCGGAGGTGATCTGGCGAGCAAGAAACAACCGGGAGAGTAGGATACAACCCGTGGGAGATGGGTGTGATTATGATGGGGAGAAGAGTGCAAACGCGGTGTTATGGGAATCGTACACAGAAGGATGGACGTTGAGGCTGTCTTTCTCCTAAACAAACAAATACGAAGGTACCAAGTACTCGATGGTCGATGGGGCTTTCGAGAAGATTGACGTCATCTGATCAAAACAGCTTTGAGCCTTTATTCATTTCCCTCTCAAGCCTCTGCACCCGTCATCGCCTCTGCCTCCAACCTTGCCTCTATTGTTGCCAGTATTCAAATTGTGGACACATCTTCATCTTGAGAGTTGTCTGAAAAGGTCATGTTGGGTCTAAGCTGACATTTCCACCGTCCTCCACCCACAAGTCCTTCCTCTTTCCTCAATACCATGCCCGCGGTGCATCGTAACGGCCGGGCTGTTGCAGCGCAAGAGAAACCAGATCAGTCACAGCAAATGACACATACATCCATGCACTCTACACGGCAGAGGCCTTCGGCCTACCTCCTCCTCGTTTATCCTGTTGTCCTCGCACTGGGCTCTCTCTTCGCCTTCCTCTCCCCAGTTGCCAGTCCTCCCCCCGCCGAATCACTCGCTCCAGGAATCACATCCGACCTCAACGTTCCGCACTTCCATTCGACGAACTACTTTGCCGGCAAGCGCAACATAATCAACGTATATTTTGTGAAGTTCGGTTGGTTCTGGACCACCCTTGCCTTTCTACTGCTCCAAATCGCTACCCGACCGCCGCCAGCTAGTGCACTGAAACACTACGCACAGTCGACTTTACGCTATGGTCTGGTTACCATTTCATGGTTTCTAACAACGCAATGGTGTTTTGGTCCTGCGCTTGTCGATCGAAGTTTCACCATCACTGGCGGTCACTGTGAGCCTCAACTGATCAACACCACTGGACTGAAAGACGCACTTGACATGACCATGATTGCATCAGGCCCGGCATGTAAAGCTGCAGGTGGAGCATGGCGCGGTGGACATGACATATCAGGCCACGTATTCATGCTGGCGCTTTCCTCGGCCTTTCTGCTGTACGAGATATACATCGCAGACCGGGACTCTGCGCATCCGTCCGTTTCGCCTCGAGCCGCTGCGGCATTGGCTCATGATATGACCGAGGAGGAACGCAAAGCAGTAGGGGGGTGGGAGTCAGAGTCAGTGGCGATGGTGCGAATATGGTCGAGATATTTTCTGTATGCGGTGGTTGTGCTTGACTTTTGGATGCTGATGATGACGGCGATTTGGTTTCATACGTGGACCGAGAAACTGAGTGGGCTGCTCATTGCAGCGGGAACGATATGGGGGACGTACTTCACGGGTGATTTCCTCCCACAGTGGAGGGAGATCGTGGGTGGAATATGACACGAGATGCTGTGAATGCACATACAATTATGTCTGAAACGATGAATACGAGGTGTCTATTCCCACCATGACGAACCGCCTTTGACTACCCTACCATACAATTGCCGGAGTTGGATCGACTATAGCCTGGCGGTGATAGACCCGCGCCGCGCAACATCTTGATGGATCCGAGCAGAGCAATCCCCCTTTGGCCACTCTAATCCAAGAGGTTAGCCTCTTCTCTCCGTCATTTCTTGAATTCTGATGGTGACGAGTTCATAAGGCTGCCGTCTAGAATCAGAACCAGAGCCCCATAGCTAGAGACGATGCATGACCGGTAAATACAGGTGTCTATCGACAGGATTGGGTATGTGCATGTATAGATACAAATACAAATACAAATACGAATACAAAATACGACAACGGAAAACCCGCACCTGAAAACATCGACGGACGCAAGCGGTATATCTCTGTCCAGGGAGACACTAGACATGTGGCTAATGGAAACCACGGCGAACATCCGGTGATTCAGAACAGACGGAGAAGGAGGACTAAGGTTTACTCTCGATATACACACATATATAAAATATATCATCTTGCAACATGGTTCTTTCTTTGATTGTCCCGAAACTCGCATCAACCTTCTTTTTGTGCTCTTCACCCTCGCATGATCTCGTGGGATAAATCCATCCAAAAAGTATTCTCAAAAAAGAAAAGAAAAGAAAAGACAAGGCGGACGAGATTGCCTCCATGTCGTATTGTCCCAGTTCCCATCCTTACACACGATCCAATTTGGCCAGTTTCTTCCTTTGCTCCTCGCGCTCTGCTTCCTTCTTGGCCCTCTCCTCGGCATTCAGCCTCCCGGTCTCCTCATCACGCTCGTCGTCGCTGAACTCATCGTCATCGTCGTCGCCGGTTAGTTGGAAATACTCTTCTGCTTCGTCGGCCGTCGGAGCCGAAGGACCCTTTTGCATAGCCCCGGGCCTCCTCTTCCTCGCCTGGCCTACCACGAGGGTCAAGACGACAACCTCGACCACCGCCAAGGCGATACAAAGTGAGATAACCGGCCAGCCGTAATGTCGCAGCATTAGGCCTGTGACGACGTTGATGATTCCGACAGGGAAGAGTATTCGGCCCAAAATGACGTGGACAGTGCTCATCCAGGTCTTGCGACCGCCAGTTGCGATGAAGACGACGTGGTGTCTCCAGCCCAAAACGAGCTGGACAGCCAAAGCGCAGACAATGAGAATGCCAGCATACTGGTGAGGAATGGAGATGGAGCGCGAATTCACGAAGCCGATCAGCGCACCGATCGACACCGAGATAGAGGACAGAGCGTTGACGGTCCAGTGGTAGTTGAACGCCGTCCCTGCAGCGCTCGTGCGAGGAGAGCGGAGTAGATAGACTGCCAAGGGATAGCCGACGAGGAAAGGCATGGTCAAGAGGAAGCCGTGGAGGTGCCTGTTATTGGAAAATGAATAGTCAGTGGGGGTGTTTAGGGGAGAAGATTTGTGTTCTGGGAGACGGCTCCAAAGCAGTAAAACAGTCGAGGGGATATACATACCACATTAATGACCGGATGTTCCACTGCTTGGCCGACTTGACGGGCTGTTCAACCTTACTACCATCGTCTGTGCTAGGTGCGGAAGTATCGCTTTCGGGCTTCGCATCTGTGGCAGGCTCTTCTGGTACAACTTCTTTCGAATCGCCTTCACCACTTGCATTGTCACCTCCGTCTGTGCTGCCACCACCATTCTGGGCGGCGATGATCTCATCACCTTTCTGCAACTCCTCCTCGGTCGGCGGATTGGGCTCTGCAGTCTCGCTGATTCCAGAATGGTCATTCAATTCGTTGATGTCGCCAAAGAATGCAACGTCGCTCCTCGCATTCAAGAGGTCCACCCACAAGAAGCCAAATCCAAGACCAAACTGGTGCATGTCGATGGCCCTGTCGACGGAAAAGTCGCCTTCAAAGTCTTGTTTAAAGTTGGAACTCCAGATCATAGCTTGTTTCGTCGTGTCATTGTGAACTCCAAGTTCGGCGGCGGTCCATCGGTCGTACCCACGGACGATGAAATCCGCGATGCCCAAATGCGAGGGTTTCGCTTGCATTTGTTCCGAGTACCATTCACCGGTGTAATCCTCGAAATGGGCCGTCACAATTTCAACCTCGGGGACCACGCCGCTGTAGAAATCCTTCATCTCGTCTGTAGGCCGGGGAGGGTGATGGCCGTCCACAGTTCTCACGGTCAAAGTCATGCCTTTATCCTCGGAGTTCGGGTCGCCGTAGATGATGAACATCAGAGCGCCTTTCATCCGCGGAGCCAATCCTAGAGATGCCCAGCCCTTGTTGGAGGATCCGTACCGGAACATCCACATGCGAACATAGAGGTCGGATTGTTGCGTGGTTTCGTTGAAGTAGTTCACCATACTGAATGCCTGGTCCGCGCGACCGGATTGGCCGGTGTGCTTGACGAATTGAAGAGGTCGGAAAGCAATTGTGAGGGTGCTGAAAAGTAATATGACCAGCATGGTCGGCAACGACCACAAAGGTCCCTGCATCTTGACAATCCTGAGCCGAAGCCTAAGATTCTGCGTTGCACGAGGAGGTGGAAGATGATGAATGCAATGCCCAGGTTATACAAAATAATCGAATCGTGGTCAAAACGCCAATGTCGAAGTACTAACACGCTCAAAAACCCCCTGTTCGCGTCTTGTTCGAGTACGGTCGGGAGTGGGAGTGAATAGGGGTCTTTCTCGGTGACCCACTCGTCAGAATACCTCCGAGTGCTCCGGTCAGGCAAGACAATTCGCTATTAGTAACAATTCGTCCCCCTTTTTCCCTTTGTACGGATTCCGTTCGAAGACACTGGAGGGCAAGGAACGAGTCTCTGCCTGTAGACCGGCGGAAAGTAGCGAAAAGATTGATGAGGATTAACGAGCGATACTGAAGGGAAGGGGAAGAGAGCGATGATTGAGATAAGGAAAACGTGGAAAGTGAAGTTGAAGATTGCGCATGTTGCACAATGAATGGGGTGAGTGGACGAGGGACGATGGAGATGAGACCGTTGGCTAAGAAAAGACGCACTAAGCTGCTTTGGGATCTTGGCATCGACGGGGGAATTAAAGCTGGGTGTCCTGCGCCATCCAGGGGGCTGCCATTGTAAATCACGCCGACTTGACTCGCGCTCATGCTCATGCTCATTATTGTATCATACAACACATCTTGTTGGTGGTATGATCTTGTGTTCAATAACCCCCAGTTCCTGCTGAACTCGAGGCCGTATTCGCAGCTCTGCCAAACACATCTATATCGACGCGCCTCCTTCTCTGTTGACGCGACTTGCAAGTATCCCTCTATTTCTATGCAAACAGTGGGAACGAGCTAGCGACCCGCAAGTGAGCTTGGGGCATGTATCAAAGTCACAGCGGACATATGATCTCCCTCGACGCCCACCTCCACGCAACCAGCCCTCTATGACTTCACAATGACTCTCTTCTCAATCGGCTCGAACGTCTTTTCCTGCGGTCCACCAGTGGGTTTGCCGAACACCAGCTGAGCCTTGAGTATCCATTCCTTGGGAATATCAAAGGTTGATTCAAGGTCCGCGATGATGCCGGGGTGAAAGTTGAAGTGTTGGAGGTTGGCACCCAGACCCTCAGCCTCGAGGGCAGTCCAGACTGCAAGGAGCGAGATTAGTACCATTATGTGGCTGGAGCAAATGCAGACGGTGGGTGCTATGATGCAGGTTTGGCTTACCGATGAATTGATGGATACCGGTGGAATGATCAGACCCTGTGAAAAGCATGTTGTCAGCACACGGTTCCATACCCCGCGACCCCCCTTGGAATGGTTGTGAGTGCTCTTACATTCAGTAAGCTTGGGCTTAACCATGGGATTCTTCTCTGCCAGAGCGTCCAAAGCCGTTTGGTCTTCATACCACAAGACCGTTCCATAGCTGTCCTTCCACCCAGCGATGCGGCTATTCATATACCCGCGCATCCCTTCGTCCAGGGGTACCTGATCCATGTGCTTCTTGACAATTTCCCAGACCTTGTCGTGGTTCTCCTTGAAGAGCACTACCGCACGGGCCGACTGCACGTTGTATGTCGAGGGAGCCCATGTGACGGCGAACTTGACAATCTCCTCGATTTTGGAGTCTGGGATGGTGGACTCTTTGGAGAGAGAGTAGATGGAGCGACGGCCCTTGACGAGCTCGAAGAAGTTGTCGAGGTTGCCCATGGTTGGTGATGCCTCTTCCTTGGATGGGTTGTGGAATGTGTCGAAGAGTGAAGCTGGCAGCGGAGACAGTCAAGGCAGAAGTCGTGAGGGTGTTGAAAGAAGAAAACAACAAAACTTTCCAATGGATGGTGACCCAGGGACCCTTTTATCCTTTGGGAGCCTTACCTTTTGGACCGGCCCAACTAACGAGAGGCAGATCGCGAGATCACGCAACAGGCGCCGGCTCCGGACCATGAGGAATAACACTACATATCGCATTAACAATCAAGAGCAGCCTAACGTCTCGGTCCGGCCGTCGACCTTATCTGCCCATGACCGGCAAAAGGGTCCTTGTGTCCTGACTCCCCCAATGGGCGGGGAGCGGAGCCCCTCCCTACTTTGCTGCGTGATGGAAAGGTAGGGTACGAGTACGTCGATGACACGTTCCTGGGAAGACGCGGGATTGCGCACGCACACGAGAGAATCTGGTCGAAAAGGAATCCGCCTCGACGAAAGGCGGTGGTGCAGAAGGAGTTTGAGAGTCTGTTTGGAGGGGTGGTTATGGTGGGGAGGGGGGAGGAGAGAGTTGATCCACCCAACTTCACTACCCTTGTTCAATGCGGTTGCTGATCCAATCCAAGTAGCTACTGATGAGTCTCTTACCTACGACACTGGCCCTTGTTTTGCTGCGGCTAGCCAATTCCCAGCAGTGGTGGCGCCAGTGGCACCGAACATGGGAAGGTTATGCATTTACTAATGCAAGGGCAACCTCACGAAGAGGTGACAAGTGGACGGGGTGGACAGCGAGGAGATGCGCACACCGATGACTCGGCCGACAAGCAAAAAGGAAGAAAAGCCTCCTGATAGAGCGAGTGGAGGTTTTGCTCGCATAATATCTAATCATAAGACGGACAAGTGTCCATAGTTTCGACTAGCTAGTCTAGCTCTATCTAGCTAAGATCCCGTACTCACTACATACCTACTTACTCGGACGAGTAGGTACCTCCTTGGAGGTATACCTACCAGCACTTGTTCCTGTTCTTAGTCTTGTCCTTCTGAGATGATCGTAGTGGGTGGAAACCCCTCGTATTCTGCGGCCGCCGCTAACCGCGCAAGGCGTTAGGGTACGAGGGGTTTCCGTGGAAAGGTAGGTGGACAAACATTCAGACCGCTACAAGTATTCAATCCCATAACCCGTACGTACATACATACATACATACATACATCCCTCCAAGCACCTCGTACCTGTACAAGTATCCGCATGGATAGTACAAGGACTTGTATCTCCGTATGTACTCGGTCCTGCGCATAGAATCCTCCAGAAGGGGCAGATAGCTCACGGACATTTTTTACTTTTTACCTTTGTGTTGGTTCTACCCATCGATCTATAGCTATGTACAGAGTTAAAGACACAACACGAGATCCACTTGTGACATGTATGTGTACACCTAGGTAGCAAGTACTCGGTACACAGCCGAGAACAGGCGTTACGAGCGGCAAGGAAATCGAATCACACAAGACACAAACTTTTGTGGCGACGCCCAAGGAAAGGTTCGGTGTGTCTTCTCACACAGGTTCTATCGGGCGAGAAATCCAGACGTCACGTGGTTACCACTACATCGACAATTCTGGCCAGCATCGCAGATTGTCTGACGAATTCGCAGTGTTCAAGGACGTTCGTCTTGGTCAGCCGGTGGAGACACGCGGAATATATCGACTTGCCAAGGCAATGAGTGTGAAAACGTGTTTTGGGAGAATTTGGGATCAGGCGCTATATACAAAACTCCAACCCAAAATTGCAAAATCCTCTTGACTGATCATTCTCGACGGCACAAGACGGAACTTGAATCATGTTGACTTCGTTCGATCGTAAGCTGCTGGCTTCGAATAGTTATTCTCTGATAATATCTTGGAAAAAACGCTCAATCTTTGGCACAGGCGACGGCGGAAAGCTGTAAGTGTATTTCTATCGCATCTTCCGGGGCTTGAAGCGGCAGTAGAAGTCGTTCTCTTTGACGAACCAAGCTATTCTGAAGTCAGCACCAACGAGACACGAGATAGATCTTGACCAGACTCACCGTTGTGAAGTTTCCAGTCTCGGTTCGGGTCGTCAAGACGTATCTGAATCGGAGACCATGTCAGCCTTGTGATCTCGCGCATTGTAAAGCGTCAAAACTGTGTCAAACTCACCTCGAATCGACGCAGGAAAGCTGGAACCAACTTGTACAACTCCAGCAAACTGATGTTCTTTCCGATACATGTTCGGGAGCCAGCCCCGAACTGGAACAGATTGCCATTCATCTCCTTCAGCTGCTCCTTTCCGACATCGAGCCATCTCTCGGGAATGAAGCTGTCGACCTGCGAGCCAAAAACATCCTCGCGTTTGTGGATGACCCACGCATTGCAACCGACAATCGTACCCCCAGGAACAAAATGGCCGTCAATTTCAATCCCCTGCGGCGGCGTGATTCTTTCAAGAGGCAGTCCTGCAGCCGGGTGCATTCTGAATGTTTCTTTGATGCATGCGTCAAGGTAAGGGAGTTGTTGGGACTCGGCCCACGTGATCGTACCACTGGGTCTGTCCTCAATCCGCCCTTCCTCGACAGCTTCGTTCAATTCTTGCATCAGTTTTTCATAGCACCGAGGGTTGCGGACCAGATAGTAAAACGCAGCCGCCAGAGTGATGGCTGTGGTCTCGGATCCAGCAAACGCCATCGACACAGCCATGGTCAGAACCCTCTGGTCGGTCATGAATTCCGGCCGGTCTTTTTGCGCCTTCAGGAACATGGACAGAAGATCTGGCTTCTCCGTTCCCTTTTCAATGCCCTGCGCCTCCATTTCCGCGAGCCTCTCCTGCATTCGTTGAACAGCAAATGTCGCGACTGGAAACGCAAAGAGCTTGAATCCAAGTCGGTCAAGCAAGAGGACCAGGGGATTCTTCAGAAACAGTAGGTCTAGCCAGGGCATTTGCCCAACCTAAGGATATGTTAGCTTGGGCGCGCCGCAATTGGGCAGTGAGACACTCACCGGTGCTACGTAAGAGAAGAGCCGCCCGAGGTATGCAATCATACCGTCGACATCCTCATTTCTCTCTATGAAGCCATGTCGCTTGCTGTATGTGATGTACCCAATAACCTGGCTCACAGTCAGAAGCAGATATGCCGAATCGATCACAGCGACTTACGTCGAAAGCAAAGTATTGAAGCCACAGTGCAAAATCGCACACCTTGTCTGGCCTGGCAAAGATTTTCTCCGTCTGGTCCAAAAAGACCTCGATACATTGGGTAACGCCGGGCTCATACTGGACCAGTTGGCTCATTGCGAATGCATTGTTCACGGATCTGCGAAGATTTGCATGATACGACTCATCAGTCGTGGAGAAAAGCGAAGGCAGACGTTTGCCCTTGCTGACGCCCATTTGCACCGGGTAGAATCCAGACTGGAGAAAGCGGTTAGTGGGCTGTTGGAGGCGGATCGCAGAATTGGCAATACCTTGACGAAGCCCTTGTTCAGGCCATAAATGGTCTTCAAAGCCTTTGGGTTTGAGAATGAGAGGGCATTGGGTCCAAGCCTCACGACATCTCCATGCTGGCGATGTAATTTGAGGTGTGTAATATCTGGTCGTCGCCCAAGGACATCGAAGAACCTCCACCAATCCGTAAACCTCGCCAATACCGGTCCAGGATATTTGTTGAGGCCATGGTTGAAGTAGTTGCTCAGTAGATAGCCCACCACAACGACGGCCAGGGCTATGGGCCAGTTGTTGACAATGGCCGGTAGGATGGATTCAATCATGTTCACGCAATATCGCTGAGCAAAGAGTAAAGATGCGGCTCAATGGGTCTGAAGGCTTCACGACAATAGTTCTCTACCTTGATCAGAGGAAAGCAGGAAAAGTCGAGACGATTTTAGCGAGGACATGTAAGTTCTTTCAACACCATGAACGTTCAAGCGGCATCCCCGAAACCGAGACATGATTCCGTCACACTGAGCTCCAAGATCCATCCGATCTTAGAGAGTGCTGATTCTGGACAAAGTCAAGTGGCTAATTGAGCTTCGGCAGTTCTGTTTTGCACGAGGGGGGCATCGAACGGGCCCTACACCAAGTGTAGCATCTCCCGAACGCAAGGCCAGCGAATCGACAGCTCGCCAGTGGTCATGGTCTGGTCAGGGTTCGTCGACCAGTCGTGTCCAGAAGCAGCCATGGGAGCCACGGCATATGCTTTAAAGGATGCCCTCCGGGACATCAAAAGCCAGTCAAAGGGGAGGCTGTGGCGAGCAAGAAAGGCAAGTCTGGGGTCCAGCTGGACAGTTCGGCTCAAGGCGGCAATCAATGTGGGGTGTGGCGCACATGCCCGACTCTGAGATTCAGCGGGTGGAAAGAGGGAAATGGACTTGTCGAGGGCTTGTTGGTAGCTAGCATCAGTGGCATCTCAGAGTGGTGGTAAGCAGCGTAAGATAGTCGAAGGGGCGGGAACGATGAATCTGGCTGGTCGGCGCAGTTGAGGTTCGGCAGATGATGTGGAGGTGCAACTGCCGACTGCGTCTCCGTCCTTGTGCCATTCCAGCTGCGCAATTCTACCTCTGGACCCAACGCTGACAGAACTGCCTGCCTCATATCAATCGTCCTGATGCCGAAACTGTCAACTGCCGACAAGTTCCCGAGGCGACCAGAAGCGGGATATTTTTGATCGTCGGATCGCCGTTGCTGATGGTGATGAGAATGGAGACCCGAGAGATACATGGGACACGTACCTCGCCAGACTCACCCAAGGTAAAACAATAGACAGCTGATACGACCACCAGAAGACAACAGAGGCATTATTCAAACGACTTGCTTCCCTTCCTGTTTTCCGGCAGTTGTGCTGTCAGCCTAAACCGTCGGGAAACATACAACACTCCCTACAATCTCAAGAGGTGGACGGTGGTTACACAGAAAGTACTCGTACTACGAAACAAGGCACGACGATGATAAAGGATCAAGTGAAATCCCATTCTGAATGCAACAGCATTTGGAGGAACGAGGAAGGATAATTCCTATCTTACACGAATTCCAAGCTAGCCAGATGGAACTGCTCGAGATGGTAGAACAAAATCCCTCCTTCTCCATTGATCCGTCTGCTGCTCAAATGCGCTTTTTGGTGTGGATTCATTGCCATTTGGTCAAAACAAAACCCGATCTTTCTCGTTGCAAATGCTTTGCTCTCTGCCTCCGAAGTCGCCAGTACAGTAGTTTGACGCGATCGAGTCAACGAGTGTTGGCCTTCGCATAGTACAAAAGTCGGTGGGTGAGGTTTCCATGTCGAAGAGAATGGTGGGGTGGTGGGCTCGCACGCTGGATGATTCGAGGGTTGGACGATAGCGACGATCGACTTATTTCCCTCCCAAGCTTGGGAAAGCAGATTCGTCGTCGACAGCCACGGTGGGAGCATCGCCGCGGCCACCGCGGGCACGTCCACGGAACTCGCCACGATCGCCACCACGATCGCCGCCGCGTCCTCGTCCACGCCCGCCGCGGAACTCTCCACGGTCTCCTCCTCGTCCTCGCCCGGCTCCACGCCCGCCGCGACCACGGGATTCACGTGGCTGCTCCTTGAAGCTGTAGTCAATGTCGAGGAACTCTTTCTTTTGCGCACGTTCGCGTTCACGCTTGCCTTTCTCCTCGCCCTTGAAGTAGTCCTCGTCCTCGACTCTGGTGAGTTCTTTCGCGCCAGTCCATTTCTTGTTCTCCTTCTGGCCTTCGTTGGGTTTACGGGCCTCCTTGAGACCGAGGCCCTCCAACTTCTTAGCAGCTTGCTCAGCCAGGTAGTCGGCATATGACTTGTGGTGATCCTGGGCCTCTTCGGCCTCCTCTGCCGCATTGGGGTCTGGAACAGCCTCGCCACCCTCAGGAATGGTGGTTTGTTCTGCGTTTTCGTTCCACGCTGGGTTCTGGGCACCAGCATCCCATCCAGCTTGCTTTTCTTCTTCTTTTGCCAAGGCTTCTCCGGCCTTTTCGTCGGCCCACTCGCCATCGCCGGTGTTTTCACCCCATCCATGTCCCTCTTGTTTTGGGTGGTTGCTGGTCTTTGGTCAGCTTGGGGAAAAGAGACACGTGCTTCAGCGCACTTACGCTATGCCAGTGCGGCTGTGGCGATCACCACCTCGACGAGGGCCACGTGGACCGCGACCATAGCGTTGCACACCTGGGCCTCGATCGCGGCCAGGACGGTTGCCATAGCCATCCTCACCACCGCCCTCGGTGGGTTGATCACGGTTGTAGCCCCTGCCCGTAGCTCTGTTGCGGAAAGCTTGATGGAGAGTCAGTGTTTTGTAATTATTTTCCTTTCAATTGATGAGTTGTGTATACCTGCTTCATTATCGTTGAAACCACCTCCACGATGGCCACCTCGGCCGCGGGTAGCTATGTTTGCACGTTCGGTTGTTGCAGCTGGAGCCTCTTTGGGCGCTTCGCGTTTACCATGACGAGCGACTGGCTTGTCAATGGCCTTTGTAGGTGGCTCAGGTTCGCGGTCAGAATCCTGGTCCGAGGTATTCCCTAAATCATCAAAATCAATCGCGTGAAAACCAATGGCGCAGGCAGAGACTCATACCCAACAGCTCGTAGAGGTTCTAGAGAGATTCAAGTCAGCGATTGAACGACGGTTGTGATGGGTAAGCGGGAAGCTCATTTTCAGCTGATGCTCACCTTGCTCTTGACGTCCGCCATGACGTTTCCTCTCGAGCGCCTTCCGTGAAGGCTTCCTGTTAATGAAACCCCAACTTGAGATGAAGGAGGGTGAGACGCCCGACCAAGACAACGTCCTCGACTACCACGTAGAAGGACCTTGTCAAGTCGAGATGGAGTTGAGTCTGATTGAGCAGTGGTGGAATTCAATCCTGAACCTCGGACGCAGAGCGAAATCATCATGCGCAGATTTCGCAACAGACCAGTTAGCACGCTAACCACATTTGGACGTGTCTTGGCATTTCTTAGGGCTAGGGCATGATTCTTGGTTGGCAACGGAGCAAACTGGCTGCTGGCTGCCCGTGGGGTAAGGAATTGAGCAACAAGCCAGTAGAGCAAGCATTATGGATTTAATTTCACGTTGGTGCAAGAGGTATCTACAAATAAACAGCAGACTTGCCGTAATCATCAATTTGCGTGTGGCTCAGAAACAGAAACTTGGGCATACACGCAAAACTCCTGTCACTTCAGCCTCAGACCCCTCCAGCTGGGGTAAGGCAAATACACCGTCGCTAATGCCCATTTTGAGAGTGCTCATAAAGTCTCATGCTCGGATAACAATGTGAAATGCATTTCGTGGTAAAATATCCCACATTTTCACCTTCTTGAGTGTGTAGGTGGATAGGGGTAAGGATTAGGAAAATGCATGCTGGCAGTCAGTCCGAAGGGGTCAGCGTCCAGCATTGGGTCGTATGGATCAATCATGCCGCCGCCGCCGTCACTAGCCGCGCTAGTGGTCGTCGGAGGCGAGGCTTGCATGCCCATGGACATGCCTGCTGTCGTGGTCGTAGGTGGTAGGCGAAAGTTGGGGATGAAGCTATCTGTATCGACGTCGTCGGCATCTATATCGTCCATGATACTAGCTTGCGCATCGTACTCCTGCTCTGTACTCACGGAATCAGTCTAGGACGAACAAAGCTCCACATGCAGAAGAGGGGGGTAAAGGAACGGGTCAGCTTGCCGAGTTGAGTGTAGTGTTTCTGGAACGAGGCTGGATAGTAGCTCTCATGTTGACTGCGTGGAGGATAAGCTTGTGTTGTACTGGGCCCAGACATGGCATGTCCTTGATGCCTAGACTGCGCAAGAAACGAGCTGCGATGCGGCGGCGGTAAGGTTCGGCCCTGCAGCTGCTGTTGAGGTTGCTGAGTGGCCATCTCCATCGCGGGTGAGGTCATCCCACCTGGTAATGCAAAACCAGGTGATCTTGCTGTCGAGGGTGAGGAGTGTTGTGAGGGAGGGGTGGGCTGTGCTGTGGGTGAGCCTGCGAAATTTCGTTTGCCCCCAACAAGGGGAGGAGGATTTACAGTCTGGATTGGAGGTGCCATTGTTGTTCGCGGTCTCGTTTGGTGCCTGCTGAGCATGGCCTTTTGCATCGGCGACGCTTGCCCTGTCATGGGAGGGGCGCGATGTGGTCGAAGGGTTGGACTCCCTTTGAGCGCCAGCTCGGCCTGGACATCGATGCCTGGCAGGAATGAGTCAAAAGATTGGACTTTCACGCGCAAAGGGTAGAGCAACATGTACCTTTCTCGAGCAGAATCCGTTCCAGTAACGAATTCTTGTACCGCAACATTAGACACTCATCGGCGGCTGCACGGTGGCTCTGTTGCAGATTCTGGAGCGTTTCCTCATGGTGCTGAATAGTGGTCTCGAGTTGTTTGATATACTCAGTCCGTCGTTCGCGGAAAGCCGCTTGCGCTTGCCGATTCCGTTGTTTGCGTTCCTCTGAGGTCGCATAAATCTGTGCGATCAGGTGAGTCCAGCGGCCCAGTCTCCATTCTCGTCATGCACTTACAGGTTTGCGACCTCCCTTGCGCTTTGGCGCAGGAGCAGGCTCCTTGGACGAATGAACCTCGTCGCCTCCTGCCTCGTCTGTCGGCTCCGGGGTCGAGGCTGAACAGGAAGAATATCGGTCACCACTCGACTCCCGTTTTGGCACCACAGCGTCGGGTAGGGTGACGTCGGTGTCTGCGACAGAGCCCATTCCTTCTCCACGCAATCAACCGAGTCTAATGCAATGTTCCTGGCATAAGCGCCGATAAGGGGACTGATTGTCGAGATACGCGACCGGGGTAAACAACAATACACGCGCGCGTCGTAAGGCGAGCTGATATCTAACACGTAAAACAGACAGATAGTTGACAACAAGAAACAGAGATAAGAGACGAAGGTGCAATGAACAGCCCGGAGATGGAACGGAAGTGAGGTAATGAAATGAGCTAACAGATTTTTCACGGAAGGGAGGAGCAGGGCGGGATGGTGTGGGAGGCAAAAGCAGGGCTTATGAAAATCGATGCAAAAAACAATCCCAGAGTGGCAGTTCCGGTCTTGTTTTCCCGTGGGTCGCGCCCTTGTGAACCCCAACTCAACTAAATCAAGCCATGAAATGTGTGAGCTTCGGGCTGGCACCAAAGCAAAAAAGCTGGGGTGGACCACATCCGAGATGGCAGAGAATGCTCAAACAGGTAAGTTTGTTGGAACTAGAAGGTGAGGAGAACCAGACTTGCCAGACGATCGTTGCGCCATCCCCTTCTCTAATGAGGCGGTCAGTCTGGGCAGGTGGATAGCACGGAAAATATTCCAGCGCTATAGGTTGACCTCAAAAGTAGGCGAGGCAGGGGAATTACTCGTGCTTGGTAGGGATGCCATGTTTTCTCCTCCAGAGAGGGTCTCCCACGAGAACAGAAAAGTTTTTTCTGGTTGTCAAAGCCGCGGAGGAGAATGGAAACGGAGAGGTGAAGCAAGGAGTGGGATTGGAGCGAAGCCTGCCACGCACCACGTGGGAAAAAATTTTCACGCCGTGGAATTCCATGCGCGGAAACCAATGACAGGAGAGACTTGCGCAAACTGTGCCCTAAAGAAGTCTAGCGGAAGTCGCTAGTCATATAACAGGGAAAGTGAAACAAGGCTGATCCAACGTCAGGCGAGCGCCGGGCTGCGTCAGATGAGCCTAATTCAACCAACTGGAGGGCCAGGCAAGCCTGGCAGCCCAACCTTCCAGCTTCCGGGGTCCCTGAGAACCTGCCCTAGGTGTCCCTAGCTTGCTTCCCCCGCTTTTCCAGTGTCGTCTTTCTCCGTGGACCTAGACTGCATCCAGAGAAGGGTAGATGGCCTCCGTAAAGCTCACAGCAGCCAAGATGGCCTCAGCTCGAACCTCAACCAGCGTTGCCAGCATCACTTCTGGACCCTTTCTCGAATCTTGAGTTGACACTTCTGCACACCCTCAGGGGCTATCAGATCTGCGATTGCACTCATCCAAGCCTCAGGCGTCATTCACCGCCACCTGCACACATGACTTGTTGGGGGGGGGGGGGGGGGGGGGGCGGAACGAGGTAGACCAAGGTTAACCACCGGCAAATCACATGGCCGATGCGTCGTCAACCCGAGCTTCCGAGCTTTTTGACTGCTCCCTTCCAGAGGACATATGTACCGAGTTAGTCTAAAGTGGCAGGAGGTGGTGTTGAATATGCGGGGTTTTGGGCGTAGCCATGTGTGCTTGTGCGTGAAAGGGTATGAGAGAATCCCGATGCATATCCAGCCGTGCCAGCGAGCACTTGTTGAAAGGACGTTGCTTAGAGACCACAATGAGCAACCCGAATGGGAAATGGCTTCCTGATGCTCGTATTCCAGCGTGCACAGGCAGGCGCACACCTGGTTGCTGTCCCGTACCATCGACTCAAGAAGGTGCAAGGGGTGGGCGCGTCTCCTTTCACAATGCCTCCTCCCGTCAAATCTCGCAACTTGTCAACCCTCGAAAGCCGACAGAGAATCTTGTAGTTCCACACTCATTTGTTTGTTTTTGAACCCCGGGCCTGCTACTTGAAGGATACTAGGAAACCTCTTTAGTCGTATGACTAGCAAATGACAGGATCGATCGAACCGCAATGGAGCATCGGATAGCCAAAGGTGGGTTGACACGAATCATTTCGCCTAGCCGTCTTGACCAGGCTTCGCTCACAAGGACTCAGATCCCTCGAAGCGATTTCATCTGCCCAAGCGAATGTCCACCGATGATGGAAAGCTAGCCCGATTCCCACTCGCTTCAATGGAGGCATTCACTCGCCCCATCTCTGCCCTAGCCCAGCATCGAGTCCATCAGCTCTCAGAAATACGAGAAGTGTCCAGCTCCTCGAAAACGGCAAAACATGGCTATCCAGTACAGGAATGGAATGACGGTTGCATAGACAGGCCCACAACCCCCACAGCTCAAGCCGACGCGCTCTCACATACTACATCATCTGAGTATCTTACACCAACTGCGTTTCGTTCCCACAACAAAAATTATACCACAGGCCTGGGAACCCGTGCGGCAAGCGCAGTCAGCTTGCCCCATCGACCCGTCCCCGAGCGCACGTCGTCGGCGAGCATTCTGTCGCGGGGTCTAGGTGGACCTGTACAGGCATCGATGCGCGAATTGCCGACATGGAGAATCTCAGAATTGGATGGCCTGGAAACACTGGTCGACGACAAAGGTCGAGCCGGGTCTCCGGTTCGCCGATCAATCGGTCGCGCAGCCCAGTCATCTGAGGTCCTCCGACCTGCCCTTGCACGCACCTTCATTCGTACCTCGCCTCCTCATGAAATTCTGGACCATGGCAGCAGTCGTCACCCCCGAGTAGAGCTTTCAATCAGCCTTCCCTCGCCACTCTTTGTGGGAGGTGGCACAGTAGAAGGACAACTCACCATTCAAGTGGATGGCGGCCAGGCAAGAAAGCCGAAGATGAAGCCAATCTACCTCTCCAAAGCTTGCGTTGATGTCATTGGCGTCGAAGAAATCAACGACGGCCGGCGCTGGATATTTTTGTCGCTTGCAACAGAGCTATTCGATCATGAAAATCCACCTCCACCTTCCCTGGTCACGTCGCAGACCCCGGAACCTGGTGCAGATCTGTGTTGGGAGATGAAGTCTGCTACGTCGGTCGTTCCCTTCTGCGTCAACCTGCCCTTGAAGCTCGGCCCCCCTCCGTACTCGTCCAGGCAGGCTTCTATCCGCTACCTACTGTGTCCTTCGATTGTGGTCAAGGCTGGAGACAAGAGAACTGTGATCAGACAGACATAGAATGTTCAGATGCTCACCGTTCATGACCCAGAGAAAGCGCTGGCCAGTCTAGCCAGTCCTCTGTTGGCCGCGGATATACTGTATCTGGCAAGAGAGCCTGATATCCAAACGGTGAAGCTGACCGCTGGCCTTCACCGCCAGACATGGGTCAATGGCGCCTTGATCTTTATTGACGTCCACGTTGCGAACAACACGGCAAAATCGGTCAAGAAAATCGAGGTTCAATTGGAGAAGACAACACTGTGGTATACGCATGCTCCAGCTGGAACCGCAGAGAAGAGCGCAAATTACCTCCGTCTTCCGAAACGGACAGACGCCGAGGTGGTGAGTGGCACCACACTGAAGAAGTCAAGCACTTGGAAAGGAGTACCCTCTCATTCTTCAGACGTTCGTACCATCGAGCTGGAAGCGCCGCGGGGACACGTTACCATCAGCACTGGGAGGTATTTCGAAGTTCGATATTTCGTCAACGTCGTTGTGACGGTGAAAATGTTCAAGACAGTGGCCGTCCAGCTCCCTGTAACAATCATACCGATCAACTCATTGGACATTTTACCCAATTCGCTTGCGCAGGTCGCCGCTTCGATCGAAGCCAAGAGGTCTAAAACAGTCCCAGTCCCGCCTCCTGGTCCTAGCCATGCAGCACACCACCAGGGCCAAGCTTTTGCAGCTCCAATCCGACAGTCGGCCGAATATGCGAGACAAGAAAGATCACTGGCCCAGAATGACTTGGAAAGCCTAGCAGATGACATTGACAGGTCTCCTCGGCGACTAGCACATATCCACACGCAATGCAGAGGAGGTCTTTCTGGTGCAACCACAGACGAGAATGTCGCTCCTGGACGCCCAAGCGTGGCATCATCATCACACCACCATCTCCACAGACATGCGAGCTGTTACCACTGTCAGATCACGGCCGAGAATTGCTCGCCAGCCAAACCAGTGGGTCCCCGCTTGCCCCGACTTCAAGTCTCGACGTCTGGGCTAGGATTTTCCGAGTCTGAGTTTGAGATACCTCCTGATTCGCCACCTCGAAAAGTCATGCTGAGTGAGCAGGAACGAGGCATGATCAATCGTCAGAAAGAGCTCCAGAGTCGACAACAACGGAGTCAGGGAATGCCAAAGAAACCGAATAGGGACATGAGACGAGACGTCGACGTCCGCGCATCGAAGGATCAGCTCAGCTATACCAACGTTGTGGCGGATCCAGCAGCTGGTCCAAAACAAAGTGATTTTGGAAATCTCAGCCCTGGAGTCAGGAAAAAGGGCGAGGGCCCGGCACTTCCCAAGCCGCCAGTAACATTCAACGGATCTGCTGTCACCAGATCAAGGTCCAAGACGAACCCCGAGGGATCGAGATATCGACCTAGTATCAGCAAACCTCGGCGCAAATCAAGCACAGATAGGCACGACCGTACTCGAGCTTCGGTCGACGGGCCAGTATTCTCAGCTATACCTCGCAAATTTAACAAGGACCTGACACAGCGGGGGAGCTTGGATCACTTGTTCTGAATTGTGCGAGGAGTGCTCGATAGGAAGTTCGCGGGAACAAAGGCATTCTACTTTCGCCCAGGGCACGAGTGGACGTGGTGGGTTTGAAGGCCGAGTATAGATTGAGGGTATGATATGAAGCACCTGCCAACAACTTGTATAGCATGTACATTAGGCATTAGGATGACAGCAATTTACTGGGGTACACAGCCTTGCGCCATTGAAGCAGTGGGTATGATTGGTCAGTCTTTTGGCCGAGGTTGGTCTCGGGCCATGGCTCAGCCTCGTCCACTTCCCCATGTTTGCTGCGAGTCAGCGCCGATCGTGTCGTGATGATTGTATTGGACAACTATTGAGGTTCTGGTCGTTCATTGGTGCTTCGGGCTTGTCCTCGGTAGATTGAGATCGAGCGAGCCGCGAGATATACCGTGAATTGACGTGATAGAATCAAGAGCCTCCCGTGAAACCTCGTCATTGAGCGACAGACCTTGACTTTGACCTTGACCTTGACGCGCTACATACGCCCATCTCCTCCCAAACAGCAGGGGTCCTTGAAGAAGTCTCGAGTTGAGAAGGACGGGATATCCAACTAGACAGAGCATTGGAAATCCGCAGTACTTTTGAGAAAGCTGGGATCAGCAGAGAGGCATGGCGGCCATCAAGGACTTTGACAGCCTGTTCAGGCTGGATGGCAAGATTGCCGTCGTTACTGGCGGTACGTTGGACTGATTTCCTTTTCCATCACTTGATCACTTTGTCTTTTGTGGATTCTGCTCCCATTCCACCTCTCCCACTCTTGAACTCGATCGGCGCTTCTTCTAACAAAGAAAAACAAGGCTCCCGCGGCATCGGCCTGTACTGCGCGACCGCCTTCCTCCAGGCCGGCTGCTCCAAGGTGATCATCACGGCGCGCAATGCCGAGAACCTCGCGCAGGCGGCCGCACAGCTCAACGCGCTGCCCAACATCCGCGGCAGGGCCGTCAGCATCCCCGCCAACGTCGGCCACACGGACCAGATCGAGCAGTTTGTGCGGGACGTGCAGGCCGAGATCGAGCGCGACGAGAGGCCCGGCCGCGGGTTGGACATCCTCGTGGCCAACGCGGCGGCGAGCTGGGGCGGGCCGTTCGAGTCATTTGAGGACTGGAAGAGCATCAAGACGCTCGACTTGAATGTCAGAGGCGTGTTTAATCTGTGCAGGCTGTATGTTGTTGTCTCCCCCTTTTCCTTACTCTTCTGTGTTGTCATTGTTGTGCGTGGCACTTTATTATTGTCTCCGTCACGTCACATCACATCACGATCTTGAGCGATGGACACTGAATAAGGAGAGGGACGAATCCCGCTAATTTATTGGGTTCTTCCCCCCCCCCATCCGCACAGAATGGTCCCATTACTCTCCAGCGCGGCCACGCGCGCCGACCCGTCGCGGATCCTGATCACGTCGTCGGTGGGGGGCATCGTGGTGCCGCACGTCGGCGAGCGCGGGGCCATCATGTACTCGGTGTCCAAGGCGGCGGCGCACCACCTGGGGCGCAACCTCGCGCTGGAGCTGGTGCCCAAGAACATCACCACCAACGTCATCGCGCCGGGCTTCTTCCCCAGCCGCCTGGCGAACCCGCAGATCGACTTTTTGGGTGGCGAGGACGTCGTCGGCAGCCAGAACCCCATGGGCCGTCTGGGCCGCCCGGACGACATCGCCGGCCTCGTCGTCTTCCTGTGCAGTCGCGCGGGGAGCTACGTCAACGGAGAGGACATCTCGCTCGACGGCGGCGCCAGGTTGAGGTCCGGCACCCACGCGGGGACCTTGGACGCGAGGGGCAAAGAGGCGAGCAATAAATTGTAAAGACGGAGATCGAAGGGGGAAGGATAGGGAAAGAGAAATAGTTTTATATCTGGAGAAGGAAGAAAAGGGGTGAAGGGAGAGAGATTTTAAAGGGGGGGATTTCGATAGAGTGGCTGAAAATCAAGGGCGTATTGGTGGACGACGCCTCGACGCTCGGATTCATGATTGTGCAAGATTCACGCAGAGGACATGACTGACTTGGGGTCTCTCTCTATCTCTCTCTGTCTGTCTGTCTGTCGTCTGCCACTTGGCTTTCTTCGTGTTCGAGCCACCACCACGTCCATCACTGCGCGCACGGGAGAGTTGCAAGACAAAACTCATAAATCAAAGGATTCGTTCTCCTTCCTCTCCTTTCTTTTCTGACTATGGCTGCCTTGCCGGGTCAGCTGACCTCCTCCCAAAACCCCGCGGGCTCTTTCACCAGCACCAGACTCGCTCCGATCCCTTCACTGTCCAGGGGCATCTCGTCGACCTCATCCTCGCCCTTGGCTTCAGCGAACAGCCTCACTTCTCGGATCCCCAACCCCCTCTCTTTCAGCCACGCGTCATCCTCTTGATCCCTCGGCGCCCGGATCACCACCCCAACCCTGCCTCTTAGGCGCTTCATGGCCTCCTCGTCGGGATTCGGCGTGCTGAGCAAAAAGCTCACGCTCGTGGTCGGACGATACCTGTAGCCACCCTGGACTTTCGGTTTCGTGCCGAGCACCGAGGTGTACAGGCGTATGTAGCTGTCAATCTTGTCCTCAGGAACGAGCACCTCGACCCAGAGGATCCCTCTCGCCCCGCAAGGGTGCGTCTCGGATATCTCTTTCTCGGCGTACGGCACTCTCAGACTCCGGTCCGTCACATCGTGGCAGAAGAATGGCGTGTCGAGTCGTCCCTTGGGGAAGTATTTTTCGAGCGGTTTTGGCACATTTTCTGCGGAGTCGTCCAGGAGTGGTTTCGTGACGTGCCACTGGACGTCTTGGCCGTCTTTTCGCTTGCGGCCGCCAGCAAGGGGAGGTCGAAACCGCACACCCAGCCCTCCGTCACCAGCGTCGACTCTGGGTACTGGGACCTCATCCGTTGACGAGGACTGAACGGGATAAGGCTGTTCCAGTTTCGACCCTAAGCGCCGCGTAACTTCATCAAAGGTGTCCTGCGCAGACGAAGGGGTTGTAAGTGCAAAGTCAATCAGACCGGGTGATTTTGGTGCCCAATCGAAGAATTCTTTAGGCTCCGTGATCCAGTTTATCAGCTCGATGTAAGTACCATCGGGGAAGATGATGAGTTTGTTGCGGGAGGAGCCACCTTCACACAAGGCGTGTTAGAAGCTTGTTCAGACCGCAAAAGGACAGGATGAGGACTAGAGTGAACGAGGAACGACACTCAGTTCTGAGTCCTTCATCGGTCTGCCACCCCCAAGGTTTCCACCCTCTCTATGCGATACACGTACCGGCATGTGTCCCGCCCTCAATGATGGTAAAATTGTCACTCAGCCACGACGGCGGGTTCTCAAAGTCCGGCGTATCCAGTAGCAGAATAACATGGTCGAAACTATAAGACGAAATCGTTTCGCCCACCATACCGCCGGTACCAGCCACTGGCGAAGTGCGACACGGGAAGCAATGGAAAATGAGGCTGTCAACAAGTGACTGTAGTGAGAATGGACTTCCACGAGGCTTTCCGTCAGTTGCCGATCCGGGGTTTGTCGTCGCTTGGATACTAGGTGTAGTCAGGGAGATGGCCGAAGACCAGGGTCAAGAGAAATCTGAGCACCTGTAGGTATGTTAATCATTGCATTCCAGGATTGATAAGGTGTTCGTAGACCTACAGGGTCGGTCGGACCACTGCTTGATAGACCAGACGTTTTCAGCTGAAACCAAACAGGGGAAGTGGTTCTGCAGATCCCGGACAACTTCAATATTCGCACCAACTTCCTACTTTAGGCAATGATCCCTTGAAATAACAGGTTGAAGACGAGGTGTTTCCAGAGACAAGGATGAATAGAATGAGTCACGATCTGACGATCTGCTCATGTCACCCGTTTGTCGTTTGGGGGAACCGCGGAATGATACAGAATACGAGGATTGCGAAATCGGGCAAATGTGACAAACCCAGCAAAAAGTATCTAGGCGTGTTTGGTGTGTTTGGCGACAAGGCTGGAGATCATCTATCGGGCAGCAGGAGAGAGAGGGAGGGACAGAGAGATGAAGGCAGCAATGCAGATTTTATACCATGAAATTCATCTCTTCCATTTGCACAAGGCCATCCATAGCGGACTACTGCGATAGAGAATAACGCCGCCACTGCGAGGAGATGAAGCACCTCTCCATCCATCGAGCGGATTTGCTCTCTCCTTGACAAGCTGAGAGGACCTTCTCGTCTTGTGTCTTGCAGTTCTGCGTCTTCATCCCACTTTCTCCCAATATGTTTGCATCTCACCAGGGTGTAGCTCCCAATCCTCCGCTCGGCGACTTACAAGGCATCCAACTTTTGCAATTGGTCGCCATTTGGGACTCCCACACCTGCAGTCGCCGCAAAACACCATCGTGCATTCGTGTAGATCGGAGCCGTCGATGTCGAAATCTGTCCCTGCAACCATCCCTCTATTGGTCTGAAGCAACCGTGTCTCACCCTCTACCTCATAACCCCCAAGATATTGGTCGTATTGTACAATAGTAGTTCGTGGACTCCGTCAAACACCATCGCAAAATGAGAAGCAATGTGCTCGCATATAACGGCAGCTTTCTATCCATATCCTACTCCTTGGTCGTCACCGACTGCTGCTTATTCTGCAGCTTGACGTTTGTTGTAGTGGGAGGTGTATCATCAGGTTTGTTCGTCGCGTTGGAGAGACTAATGGCGATTTTGCGAGGCTTTCGACCCTCGACGTGATTCTCCGTCTCAGTATTACTCGTTGATAACGGGCTATTCTCGCCGCTTGCCTGCTTCGATCGCAAAAATCCCTTTTTCCGACGTAATGCGCCTTGCGAGGACAGGCTGGAACTGCTGGATGCCGAGTTTCTGCGTTTGGGCCCTCCAGAAAGCTTGCCGAGCTCGTCGTCGTCGTCATCTTCTTGTCGTCGTCGTTTCTCCGTCATTCTTTCGGGGGCTTGCTGCAATTCGCTTTCGGCAATGGACTTGATCTCCGGTGATGGCTGCAGCTTCTTTTCAGGTGCTGCTTTTGGTTCGGGGGAAGAAACGTCCTTGTTACTGTCTGGAGTTAGTGGAGTGTGAGGTGTTGCATCGGCTTTGGCTTCCATCGCGTCGTCCTCGTCGTCGTCAGGATAATCTACAAGCGGCTTGTTAACCGGACTGACGCTCCCATTCATCATCTCAGCCTTTATCCTTCTGCGGTGCCATTGGTTCACCCTTTCAGACACATCCTTTATACTGTCACGATCAGAATCTTCTTCTGCTTCTTCCTCCTCGTCATCGGAGGCGTTAAAATAGTCCTCCTCGCTCGCATCCATTTCCGGTAGACCCTGCCACCGGCCATTCATATGCGCCCGACTCATAGGCGGCGTTGCATCGTCTTGGCTGAATAAGGTGTGCTCAGGCTCAGGGTGGTCGGCTGTCAACTGTTCATACTTAAGAAGAAGATTCACAAACGTGTCGACATAGGTAATGTCCTGGATCTTTTGCCGGTAATGCTCCGCAAGGTGGATGACTATCGGCTTTATCGTTTCCTTGCGGATAAATTCAAACATTTCCAGACATGCTGAATTGAGGAGATTATCCCGTGGCATAGTGTCAATGACAATTCCCAGAATGGCGTCAAACGCTCCGCTTTTGATGACCTGCGCGGCATAGAATTGATCTTGTAACGAGACTGCGGTCCGGAAAAATTTCAAAGCAGTCAGTTTCAACGGTTTCTGCGGGACCTGCAACAGCTGAGCCACTCTTGGTGCCAAATTTTCCGACAGGAGAAAAGGCCGGCTTCTCATGGAATGTTGGCGGATAAAGAACGTCAATATCTCGACCAAATACGAGAACAACGAGACCTCCTGATAGCTGAAGTTAAGCATCGATTCCCTAGATTCGAGCTCCTTGAGCGGTTGGAATAATTTTCGACACGATCGGTCAAAATTGTCCTGCGCAAATTGCTCGTTGGCCTGCTGAGTCGGAGTCATCTGGGGTCTTGAGAGCTTGGTCATGAACTCGGAGTTCTGACGGTTACCCATTGGGTCATTAGAAGGGGGTTGAGGATCCAGTAAGATCTTGATGGCATCTGCCAGCTGGTTTTTCACGCCCAGATCAGTCTCGGCATGCAACAAGTCGATCAGCGTGTCCGTCAAGGGAATCTTCCTTTCAGATACGGCCTTGAGCATATAGCCTCTCATCATATTAGGGTCATGGTCGAGAAGCGCCACCAGGATGTCAATGCCAGTTGTTCTCATTGACGGCTCTGGGTGTTTTACCGCGAAGGTAATGACTGAAAAGAGACCGTGTGCAATGAAGTTGTTGAGAAGGTTTGCCCTCGACTGCATTTGAAGCGTCTTCGCAATCGCAGCGCATTGCTGCAAGAAGTGCACAGCCTGCTCTTTCCGCCTGATGTCCGTGTTGTCGGCACTGAAGATGGCAAAGAGCTCCTTCAAAAAGGCAGTGTTGTTTTGAAGGTGCTGGACAATATCAACCTGATTGAAGAATATGAGCGAGTTCAATACGCCGAAGGTAGGATCGTCCAGGATGCGCGCCAGCACCACGTCCTTCAAATACTGCAGCCGCCATGTCTGACGTATTTTCCGCTTGATGTTTTGGTCTTTGATCTCCACCACCTCTTTATACCTCGACTCATCTGACAGGTACTGTCTATGGTTGGCTTTGTGCGTGGGGAAGTCCGGATCGTACTCGAGGGCTCCAACGACGCCCAGAATGATGTCGTCCGTCACCAAATGCTCAATGATGGTGTTATCGTTCATCAGAATCAGGGCCTTCATAATATTGCACAGGCGATGTAGATCTGGTAGACTCTCCAGGTCCTCTGCCATCTCAACCAGTGGTATTAATTTGAGTAGATATTCTTCACGGATCAAAAACTTTGCTAGTGCTTCGCGCCCGCCCTGCGTTATGCTCGCATGTCGTATACTCTGTTCGATCTCGTCCAGATTGTTCAGTTCGGGGGGATTGAGGGTAAAAGAGCTTGAGATATTTTCAAGGGCATCGTCCGAGAGGCCATCATCTGTGCATCAACTCAGCCAAGTAGAGTTTGCGGAACTGCAGTTGACGCTTACCAGGAAGGGTCAATAACTGTTGCTGGACTTGATGTACGAAATCCCTGGAGCACTATTAGACCATCGCGCGCCCGAAATGAACCATGTGCGTACCATATGACTGCACAGCCTTCCGCCTCCTGGAAACTGAGGGCCATGTCGGTGCCATTGGTCTCGGTCCACACAATGAGTGTGTCTACGAGCGCGTCAGCAGACCAGAACTCTTCAAGCTTGTTTCCCAGAGAATGTACCTTGCTGTTTCTGATATCCATCATCTTTGACAATACGAGTTTCTAACAACATGCGATCCGGTTGGTCTTCGGACTCCACGTAGATGCGCGGTTCATCCTGCGTATACCATGTATTAGCGCGCGTGCCCTTTTCCTCGCCAGCGTCTCGATATCCAAACGGGAGCAGAAGATTTCGAGGCGTACGTTAATGAATTGGCCGGTGCAAAAACCAGTTCCTCTGTCAAACCAGTCATTGTCGCGCAGCTCATAAACTTTTACTCTCTTCTTGTCGTTGGCAAGCGGCGCCTGCATTGCCATGACTGAAGGAGAGAGAACAAGGAATGAACATCAGCAGGCAGCGATTCTGTTACCGACTGCCGACTTTCTGTTTGGGAGGGTGGCGAGATGCGCAAAGTTGAGCGAGTTTCGGGTGCTGGTGATACAGAACAGGTGGCGCGGGGTGGATCTGCGGTCGAGGCAATGTTGCGCTCGACAGGAAGGAGACAAGCGCGCAAAGCTCCAGGGCTGCGATCAAGAATCGGATAGATACAATAGATCAACGGGCGTCTATTGCAGCGAGCCGATAGAGGTGATGTTGAGGAGGGTGAGATGGATGGACGAGGGAATGACGTGCATCCAACGAGTTGGGATGCCTTGTCGCGATAATTTTGTGACAAGAGAGATGGAAGTCCGAGAGGGAGCAAAGCCTGAGCCTGGGCCCGGGGCTCAAAAGCAGGGCTCTTTTGCGACTACTGATCCGTACAAGATGCAGCTGGTGGAGCGACGGCTTTGCCGAGACTGACAGCTGCCCACCACCGGGAAGTTTACAACGACTTAGCGTGCAAGGCGTGATGATTTGGGAAGTTGGGAAGATAGGGCGAATGGTCCACCCTGCGGTAAGGCGAGTTGATTATCAGATCAAAGTCGATTCTTCTTGTTCTCGTGGATTGTTAGTTCCGTTTCAATATCAAATGGCAGTGGTATCGGTGCAACAAATACATGCAGAATACTCGGTAAATGGGAGAAGTACAAGTACAAGACGAGGGCACAGGTGACAGGGAAAGGCTTTCGTGGGCTTGGTAGGTGGGAAGCGGGAGGCGGGAGGCGTGTATCGATGCAAGAGGTGGGAGGGAGAATGCCAGGAACCCGGAGCTGGGCGTTGGTGGCTGCTCGATGGGCGTCCCCCCATCCCCTTCTGACACCCCCGACACCCCCAAAGTCGATGTGATGGATTCATCTTGCAGCCTCGGGCACCACTTTGGCCCATGTGACATCATGCAGAGGGCGCCGCCACCACCGCAACTAGTACCTAGGGAGGCAGCGAGGCAGCTAGCCACATTTTTAGTTACATATTCATTATTATTAGTAGCATTGGCAGCTGGTGGAACATCTATATCAAGGTGACGTGGGGATCTCTCACAGCTTTCATCTGCACCTGCGACTCCTTTACCATGATTTACGCCGGGCATCAAAATGTCAATATTACCATCATCAGAGAGTCTTTGGATTCTCATGCACATTACCCAATCCAAGATGCTAATATATAGCCAACGCTCTCCCCCACCATCTGTCACCTTTCCACCATCCGATTGATCGCGAGCCTTCCTGATTCCACACCCACCACCCCTCACCCTTGCCGCCTGGCCCAAACCCTATTCCGCGGAAGAAACTGATGGGAACTGGCTCAAAGAGCCACAGTCCAGAGGTTGCAAAGTCGTTGGCCAATAACGACCCTGTCAAGTAAAGATATAACACCACCACGAGCGCATTCGCCGCCTGGCCTATACCGGATGGCAGATCCTTGACCCACGAGGCGTGTCTGTATATGAGTTTGACTATGAATGATTGTAAGAGAATGCCAACGCCTTGTAGGAAAAAGAACAATAAGGGGCCAGAGAGTGGATGCGAGCCGTTAAGTGAAAATGTTGTGTAGCTAGCACTCGCATGGATTGAGCCTGACAACGTGAAAGCGACCAGAAGCTGGACGGTTCGAGCAACGATGCCGCGAGCGTCCAGCTTCAGTCCCTCAATCAAGACTCGGGATGGTTCTGAGATGCCAAACCGAAACATCTGGTGCCAACATTTGCCCCATAACCCTGCCAGCCCAGAGTACAGGACCGACGTCGATAAAGATTGCCAATAAGGTGGATACATCCATGTTTCCGTGAGAGGTGCCTTTGTAATCTTTGTGAGGTCGACGAAAGTGGGAAGGATGGTAGCGAAGAACAACGGACTGAGGCTGAAGATTAACCTCAATGCAGTTACGACTCCACACATCGTAATCCACAGCCGAACAAAGCGAGTTGCAACTGGCACAGCATTGTCGATGTGAGCAAGCCAAGTCCAGGGTGTAGACGATTCCAACGGTGCCACGCCCAGAAAGTACGGGTCCGTGATCATGACTGCCTTCAGGAAATCGAGGAAGAGATAGTTGATGATAAAGCCTCGTAAGGCTCTTAACTGATGGGTTCGCGGAAAATGCGAAGCAGCCATCGATGTCCGCCTTTCGTCACCGCGGATCCCAGTGGCAGTAGTACTTTGGGACTTGTCTCGATGCATTGATGGGTCAATCTGCCCTATGGTTGAGATTCGATGTTCCCATCCCACTGCTCGGAAACTCGTCATAAGGTCGACCGTCCAGTCGAGGACGTGGAACAAGTCGAAATTGTAAGGATACCCTTGCCATACCAGCTCGTATCGCTGTCGACAAGGTTGCTCAGGCTGAGAGATCGGGGTGGGAAATGAAGACGAGCTGCCCACCTTCCGCTCCTTCATATTGCTCATTTGCCGTCGATCGGACTGCGAAGATGTTGCTGTGAACTTGAGCCACTCGGAATCTTCACTTTCTGTTTTGACCGCTCTCTTTTCAAGCCTTCTGAAATCTCGTCCCACGTCGTTGCACAAGAGAAGAGCGCCAGACATGATGACACCCCAGGCTGTCATTAACCCAATGCCATAGCCGGCCGCAAGCCAGAGTGTCCGGCGATAGCATGCCACATAGGCACCATGGGCAAGGACCGAGACGAAAGCGACATATCGGACTGCTCTGGCCAGCCTTGGGGACAGTCTGGGGCTGATTGCGATAGCAAGTATTAAGTATAAGGCTGGGAGTGAATCCCACGGGTAAAGGAAGGGAGTATACTCGTCTGCCGCTATTGCCAAATCATATTGATGTTGCCGCTCTGCTAGAATTTGCCGATAGAGCGAAACATAGTCGTTAGTCATAGCTGGCCAGGATATGGGAATGAAAGTACATGAGAAGGACAATAGAAGTCATCTCGATGTTGGTGGTGTCTTTGAAGTCATGACGTCTTGAAAAGTGATTGATTTGACCGACCATCCACAAGGATTGACATTGGGGGCATCGTTCTGTTGAGCAAGACGTGTCCTGAGAACAACAGGTCAACAATCCCTCGAACCAGTAGGACTTAGTCTTTCATCTGTTTGGTGTGATCACACTGGAGAGTGACTGATGAACAGCATCCAGTCTCCCATTGTGGCGCCCTGTCGTCCAAATCGGGGTTGGGTCTGGGATTCTGGAGAAATCCACCTTCAGTAACTTTTCAATCTTGCCGAATTCCATGTGGAATCCAACCCATGCTTCTTACAAGTCCCAGGTCCATGCTGTCGGTCCAGACTGCCCTCGACTGTAAGTACAGTTCGTCATTTCTCTACCATGAATTCGATAGAAGGGCTGCCCCTTTCATGCTACTATGTCCCCAGTTTCATCACCGCATCTGAAGAGGCGCAGATCCTCAACGACCTCCAGAAACTGCCCGAGTCTCGATGGACTGTGCTCACCCACCGGCGTCTATTATCTCTACCCTCAACCTTGACCGGTCCTTCGCGTGACACTCTCCTTGCTGCCCCCATGCCAGCGTACCTCGACGTGATCGTCACCCGTCTTCAACAAGGCAAATTCTTTGAGAGTTCCACACACAAGGCTCCGAACCATGTCCTGATCAATGAATACAAACCAGGAGAGGGAATCATGCCCCATGAAGATGGTCCTGCCTACGACCCAATCACAGCGACGGTGAGCTTGGGGAGTCACACTGTGCTCGAAATCTACCGAAAGACTGAAGCTGGCGAACGAGAAGCGAAGCCTACATGGCGAATCTTACAAGAACCCCGGAGTCTGCTGGTGACGACGGGCGACATGTATATCAACACACTACATGGCATTTCAGAACTCCAGACGGATGAGAATCTGAACAGCGAGCAGATCATCAACTGGAATCTCCTCGGTGACCAACAACCCTATGAGAGCGGTCATGCTCAGCGGCAAACTCGCATTAGTCTCACCTTGCGTGACGTGATCAAGGTTGCCAAATTGGGGGGTGCTTTGAAGTTCATAAACAAAAGGCCATGACGCTGTCTCTCCTATTTCTGGCTCTTTGACAGGATCTCTCCCCGTGGTGCCGGCATCATGGCTCCTTCGGCGGGCTGGTGTTTACTCTTGAAATGGTCCACCATCTCGGCCATTGTTACCCATTCCACGCCCTCGTGTTTGTTGATGTGCTCAATTAACCTTTCATGCATGAGCAAGACATGCGGTCTACCAGACACATCCGGGTGGATGGTCATAGGGAAGTAAAATCCCTCTTTCTCTTCTCTGTAAAAATAGTCGAAATGGTCCTGGGGACGGCTCAGAATTGCGGACTTCAGTAGGACAACGCTGGCAACTTACCCGCCACAAATCTTCAACGTCTCTTGGATTCACCCATCCATGACTGTTTGGTACCTTTTTCTACACGAGTCTGTCAGCTTGTCTGAAGAGGATATAGCCAGGAACCATTCTTCAATCAACTCCAAGAGCGGTTGAAGCCGGGGGGACTTACCATGAACATCATTGGAGGCAAATCATCCAGGTACCAATTGGCTGGAATCTCCACGAGCCCCGTTTCCTGGCCCGTGGTGAAGGGCTTCATCCACTCAGCGGCTGTTTTGTTATAATCGATCTTTGTCCAGTTATCTCCTGTCCGGAGATAGTATGCCTGACAGTCATGATGGCTCATGCTGTGGTCATACTCAATGCCATAATGAAGCAACAATTCGGTGGCTTCTCTGCTGACCTCCCACCACGGAGCCACGATTCCTCGGGGCGTCTTTCCATGACAGAAATCTGTGAGCATTCGGTAGGTATGGTCGAGCACGTCGCGTTGCTGCTCAAATGTCATATCAACGGGATTCTCATGGCTGTAGCCGTGCAAGCCTATCTCATGCCCGGCGTCGCGGATCATAGCACATTCTTCTGGAAATGTTCTGTTATGGTGACGGCGTCAGCTCACAAGACGGGTGAAGCATCGGGTCGCCCTCGGAATTCAACTCCAAGTTCACGAAGAGACTTACTCTAGACTATGGCCAGGAATAAACCAAGACGCCTTGATGTTGTATTTTTCAAACAGCTTCAATAGCCTTCTCACGCCTTGCGTGCCAGCGAAGTAACCTACCCGGACGGAACATGAAGGGTTTGTCTCAGCTCTCTCTGCAATAAATTGTCCCTCGCAGAACTTGCGGAAAGTGGGTTTTGTGTGATGCTAGCCCGGCATATTTGGCGTCGACGTACCTCGAGAGATGTCACTGGTCGAGTCTTCGCCCTTGTATGAACCCAACCATCCTGCTATTGCGTCTATATCAACGCCATAGGACACCAGGATCCGTCTCTTGGGCTTTGCAGAGTCCTCTGACATTATGTCAATTGATGTTTGCGATTATTCCCTATCGTCGACCGCGACTCGCAAAACACAAAAGTCTATACAAGACAAATGCGCCGCACACAAGAAGGATGGATGGGGTTCGCGTCAGCGGGTGAGGCCCGAAGAGAACGGATCCAGGACCGATAACATATCTTTTGCTCCGACTCTGGAGATGTCCGCGACGTTCTTTTCCATGACGTTTAGAAAATGTCCGAAGATCTCGTGCATAATATCCACTACCGTGTCTGGGACGGATTCATGGGGAGGATGCGGAGAGGCATGATCCACCCGGCCACTGGGGTACCAGTTCCCCATCACGTCTTGTCACTTTTGCTGGGATCAACAGCCTTGGCCAGAGATATTCTCTTAAAAAGGCTGCTTGGATTTTCATATACCTCAGGGTGGTAGAGATCAACGGGACTGCAGTTCGATTCAATATCAGAACAGTCCGTAAGCAGGGACGGATCGCACATGCAGCAGAAGGACCAGGTTGGCTCTAACCATGGATCACAAGATTCGCGACCGGATCTGTTAGAGTATTGTGGAAGATTCTTTGCAGAAAGATACCGCTGTCAGGGATGGAATGCTCAAGAAGAACTCGAGGCGACGAGAGCACGATGTTACCGCGAACAGAACGGCGAGCTCTCGATGCGTGCAGTTCATCACAATATGCCGCCTGCAAGCTAATGGATGAACCCAACAGTGTGGCTGATGAAGTCTTGGATGTCTTCCTCTGCGTAGTCGTTCTGCCACTCGCCCAGCTCAATGGTGAACCCTCCTTGCAGTCCCTCATTCGGACCATTACCTCCTTGTCGGTCATCATCAGCTTTGGAGACCGAGGGAATCAATTTGACGGGCAAGAATCTCGGGTAAGCGCCCTGTCGGTCCCACGTGTCCAACCGAGTGAAAGCAACCTCTAGATAGTCCAATATCTTGGTCTGTGTTTCTCCTTCTGCACGCTCCATCAGCAGCGCATACAAGTTTGCGACCGCCTGGCACAGTTGATCCTGTTTCAGCGGCGGCGGGTTCGTCCCCATGGAGGGATATTTGTCTTGGAAGCAGGATTTCTCGGTAGGAACCTCGATCCAGAGTCTGATCGTCCGTATTGTGGATATGGACTGGATCAATGTTGACAATGCCGTGGTTGTGGGAGTGGGAGACGAAAATGGCGTGACGGCAAGATCGTCGTCGTCACCCTGGGTCGGGCCAAACGCGGGAATGTCCATTTCCAGATGCGTGAGCGATGTCAAATGCGTTGCCATGAGCTGTATTTGGTCTGTGTTCAGATACAACAGTCCCTTGGGTCGGGTGAAGGTGAAAACAGGGAGGCTGTGCAGCTTGAGCACCTGCAGTGTCGGAGCGTGTAGGTTGATTATGGTCGGGATGAGCGAGGGGAGTTGTCCCTGATAGTCGGTCGCGTAGATGGACGCGAGGTTTGGCAGGGATCCCATCGCAGAGGTCGCCACGGCCATCTTTCGCCTCATCCATTCCTCCTTGCCCGTGCCCTCGTGGGCTGGGTAGTATGGCACGAGGAAATGCAAGCGCAGGAATCTCTTGTCGCGGTAGTAGGACGAGTAGACGACACTTCCAAAGTTGTTCCTGTCGATGTGGGTTTGCGCGAGTGGGAACGAGTTGAACAAGTCGAAATCGAGCTCGGGCAGAGTGACGGCGTCGTCGGACATTTGGCGTTTGAGGACGCGCAGATGGACGTTGTGTTGTGGCTGTCGGAGAAGAGAGAGGATTTTGGGGGGAATGGGCATGTTGACGCACCATCTGTGCTCAGGAGATGCGTCAGTTTTTACTTCTTGGAAGAGGGGGAGGGAGATGGTTGCTTTTAGAGACATGCTCACGACAAGGTGCGAAGGTTCCTGACGCTGTTGAGAATGCGCTCGAGTGCTGCGGAATCCAGCACGTTGGGCAGAATCGCGATAATCTCGTCGTTGTTACTGTTGTCATCATTCTCCTCGTCATGGTCATGGTCATTGTCGTCATCATCCTCATCATCATCCTCGTCGTCGTCGTCCTCCTCCTCCTCATCAAACTGCCGACGGTAGTCATACTCTCGCATCGCAGGCGATCCTATGCTGATCTCCTCAACGCGCCGGGCGAGTTCGCTGTCCGGATTCGAAAGCTGCTGAATCATCTCTCGGAGTTGTCCATTCTCAGACTCGTCGTCTTCTTCGTCATCGTCGACGGGGAAATGATCCTGTTTCAGTAATGCTGTGACCTTGTCGGCGGGCAAGTGGATGCGGTCGTCCATGACTGGGAATATGATATGGCTGCCAACACGAGAGGGGATTCTGAGTGATGGTGATGGAGAATAATAAAGATGAAGACAAAGACAAAAGAATCCCTCACTCTCACTCTCACTCTCTTGTCTCCTCTCGACAAGATTCTCTCACCGCATCTTGCTAGCAAAGTGGCATTTTGCATATGCATATCCCATATCCATGTCCTTAGCCATCTACCAAGAAACTACGAGGTAGATAGATACCTAACAATCCCCGGGTACCGAACTGTCGTTTACCATGAGCTTGTATTCTCGGCCCCAACGGTGGTTGGTGGACGTGCTATTCTGTCACCGCTGGCGCCAAAAAGGAGGAATTATTACCTCAATAAGCACTTGGTTGGAGAAAGCAGAAAAACAGAGCGTCTGATGGGGATGGGGGATGATGGCCCCTTGGTGGCCCTTGCAGATCTTTTGTCCCCTTTCCATGAGGTGATGTTTTAATCCTATGCAATGCAGACAATCGTAATATTAATATGATGCCCAAAAAGGGGAGAGATGAATCTCATCCATCAAGAGTCTGGACCAGGCCTGTCACTCTTTACGCCTTTACCTCCCTCTTTACCTCGTACACCTCCTCCCAATCTTTCTTCTTCCTTTGCCGCTCACCCGAAAAAGCGCAAACTATTTGATAAATGGGCGATTATTTAATCAAGCGTCTTTGCTCACTCCCTGCAAGCACCAAGATGGGCATGGCGCTTCTTCTTAATTACTTGTCACGGATTCCTGCCGCAGTTCATGCCGGGGCCCCAAATTGCCCAAAGCTTTGCCTGCTCAGCTTGTCCAGCTCGTCCATTTGTTCTGCTTGTCCTGCTTGTCAACCTGTCGATGCCTCGAGTCAATCAATCACCTTCAAACCCTGTCAATCCCGTCCCCGCCTCTTGAATCCTTCTGGCGATTGCTCCCGATCTCTCCCACGAAACAAGTCATGTCAACACCACCAATGCCAGTCCCTCCACCAGTCCCTGCATGCTGGATTTCTTTTCTCCGGTCCCGCCGGCTCCCTTAGAGTAGCAGAAGGCACATGAAAGGGTCTCGTCTCCCTCGTATTTCCCCTCGGCATCTCCATCACCTGAACCCGTCCTCGATCACCGACAAGTCATAGCTCTTTTTCCTCTGCGCAGTCTTATTGTAACCTCATTTTTCAGCCGCTTCTCTGTGTCAACGACTTTTTCTTGGGAGCATATAAATCAGGGCCAACAGCTGCGGCCGAGTCCTAACAACAACGCCCGCCCACCTTGGGCCGCGCACGGCGCGACACGAGCCCAATGCCTTGCGATCTCGCCTCTACCTGACTGCCTCCAACGTCGCCGTTAGTCACATGAGCGAGAAAGAGATAGAGAGAGACAGCAAGAATTCAATGGCTTAAGCCACGTGGTCGACAATGTCGAAAAGATCATGTCCGAATATAACCAGACCTTCTCTCCAGATCAGCTACGAGCCATCGATATCGCCGCCCGCATATCATCATGTCTGTCCATATCAGGCTCCTGCTTCACCATACTCAGCTTCATCAGCCACCCGCCACTCCGAAAACCTGTGAACCGTCTTGCTTTTTCCATCGCCGTTGCCAATATCTTTGCGTGTTCGGCGTATAGTTGGGGCATTCATCCGATCAATGCTGGCAGGGAATCTGCGTGGTGTCAAACCCAGGGGTTTTTCATTACTTGGTTTGTGATGACGGATCCGTTACTTGTACGGCTTTATCCACCCTCGTCGTTTGGTTACCGCTTTGTTGTTGATTGAGCTAACGAGGGTTTTGCTGTGTTTAGGTCATGATTATGGCGTTCAATGTTCTTCTCACTGTTCGAACGAAACGAAATGCCACCGAGCTCAAAAGGGTCGACGTTTATGCGATATTGCTGGCTTTTATTCTCCCGTTCATTCCGGCTTTGGTGTTTTTGTGCTGGAGGCCCGATGGCAAGTCTGTCTACGGGCCGGCGACCATGTGGTGCTGGATTGCCAAAGAATCCCAGATCCTTCGTCTGGTGGCCTTTTATGTGCCCATTTGGTGAGTTTGGCATGGTGCTGAGGACGAAGGCAGAGTGTCTCAGTCGCAACCTAATCACATACTGACTGGGCCTGGAATAGGTGCTTCATCCTTGTCGCCATATTCCTCTTCGCTCTAAGCGGCAAACAAATCCTTCTGGTGCGCCGCAAGGTCAAATCGGCCAAAGCCGAATGTGTACTGTACCGAGACGAGCCAGGCCCAGACGGATGCCCACCTCCACGTGAACGCCGCTTTTCGTCCTTCGCCAGGGCCTTCATGTCGTCCACACCAACGGCGACGAGAGACTCGGATAGGTCCAGCGTGCCCTACAACAACAACGCAGGGCCGGAGCCGTCATCGCCCGAGTTTAAGGGTTTCGAGCCGCTCGCGCCCATCCATTCGCGCGAGGTCCTGGATCTGGAGTCTCAGTCTCACCACCCCCCGTCATCGCCGCCGTCGCACGAGTCGTCAATCTTTGCCACGCCGGGGTCTCCGACAGTCACCCTCGACCGCTCTGGTTCCGACCAGACGATGCTCCGTGGGGTGGCACCGGACCGATTCCCGCCGCGGCGGAGGTCGTCGTCGCGCTTTGATCGGATACACTGGAAATACGCCAAGTTTGCTTTTTTGTGCACGATTGTCTTGTTCATTACCTGGGTATGTTGAGAGAGCCGTACAGTACTCCGAATTCTTTACCCTCCTTCCCTCCTCCCGCCCCCCATTTCCGCGAGAACAAAATAATATGCCCTAATGATAACCAATGAATCACGACGCCGACACAAATACTAAGTACCATGTCTCAAGCACTAATCTTATCTGCTGTCAACAGGTCCCCATCAGCGTCAACAGGGTCTACAACAACTTCATCTCCCCGAACCACCAAATCTACGGCCTTTACCTGACCTCGGCGGCGTGCATCCCGCTGCACGGCTTCGGCAACTTTGTCATTTACACCACCACCAGCTGGGCCGAGTGCAGAGACTTTCTGACCTGCTCGACTCACCGGAGTTCCCGGCGTCCGTCCTCCTCGTCGGCTATTGTCGTTCCTGTCGGGATTGGCCCTGGCGCCACAACGGCCTTCACCGTCCCCGTGGGTGGCGGGGGAGACCACGCTCGCGAAGGTGCAGGCCAGGATGGTGAGGAAATGGCAACGACGCGCAGGCTCGGGTTGATCCAGAATAATGTGCTCAGGGGTTGGGCAAAGCGTGGTCACGATATGTGGGCGACACGGAGACAATGACAGTGCTCGTTCGAGACCCGACCGTAACGTGGCATATATGTCCCGCCCAGGTCGACTGAGCGGCGGCCGCACACTTAACTGGTACCACTACCATAATACAAAATATCACATACGCTAGACCCAACTTGTGGACATATATCCAGCGCGACGTACTCGGCTCGGTGCACATATCATATATACCAGTTACATTATAGCATTTGTAGCATTCTATCAAAGACAACATAGCCGGCGCAACGAAAAAATGATAAAGGAAAATTGGAAAACTGTCAGAGTACCACCACCTAATTAACACCGATCGACACCGCCGGGGCACCACCCACTAAAGCAATCTCCCAGTCAAGTGAAAGGCATTCCACGTCTAGCTGGCGGGGGCTGATTAAAGTAATATGTTAGATTCAATACCAGAGAAAAGCGGATGATGGGTTGGGACTGGGACTGGTAACGGTAACGGTAACAGTAACAACAACATGTGAACTGGGTCGTACCTTAAGGATACTAGGAACCAAGAAAACACACGAGTCGTATAAGTCAAGGAGAAGAGGAGAGTGATCGAAGTTGTTACCTAGATTGGGTGACTTTAAGAGCTGCATATTTTTTTTGGATTGCTCTGTTACAGACAGGTAGACTTTCATCCTTGTTCTGGCCACTAGCCTCCTCCTCGAAAATTGCCCGTTGCTTTCTATTTGGCTGGAACCCTATGGGTATATTTTCTCTGAGCTTCCACCGCATCACCTGCTCTATTACGCTTCGTGCTCGGTATCCCGACTCTCACCGTGATGATGGTGGTGATGATGATGGGTGTGCTTCTTCGCGTGCAGGTCCTCCACTGGTGCATCAACAACATAGTTCATTGTCTTGCGCAAGTCACCTAGGAACAAGCACGCGATGCACGCCAGTGCCCCGAACGGCGCGGCGATAATGTAAACCACTCGGATCGAGTCCGCAAACGCCTGCTTGAGCGCCGCGACACCAGCGGCGATGATGGCCGGAGTCACGCCCGGGATGCTACTCAGCGCGGCCGTGTTGCCCGCCGCCAAAGCTTCAACGAAAGTCGGGATAGAACTGGCTGGGAGACCTGCTTTTGCGGCCGCTCCTGCGACGCCGTTGGGTATATTAGTGCCAAGTCGAGTGTTCAGCGCAGCTGCATAGATGGCCGTGAAGACCGTGGCTGCCACTGCTCGAGATGAGGTTGTTACAGCTGTTGCTGTTGCTATCAGGCTGTGTGGCGTGGACAGCTGGACACCGGCAATGATCAGGATGAGCGGTGCTCCAAACCCAAAGCCCGCGAGACCACTCATCACAACGGCAGTAGTGCTATCCTTTGGCTGAATCGTAGTCCATCCAATGATTGCGCCAGTAAAGATCAAGTAACCCAGGAAGAGTGGTTCTCGGATTGTGCGGAATCGGGTGCTTGCATAACCCCAGATCACGGTGGAGATGCCGCCTGCAACCCAGAAGGGCATTTCTCGAGACACGAGCAACAGTGGATCCGTTTCGAAGAGCGAGGTTGTTCTGCATGCATGTGATTAGTCTCCGACCATAGTATGTGGTGGAATGGAACAGGGCAAGACTTACAAGACAGGATAGAAGACGATATACGAGAAGAGCAGGATGCCTTCAATAAAGATCAAGCCCACACAGATGGCAAATGTGCGGCCCGCTGCTCTGCCCCCACCAAATAGAGTGTGGTTCATAATCCCAGTCTTGGTGCCTTTCCACTCGTAGATGCCGAAGGCGATGAGAATGACAATGCCCACAACGAGAGTTGCGAGTGTCCGCGAATTCGTCCAAGGGTACAAGTTACCTCCGAGATTGAGACCAGTGAGGAACAGTGACAAACCGGCGGTAAGAAGACAACAGCCGGGGATATCGATGTGGCCCAGTTTCTGCCAGAAAGAGAGGTGGTCGAGCCTGGTGTGTCTCTTTGGTGGTCTATATCCCACAAGGATACCTGCAGCGGTGGCTCCCCAGAGGCCAACTTGGATCCACTGATACTGGTCAGTATTCGCTATTGTACATAGTAATCTTGGAACATACATAGAACTTGCGCCATCCGTCCTCTGCATTACGTTTCGTCAGAGCGCCGATAGACATAGGCCCGAGAATAGCACCTAAAGATGCAGCAATGTTCATGCATGCTTGTGCCACTACAAACACATCAGCTGAGATATGTAGGACCGGTTCATGATACTTACTCGGCCTCCACTTCCTCGGTAAGATTTCACTGGGAACACAGTATGCGAGCGGTACTGCTGCGAAACCAAAGCCAATCAATGTTTGGCCTACGATCAGTCTGTAGATATTGCCTGAGCCCGGAGAGATGGCAGCCCCGATAAGAGAGATGAGGCATGAGCCCACGAGGATGCTCTTTCGAGCTTGGAAGGTGTCTGATGCGAGAGAAATGACAGGACCCAGGACAGCCTGGACAAGGGAAAGAGAATTGGGGACCCAGGTCTGAGTTTTAGGATTGTTGAGACTATCGCCGATGAAGTCGAGCTGTGATGTAGACACTCAGCACCGTCCTCCATGTATCAACTGGGACAAATACTTACCACAGCCGGAGGGCCCTGCAACGCCACAACTTGAACCATATTCAAGAGAAACATGGAAAAAAGGGCAATATAGGTTCTCGCATGAAGCTCTGGCTCGACATCCACCTCGTCGTAGTGGAGGTTCTGGTCATTTCCGTCAACGTCTTCAATCTGCTTCTCACTCGACAGTTCTCTCTTGTCCTCGACTGAGACCAGCTCGGCTTCGTTGGGCTGGGCAGCCTTGCCTAAACCGCCCTCAACAGCCGCGTGAGAAGTCATATCTGCGTGGAAGTCGGCGGTGGGTTTTCTCGAGTGCTCGATAGGTAGTGTAGGTCACATCGATCGTGTCACTCCACAGGGAGGGACGAGTAGCGACTTTGTAGTTGCAAGGCGTTCTGTAGACCGACATTACCGCGTGCCAATGCTGGCCGTGACGATCCGCTCTGATAGGGCCGGGATATCCGATCTGCATGCGGGGAACAGGGATGAAGGTGGACATTTGGGTGACTTGGTTGGGGCTTGTGGTGGGAAGTTCGAGGGCGATCAACAGAGTTGGTGGCTGTTTTGTGGGACGTCGATGGCAGCCACCAGCAGATGCGAAACTGCAACTTTTGACACCAACTTGGCAGACCTGCCAATTGGCCACCTTTTCTACCTGCGCCCTTCTTATCTGCGACCCGACCTGGTAAAGGTACCACCATGATGTGCTGGGAGGCCGTCAAAGCTGCAATTTATTGAACTTCTGCGATACACTGGGATATGAGCCCAACAGCAAACCCCTGTGCCCCTGTACCTAGTACACGCCCTGCTGGATCCCAGTTGACTGGTCCGGATCACCATTTCCACCACCACCGAATCCTTCTTCCTGCTTGGTGCTGGGATCGTGGTATCAACCAGCCCAATCTCAAACTTCCCACGACACGCTCAATCTAGCAATCTGGACCTTCGAGCGCGACTCCCGATCTCCCCACAACAAAGAATCGCATATCTCTCGTCCATCATCGCACTCCTTTTCCCACAAATCCAGCAATGCGGGGGATTTTCAACAAAGCCACTAACCCCACAAATTGCTCCTAGTCTCCTCGTCTAGACAACCATTTGCTCCAGGACCGAGGTCTGTAACGTCGCGGCCGAGAGATTGCTGGGCATTCATCAGCTCCCACGGAGTTGCGGGGATGTATCGGTGCGAAAGCGACAAGAAAAGTCTGGGGTCAAACGGGTCTGAATGTACATGCACACAAGGCTCTGTCAAGGTCAAGCGTGGTTACAGCTCGGACCATGATCATTTCCCACCACTTCGGTTCCGCGCTTCGATTGCGCCTCACATTCTCTACATTTTCTCCAAAAGGGTCGTCAAGAATAGTAACAAGAAGATAAATTCCTCGATCTGGGGACCCGTGTACCAGACACTGCCCCACTGCCACTCCAGCACCAGTCTCTGAGAACGGTCCAGCTTAGAAAACAGCCATACCCTGCGCGTTCTTGTCGACGCCCATGGAGTCCAACTGGAAATGTTGAACCTGCTTAGCCGAACCCGGCCCTCCAGAGACATCCACCACAGTCACTGCGGCAGGGGTGGTTCCATTACCTGGAGACAGAGCATAGATGAAGTTACCTGCCGCTTTCAAGTCGATGAGTCCCGGGTCTCCATTTGCTGATAGGTCCAGAGTCGAAACGATGCTGGCATCTGTCAAGCTCATTTCCACAAGACGATTGACGCCCACGTCCGCGACGAATGCAGTCCCAGTCTTGGGAGAGATGGCCGCCCAGCAGGTGGCAGCTTGACCATCGACCGCTTGCTTTGCCACAGTTGACGCCGTGCCACTAGCTGGGTCCACGGACACAACAGCAGCGCCAAAAGACGCGTCAGTCACAAAGACATTGGACGTGCCACGAATGACTTCTGAGCCGAAGAGAACGGCTGTTCCTGCCGGTGAGCTGCGTGTGTCCGTCATCGAAAGGCTTGCTCTCATATGCCAATTTCCTCCTTGCACGGGGAAGACTGAGAAGAACCCCGTGTTGTTGTTGGGCGGATCACCCTTGACCGTCGTGAACAGTCGAGACTCGTCCTCTGAGAAGAAGACTTGGGACACTGTATTCGTCGGACCAACAGGGGGAGTTGTCTGGACCAGGTCAAAGGAGCGCAAGCTGTCCATCGCACCGAGACCTTGTCTTGAGAAGGACGAGCAGGAAACACCATTGACCTCGCCGGTGGTCCCAACACAGACAAGTCGATTGCGGGCTGACGCTGCGACAGTATTGGGAAATTGGCCGGGGAGACTGACGGGAGCACCGACGACGGTGAGCTTCGTCGGGTCGCGTGGATCGATCGATAGCATTGACAAGGTATTGCTTCCAGCATTGACGGCGAAGATATTCTGTCCATCTCGTCAGCCATTCCATATGTCCTCATTTTCAATGCTGAAAAGGGGTCACATACGTTTCCAGCAATTGTCAAAGAAGACTGCGATATCAAAGCGTCAGGAGCTGCTGGCTCATTCTCTGCAGTGATGCTATTTGATCCCTCCCCTCCAGTCGGAGTCAGGGAACCTTGGGAGAGCATGCCATTGGCGGCAACGGGCACTGCTGCTACAGAGTTGCTGGCATCATTGGTGATGAAATATATCGCGCGAGCCCCTTTTGGATGAGGGTTCCCCCATTTGCCAGGGTGTGGTGATGGCGCGGACCAGACGGAGCCAATGGATGCCGCCAGAAGCAGCGAGGATGAAAGGAGATTGGTCAACATATTTGTCGCTTCAGATTGTCAACGTCCAGCGTTAGGCTCCTATGGAACGATGAAGTGAATTCAGGTTGGCAGTGTTTTTCTTGTGGGAAGCTGAATTCTCTTTCCTCTCCCTTCTGGCGCATCTGCTACCGACTTTATACTTCGTGGCATGGCTAAAAATCTCCGCGACAACACTCCTCGACCCTCTCAGAGACACATTATTCGGCACCTGTACTCCTGTGCAATCTCAACGGCAAGGGAAAACGTGTCAGTCGATACAACGGCTGTGAATCTCTGCCTCGGGGTTTGTGTCTCTCGTCGTGGATTATACAATATTTTATTTCCTTCTTGGGACAAGACCGAGAACGGCTTCGGCAGCAGCAAATTGGGCTAATCCCAAACAGGAAGAAAATGATTATCCATCGAGGGCCCGCGAGAGGCGACGAGCGAAAGCGAATGAGGCTCCACTCACGAGGCGGCGAATCCAGGGGCCCATCGCCGCGGGGCCTGAGACACAAGCGAAACGGCAGTCAGCCGCCGTTGCAACTTGTGGATGTTTCTCGACTCGGACGTTGTTTTCGATGGTTTCAATGACTTCACCTCGTTCCTGTATTCTCGTTATCATGCGCGTCCAACTCTTCTAACAACGAGGACGACATCTGTGTCTGCTTTGAGATGCAGCCATGTCGGACATATTCCGACCACTTTTTAGGTCCGTGGAGGGTATGTACCTGCAGAGCGTACCTCGCATTCGTCTCCAAGAAAACCATGTCCTGACTCAGATCCTATCCAGACAAGGTTGCGAACAGACGTGAACAATTGCGCAAGGCCCAGAAGTTAGTACTGTCGCATCAGGCGAATCGGACAGCTGCGATCTGGAGATCTTCGCTGCCCACGAGATTGGATTGACTAACACCCTATATCCGACTGACCAGGACCTTTCGCGAACGACGAGACCAATACCTTCGGGTTTTGGAAAAGTCGGTCAGGCGCTTACAAGCCAACGAAGCGAGGCTGCAGGCTGAAGTCGACCGACTCGAGCGAGATCTGGCGGCGGCCAACAGCAAACTTGCGCACTGCGAGGCAGAGTTGCACAAGTCGGCTTCCTTGACTCATACTGAACACGCCTATGCGAACAGAAGCGGCTATGCGACTGGACTCGGAGGATTCAACTTCGCATCTGAGATGGGCAACTCAGCTCGGCCGGCTTACCTCTCGTCGCCCAATGGCTGGATGGAGAGCGGAGTGGGTGCCTCTGTCAGCAGCGGCTCCTCGAGCACTCTGGTCTGGATCGAGACGGAGAATGGCCAGCCTGTCCAGATGCATGTCCAGCAGAAGCAAGACTTTGGCTTCCTGCCGCCCAGTGCGGGAAAAAATTCAGCCTCTCTGGGCCGAGATAGAAGCGCAACGACAGTCCTTGTGGCCCACCTCGACGCTGTGGTTGTTGCCATGGAGTTTGTGCTCAAGTATGTCAGATTATCATATCCTCCCTTCACGCCTGCAGATGTACGGCACTGAAAAGATGAAACCCAAACCTACAGACTCGAATCGCCATGTCTCCCACACCTCCGCCAGAACGAGGACGAGGACAACGGCGACACCACCTCGAGCAGTCCTCTCCATGGCCATGTCCACACAGCGTCGGCGGCACTTCTGTGCTGTTATCCGTCTCCATCATCCTCATCGCCAGCCTCGTCATCCTTTTTATCACCGCCCAAATCGACATCATATACAAACATCAACAAATACGCCTCACCGCTCTCACCTCCAACTTCGACTCCCTCTCCTTCCTCCTCTACCGCTCTTACGTGGCCCGCCCCAAAAGCGACCCTCGAGCGACTCCTGAACATCTCGGACGACTTGCCCATCGACCAGGCCGCAGAACTGACGCCGATCCAAGTATGGCACTGTGTGCAGCAGTCGCCGGGCTTTTCGTCGTTGATGGTGCAGGGCTTGAACCAGATGGCGGAGAGGCTGGTGGCCCACGTCAAGTGTTACGGGTACGTAAGCCATCTGTTCGCGTTCCACCGAATGTGTACCGTTTGGAGGATCGGACCCAATCCACACCTCAGCTCCAGTCTTCATCTGCCCTGCCGTGTCCGCCTGCTCATGATCCTGTCTGTAACTATGACATGGTTTTCTCAGTGCTGACCTTTCTTACCGCTACAGATTCGGCGCCGTTATCAGACGCGACTTTTTGACCAAATTATTGTCCGAGATGTGACCCCGCGCGGAACCATGATCTGGCTGTCACTGTCAGTGTTACTATTACGTCTTGGGAGATGGGAAATCACCCAAAGAAAGGGTTGCTAGGAGAAAAGAGGTGTGAACGAGGAATGAATGTCGACTGTCGACTGTCGAATGACACTGTTCACATCGGACAAAAGAATATATCCGTTTTGCAAGAAGAATCTTGAAACTGTGTCCGTGCAGTCGTCTGACTATTGATCTATCGATCTGTCGATCTAGATCAACATGAACATGGCACGGATGAGAGAGTTAAAAGATGATGACCACCACCACCACCAACGCCGCCGCCGCCACCGTCGTGATAATCATCTTCGTCATAATAATATCCTCCAATGTCCTTCCCAACCGCCCCCATCATTCCAAGACTCTCACCCACCTGCTGAAGACTCGCATCGTCCCTTGTGCGAATGAGTGAGGTATTCGATGAAAGAAGCTTCTCCCTGTCGCATGGGCGCCGTGGATGCGTGACCGTAAAAGCCGTCGGGGTTGAATTAAATTATTGTAGAATTTTTCTCTCTTTCAAAAAAAGGGGGGTGAAGTAAGAAAATCAGGGTTCTCTGCAAACACCGCCTCTCAACTGCCGGGGGTGGTATTGGTTCGTACTCGTATAGTTATTCGTCTGTCCGTTTGTCTGTCTCGTCCAGTCCATTCCCATTCCTGAAACCCCGCGCCAAAATCGCATTTGAAATTTGAAAATTGACATTGGAAAGATGAAATTAGAAAATTACCACTGTTCCGTCTCCCCAAAACCCAAGCCTAAACCCCAAACCCCAACTGCGCCTTGCTTGCTTGCTTCTATTTTCCTTGTCCTCTCTATACCCGGAGCCTGACTGGGCTTGATGCTGAGCCTATTTGCGAGCCGCCACCTGACACTCCGGGTTCCCGAGGTCGACCCAGAAGGCGGCCGTGTTGAACTCGGAGTAGACGGTGTCGATCTGGACCTTTGAGACGTCGACGTCGAACTCGATGAAGCCGTGGACGCGCATGTAGTCGCTGCCGATGCCGTAGGCGTTCCAGCGCCAGAAGATCTGGTCGCACGTGTAGGCGGTCGAGAGGGTCTCGACGGTCGGGAGAGGCGGCGTCACCGCCTGCGAGGCGATAAAGGCCTCGAGGGACGGGTAGGCGGCTGAGCTGAACTGTATTTTCGCATAAAAGACAAGTGGTTAGTGATGGGGTCTTGACATGATATCAAGGAGGGGGGAAAAGAAAGAAATTGGGAACTTACATCGCGCTGACCCAGCGTGTTGATCGAGTCGCTCCAAACCTCAAACTTGTCCGACAGGATCGCGTTGGCCGTGGCATTGAAGTCGTCCCCACCGGGGTACTGCAGGAGGTAGGTGTATCCCTTGACCAGGACGTCGACATCGGCGTCGTTCAGGCAGTGGCTGCTCCCCGTGCCCGAGCCCGGGTTCAATGGCGGGTTTCCTTGCGTGTTTCTGCCCCGGCCGGGGACAAATCTCCGCAGGTTTGCGCGAGGGTGGTGTCGTGGTCCTTGTCCTCCTGGTCCTTGTTCAGGTCCTGGGCCTGGACGACCGACGCCGTTGGGACCATCGCCACGGGGACCTTGTCCTGGGCCCTGTCCGAGGACGGTGGCGGCAAGGGAGAGGACGGCAATGTCTGTGAAGCGCATGGTGACTGTAGGAGGATATTGAAGATGACGTTGTCCTAGCGTAAGAGATTTGGAGTGAAGAAATGTAAATGAATGGATGGAAGTGGTTCCGGGATGACTGGGGAATCAAGGAAAGACTGGAACAAGGGAGGAGGAAAAGGGACCACTCGCAAAAACAGACGACACAGCCCTGATATAAACACTTTTTGTTCCCTCTGTCATTCACTCGCACTCTCAGGTATGGGAACGAGTTAGAGTAAGAGTAAGAGTATAACGAGCGGAGCAGCGGGGACAACGCGTCGTGCTTCTTTCCTCCAACCAAACCAACCTACTTACCTAGCTACTTAGTTACTTACTTCCTGCATCGTCGGATGTCCTGATCCAAGCGACGCGTGTTTTGGGGGAGGTGGGAAGTGGGAAGGTGAGAGAAAACTCTCGAGTGGCTTGCGTGCATGCGCTGTTTCGGACAATGCAATCATGGATGATGAAGATCTTCCCAGCGAGGAGCAGATCCCTCCACGAGCAAGATTCCCTTTTACTCGGGATCTGATTAACTAGAAAACCCACTCTTGGGAGATCTGGGTTGAATTCAGGACGGGCAAATTTTGAGTATGTTTATTGGCTTTGGGGGGATCTGCGCCCGCTGTACGAGCTATGCACACGATGCTACGGCGCCGGCACGTGTAGAGATACATGTCCGCGTCAAGGGTGAATGTCAGACTCCCAGCCAAGTCAAAGTAAAAAAGTCAGGGTAAGGTGAAGAAGGCTCTTTGCCGGAGAAGGTTGGGACATTTGTCGCGAGGCTGGCTGCAGGTAGACCTTAAAGTACCTCTGGCTCCCTACGGAGTACGGAGTTGCAGTATGTTTTTGCGGTCGCGGAGTACAAGTTTCTGCATGTCCCGAGCTCCGAGTTCCGAGAAATCCACTATAGGGCCAGTAGTCGGTATAATATACTTTCCCGAACTGCCAAGTCAGGTAATGACCATGTATATCCATCGAAATTGGATATCCCTACCGTCCCCCTATCGTGTCAACCAAACTGCTCAATCGAGGTTTTTCTTCCAAAGCCGATACTCTTCAAGGTTTCGTTAGAGAAGGGGACCAGCCAGCCATTCCAGCCAGCCATACAGTCAATTTCACGGGGCATGGTACTAGACATGTGGCGGAGTCGGGACAAGGGCCCGAGAGTAGGCAGCCTTGCGACAGACAGACAGACAGGTCGATGAGTTGTCACCTTAAAATCCAGCATGGACGAAACGCGATGCGGGATGTGTGATGTGGGTACATACCTCCTTAACTCCTAACTGGGTAGATAGACGGGAAATGGTAGATGGTACATAGATAGATGGCATCTAGACATGGCACCTAGACGAGCCCACGCGCCCTGTTTCCCGTCTGCATGTTTGCTTGTTTGCTTGTCTCGTCTTTGCATTCAAATCAAACCTTTTCAACATGATCTACATGATCGACATGGCTCCATATAAGAAACATTTATGGTCAATACTGTATCTCGTACCTCGTACAATTCCTTCAAACAACTTCAACAGTCAACAACAAAATAGGAATTGGTCCAGTCTCGTTCCTGTGGCTGCAGTGCATACCTGCATCGTTAGCTCCTCTCGAGTCTCGACACCGGCTCGGCCGGCTGCTTGGGCTTGATCTTTATCACGCATGCTCAGAACCGCCTTCGACGAAATGTGGTCAACGAATCCAATTATTATGTGCTAATGCCAGTCGCTCGGATGTCCGCGCATCTCGTCTTGCTGCTGTGTAATGCTTTCCCATGCAATGCTCCGTCGTCGCCCGATAACCCATCTCTATCATTCACATCATTGCTCTTAGTCGCATACCTTCCATGCAAAAGTCGCCAGGACACCCAATCCACGCCGCATATGAAACACGCGATGCTCACTCATACAGAGTATCAGCGAAAGACTCATCCAACCAGCACTGACAAGTGCATATCCTGCGCCGGAGCAATGCAAACTTAACCCAAACAAGCGCCCTCGTCTTCAAGCCTTGGCTACCGCGTCTATCTTCTTCATCGTCTCCTGGATTTCGTTCAAAAGTCCTTTTCGGAATCCACGTGCTTCCGTAGAATCCACGTCAATTGCGTCCGCTTTCAGGATAATGTGCGTCATGACGCTCTCACTCAACTTGCGGTGTTCTTTCTCCCGATCTTGGGCCGAAGAAGGGGGGTTGGAGATGAACTTGCGGCACAGAGGAAGCCATTGCTCGTGGTAGTTATCCGAAAGGGCCTGTAACTTTCCCAATGGACTGTTCGGGTCCGCCGCAGGCAGTGAGGTGGGAATAGGTGTCGGGGTGGACGACGGTCGAGGTGACGTTCCCCGGGTGCGAGACGGCTCGCGTCGCACGGGCCGATCATCAGGCTCTGGTCTTAGATTGGTGCGAGACTGTCGTTCGGACGTGGTCCCAGAAGAAACGTGTCCGTTGGGATGAAGAAAACTGGACGATGCCGAAGGTCTCTGCTGTGGCAGATTCTCGTCGCTACGATGTCTGACCGAAGACGCAGCACGGGGCCGGCGCCGAGGATTTTGCTCAGGAACGTCCTCACCGCCCGACGAGTGACTATCTCTATCGCTGTAGTCCAGGATCGCCTCGGTCTTGATGGCTGCCACCTCGCTGTTTTGCTTCATGTTATATTTTCGCAACGGCCACCCATCGTGCTTGAGGTCGCGCTTCTTGTACACCAGTCGCACTCTTCTGGGATCCGTCTGCAAGTACCGGGCGACGGCTTCTCGCAGTTGACCGACATAGGCAGTCTCCTCACTGATGGAATATGGAGGGAATTCGACAGGAAACAGAGAGGCCATGTATCGCACAAGGATGACATCCGGAGCATCAGGGTCTTCTATCGGCACCTCATGTAGTCTGGACACAGAGTGACGATGCGGCTCTTGAAGCATGCCATGATCGGCGTCAATGTACTCAAAGTGATTAGACAGGTTGCGAGTGTACGGATCGACGATGTTGCTGGTGTAAGGCGAACCCCCACTACGACCACCGTAGGCGACGTAGCTACCGTAGCTACTCATGAGATAGCGGGCAACAAGGTAAACGAGGGAGAGGATGAGGGCAGCAAGGGTCGTGTAGGACGCGGTGGAGTACTCTGTCAGGAGAAGATTGACGTTGTTGTGAAAGTCGGCCGGTAAGTGTCGAAGGATCGGTTGGGCGAGGCTGTTGAGATTTCGTAGGAGATCAGAAGACCAAGTCTGAAGGCTTGAGGACGCCACGGTGAAGGACTTGGATTGATCGAGGAGGCTGAAGAATTGTGTGAAATTTCCCGATGGATCTATTCACTGATTATTTGGATGGCGAAAGGGGGGGAAAAGCTGGAGTTTCTGTGCTTTGAGAAGCGCGAGGGCAGATCTCTGGACGTTCGTCACCAGCTCCGAGTGTATGTAATAGCGTGGATCGGCAAGGCAGGGGATGGAAGGATGAAGGCGAAAACAACTTTGTATTGGAAAGCACACCATATGACAAGTCCAGTCGCCGCAGTTGGTGGATTGGGTGGTGGCCTGGGCGCAGGGGAGGGGGAGAATGCGCTCCCTTGAACAGGCGCAGTTTGGTCGGTGGTGGGTGCGAATCCGTTAGTCTGGTTTAGGCTCGGCTCTGGCGGGCAATAGAGATGAAGAAATCGAGGTGGATGACGCAGATTGTGGGTGTGTTGGTTGGTGTTGTGGTGCGTGAAATTATATCAATCAGGGTTCAAGTGGACTTTGAGTAGTTGTTTGACTTCTCGGGCATTCAAGGGGAGTTTCTTCGGAGATCTAGCAGTAGTAGAGATTGGAGTCCAGGCCTGGGAAAAAGATTTTTCTAGGTAGAGGGAAAAGGAGAGGCAGAAGCGCAGGCGTCGCTGGTGGGATGATTTCTCTGAGCCTAGACATGCGGTTGCGGAAAAATAGTTTTGCCGATACGATGCGACATGTGAGCTGCGGAAAGTTGAAACTATGAGGGTTTCTCACCATCACCAATGTCTACCAAGTTTGTCATGTCTCGGGCAAAAAGAGCGCACCATGATGTTGCAACTTGGACAGAATTCATCCAATTCTAGGAGAAATGACACGGACACACCCGCTGCCAGATCTCACCAAAGTCCTCATATCGATGGCGGTGCCTCTAACATTGGAGCAATTGATGCTAAAATGAGGATACGGACATCATTGCGTCCAACAGCAGAAGATGACCATTATAAATGATGGCCTTACAGCTAAGAGGAAATCCCATCTATTTTGTTGAAATGATGCCCTCTTCTCATCAATGTGCGATTCTTACCCAGGAAGTATTTTTCAGCCTCACCAATGCCACCCTCCAGCACCACCGCAACACCAAAGTCCTTCGCCTAAATTCTGCCACTGCCTTTGTCCTTTTGTCCTGTCTACTCCAGTACTTGTAAACGATCGCCACAGCCTATTTCTGATCATGACTTCGTTTTGAGCCAATTTACCCCGGACTCGGATCGTTGAATCCGCTACCGAGCCCCGTTGGATCAGATTCCAGACAATCGGTTCACCGCAGGGCGCGGCCGCAGACAGGCAGTTCTTCCTCATGGTATTCCGATTTTAATCTACCAGTAGTCATACGGTCAGCCTTTTTGCACGTCGCGTGAGCACTCCCTCCGTCGATCCTAGTGGCAAGAACACCTCACCAAGGTCTCACAAACTGTCTTTGGTGCCTGGATGTTCCTCCCGCCTGTCTTGCACGCGAACCACACAAAAATCACGCAGCTCCAGCTCCAGCTCCATCTCCAGCACACCCGCGTCGTGGAATTGACAGGGCCAGGCACACAGGCAATGAACTCGGAGGAAAACGCAGCGAGAAGAGGAGGTCCCAGGGCTACCAACCATCCCCGGCTGATGTCATGGCGCGGCGTCGTTTGGGTGCCTCAGGTGCTTGTGGTCAACATCCCGCGTGACTTTTTAGCTGCAGAGAGTCCTGCGTTGAGCTCAGCATATGTGGTGCCGGTGGTGCCTGGGTTCTGCTTGGTTGGTTGTGCCGTTGGTGGTGCCTGGCTGGCGAGGCCAGTCCCGGTTTTTCCGGAAATGGTGCAGCTAACTAAGTTACTCCAGGCCTGTGTCTTTGAACAACCCACGCTCCCACCACGCTCGAGTTGGCTTTTCCCCCACGTCCCCTACCATTCTTCTCAAAAAATCCCAAGGGAGACCCTGAACCTGTTTGTTTTCTTGATCTGAAGAGGAATAGAAGCTTCTTCTCCCCCAGTCCCGGGCACAAACCCCCTACCAAAAAGACCGTCGGCTATCCCACCGTCTCTCATAGCCTATTCCTCGAGAAAGCCAGGCCAGGACCTACACTCCCACGCGTTGCGGAGAAGTCGAACTAAAGAAGCGGGCTGATGGACAGCTGCACGTCTCGAAAGAGGAGGACGATACGAGAAATTGTGCAGTGTCCAAGTGACCTCACGCATATTCTGAGGCTGCCCTGCGTCACTGGGCATCAGTCAATCCCCCCGAGAGACAAATGAGGGTCCACAATCTGGTCCTGCTACATCAGAGCATGATGCCTCGTCATTCCTCTGGCTCTTCTGCCAATGGACTGCCCTTTAATTCCTCCTGCTACTGTGTGAGACTGACCGTCCGTTGGTTTTTTAGTTTGGCGGTAGGTCTTCCGATACGTGCTATGTGCCCGAAAACAACGTGCAACCTCCTTCTCTTTTCGAGATCTCACATGCATTTCAACAACGCAGCCAGGAAATCTGAACCCGTCGGCGTTCGACTATCCCTCGAGTCGACCATAGTCACACCGCCCACTACCTCTCGCTTCTCGCACATAAAACTGCCTGTCGAGGACCATTGATTTCTCCCTCCTTTCCTTCCCAACTCTTTCACCCTCTCCGATATTCCCAGCCATGGATGTTTATACCCTTCCCAACGTTACCAACCCTCATCCCCCCACTGCTCTTGCCCTCCAGAGGGTGAGTCCGGTACTCTCTTACCTCGCGGTCGCTTTTTCTTTGGCCAGTTTCCTCTGGTGGTGCATACAAGACTATCGCTTCTTCAAATCCCTGGGAGTTGGCGGTCCCTCTCATGACATCTTTGGCTGGTTCAAAGTCCACATTCTGGTCAGGCCGTTCACTCTCGCCGTTCGGGACACCACGTGGACTGGAGACTATCCGGACCATGGTGCTCACAAGGAGATCATGGCGCTGCCGGCTCGAAGAGGGGAACGGCCAGTCATATTGGGCATCGCGCCTCAAAGGCAATTTAGTCAGTGTCCCAATCAAGAGTTGAACTCGGTGAGTGAGCCCCAAGTATTTGCAGTCCATGTGGTAGACTGCCGTGATGTAATGCTGTCGAGGCTCCAAACTAACCTTTGGCCAGCGTGTACTTGACATGTTCTCGTCGTTTGTCCAACAAAATCCCAACCTGCTGCAACAACGTGTTTCGGTGGTCGAGAAACACCACTATGCACTCTTTGTGCATCCGAGCATACTTGCGGAGCCAGACAACCTACCACAAATTGCAACCGTCGCCAACGGCGAATTAGGGCATATTCATGGAGACACTTCACTGCACCTTTACTTCTCACCAGCGGATGCAAAAATTCTCATCCAACGGGGTTGGGCTCAACGGCATCGATGTGCTAGGACTCAACCGTGGTGGTTCGGTGGATTGAAGAATATGTGGGGTATTGGAGACACCTTCCTCATAGTGTACGCTCCACGGGACCAGGCTGAGCTTGATGTGTTGTGTGTCTTGATTAAGGCCAGCATCATGTTCATGACCGGCGAGCAAGATGTCATCAAACCGTAAGGAGCGCCCAAGGAAGATACTCGCCGATCCGGGCGTAATAACCATACGAACCCTGCAAGACGAAATCGGTGATCAGCCTAGCGGTGGGGCAAGATCCAGTATTCTTCCAAACATGACGTGAGGGATTGGCAGTGGCAGTACGAGGTTCATGGAGCGGTGATGAGTGGAAAAAAGGGTGATTGCAAGTCTGTTGAGGATGGCAGCATGGCAGCATAGCCAAGGTGGTGGTTAGATGGAATACTCCGTCGTTCAAAGTCGCTTAAATTTCATATGTAGACACGAAATCGCAGGCCTGACCGATCTCGGCTTTGTTGCCGCCAACGAGAAAATAGGGCTGTAAAAGCGGCATTGGCCTGTTTGAGCCATTCAAACCGCAAGAATATGTCAACGCCCTTTGTCCCGCCACTGCTACATCTCGACCAGGACCATTGCCATCATCTCCATCACCCTCGACCATGGCTACTACAGTCCCCCGCTACCGATGTCTAAACGGCCATCCATGGTCTTCTCCGTTCAGAGTCTTCCTTCCTGCGACCTCGACATCGGCCTCGATTGCAACGCGGACATTCGCCACCACGACTGATGACCTCCCCACCAGCAAGCCACGAGTACGTGCGACCACATTCGCCGACAAGCTCAATGCTGGGCCTTCCTTCTCCGACTTTGTGTCAGGGAAGGAGCCGCCATTGGAACCCTCGGAAGCATACGCCTTGAAGACTGCCCTCGTAGGCCCCAAGGGCAAGCAGAAAAAAATCACCCGCCTGCCCTCGTGGCTGAAGACGCCGATCCCGGACAGCTCCTCGTACAAGAAGATCAAAAATGACTTGCGCGGCCTGAACCTACACACTGTGTGCGAGGAGGCTCGGTGTCCCAATATCTCAGACTGCTGGGGAGGGAGCAGCAAGTCCGCGGCCACGGCGACCATCATGTTGATGGGCGATACGTGCACCCGGGGTTGTCGTTTCTGCAGTGTCAAGACGTCAAAGGCTCCTCCTCCGTTGGATCCGCATGAGCCAGAACATACGGCTGAAGCGCTTTCGCGGTGGGGTCTAGGCTACGTCGTTCTGACAAGTGTTGACCGAGACGATCTGGCGGATGGAGGAGCGCACCACTTTGCAGAGACGGTGCGCAAAATAAAATCCAAGGCGCCCGCTATTCTGGTCGAGTGTCTTACCGGCGACTACGCGGGGGATTTGGACATGGTCAAACTTGTTGCGACGTCAGGATTGGATGTGTATGCGCACAACGTTGAGACTGTCGAGGCATTGACGCCTCAGGTGCGCGACCGCCGAGCAACATTCCGGCAATCGCTCAGCGTGTTAAAAGCCGCCAAAGCAGCACAACCAGGTCTCATCACCAAGACATCCATCATGCTGGGCCTGGGCGAGACCGAGGACCAACTGTGGGCTGCGCTGCGAGAATTGCGCGCCGTCGACGTCGACGTGGTCACATTTGGCCAATATATGCGTCCCACAAAGAGACACATGCCCGTGCATGAGTACGTGACGCCGGACGTCTTTGAGCAGTGGCGCGTGCGGGCGCTGGAAATGGGTTTCTTGTACGTGGCGAGCGGCCCGCTGGTGCGGAGCAGTTACAAGGCCGGGGAAGCATTTATCGAGAATGTCCTGAAGAAGAGGAGAGCTGGCAGGGGAGAGACGGCGACCGCCGATTTGGCGGGCGATATAGACGTGAAGGAGGTGCAGATTGGGAAGCTTTGATTTGTACGAGCTGGGGCATTCGGTACTTGATATTTTCCTTGGGATAATATACATGTAAAGGTGAAGAGGGCGAAGGCATATTTGGGTCATTGTGTATCTATCCACGACCTCTTGATCGAGAATGTCTCGACATCTCGACAACAGAAGAAATGTCAGGCCAGTGTTGCTGATACGTTTCTACATTTTTCCCGCTTTCAAATTGGTAGAGATCCGCTTTTTGCAAAATGGCATCACCCTTCTTTGTGTATTTGCCTAATACCCTGCGCCCACCTGGTAACTCTTCCAGCGCCGTGTTATAAAAATGCCCTTGTGTTTGTTGTGGTGGTGGTGGTAGGCAGATCCATCACTCATGAGAGAGTAGACCAGGTCTCCTTACAATAACAGTCCATGTCGTCGATCGTGCGTCGTCTCTCAAGGCTTGTCGTTTGGAAATGTTCGATGCTTGCACAAAGCACACAGGGCGTTGTAAGGTGAGGTGAGGCGAGCCCACCGGTCTCGCGACCATCTGGTAGACGAAGCTGGGAAACATGTCTTCGTCGTTGTCCTCGTCTTTTTGTCTTCTCTCCTCGAGTGTCGAGGTTCGGGCATTGGGCTTTGCGGTGTCGAGTATCGGGCATCGGGTATCGTCTCCTCCTCTTGTTCTTGTATGATCTAATTTCCCTCCTCTCCCTCCCTCGTCCCACCCGGAGGGGAAAACCATCGTATCTTCGCTGCGCATTGTGCCCTTTTTCCTTCGACCGCAGTAATCACCCACAACTTCCACACTCTGGGCCGCGCACGTCGTCGATACCGCCCATCCTCCTCGACCCACTACCAGGACCGGTACCACCACCACTTCCTCCACCTCCACCTCTTCCCCAAGGACCACCACCACCGCCGCCGCCGCCGAGTCGTGTAGTACTCCCCGCACCCCAGCGCGGACGGTCTTGATACGCGTTGGGCCGGCCGCGGGTGTTGAACTGGCTGTTCTGCGCGGCCGTGTAGGGGTCCAGCGAGAAGAGGGAGACAAGGTACAGGCCGAGGAAGTTGTACAGGTCGTCGGAGAAACGGGAGATGCGGGCGGAGAGGGGTGGTCTGATATGAGTTAGTCTCTCACACACACACTCTAAGGGTTTAGATGGGTAGGTTTGACAAAGATCAAAGATCAAGTGAACAACTATTTGTAGGGAACAGGAAACAGTGTGGGCTTTTGGACCGGGGTTGTAGAACGAGAGGAGGGAAGGGGAGAAGGAGGAGGAGGAGGAGGAGGAGGAGGAGGAGGATG